TGAATGGGAGCAGTGGACAATGGAGAAAACAAGCAAAAAAATGGGTCCCTTGGCCACATGAGACAAAAAACTGATTTCATGCAAATTAAGACCTAAAAGTGGAGGTGCAGTCTGTAAATAGAAAGAAGTGTGTGCTAATGCCTCCTGGTCTCCAAATAAAGGAGAAAGTTTTGATCCATATACTCTACCCCCTAAGAGCTCAAAGCCATAGTAAAACTATCCATAATGTCTGCATTCAATTTGAAAACTTTAATTCATCAAAAGGCACCATAGCAAGAATCAAGAGATAGTCACAAACCGAGAGAAGCTCTCAGCATGTATATTATTGTCTTCCAATTATTAGAGTGCATAATACAAAAAACATCCTTTGAAGGAAAGGGGATAACTTAATTTAAAAAATGGAAGGAACTATGGAACTATCTCACAGTGATTCAATAGAAAAGTAAAAAAAAAAAAATGGAAGGAAGGGAGCAGTTAGTTCACAGGAGAGGAGCTCTGTACGGCCCATAAAGATGTAAAATGTTCCACCTCGCTAATACTCTTGACAATGGGAATTGAAACTGGTCAGACCCCTCTGCATCCCACCCCAGACTGGAGACCGTTAAAAATGACCAAGTCACGTGTTGTATGGACGGGGCACAGACACTCATTCGTTATTAAGGGAGGGTAGAACGGTCTACACTGACCTTGGGAAACTATGTGTCCTCTGCTAGTCCTTTGGCCCGTAACCATCCCCACAGCAGTGCCCAGCCGCCTTCTACTTCCAGCCACTCGCTTTGTGTCTTCTGTCATCTGTCCTCACATCTGCTGTTCCGCCATTTCCCCGGAAAGTGTTTCCAAGATGAATTCTTCCTTTCCAGAACTTTTTCCTAGAAAACTCCCTCCCAGCGCTCTCTCTCTCTCTCTCTCTCTCTCTCTCCCTCTCTTCCTCTCTCCCTCCCTCCCTCCCTCCCTCCCTCTTCATCTCTCCCTCCCTCCCTCTCTCTCTCCCTCCACTTCCCCCCCTCCCCTCCCTTCTCCTCTCTCTCAGATTGTCCTTCCCTCAGTGTCCATGGTTATGGCCATCCAGGGCAAGCTGAAAGCCCCTGCCTGTCTCAGGTAGCCATCTCCTCTCACTCAGTGTCTCCAAACCCCTAAAACCTTTGCCCGCAGTGCAGTTGCTCCCCATTGTCCAAGGCCATCTTCCCTCCCTGCAGTGCTTCTGACCTCTCTGTCAGAGCCCTCTGAGCCCCTTCAGGCCTCACGCGCACTCCACATCAGGCCCCTCTTTTGACTGAAAGCTCACCGGCTGCCCTGCAGTGTTTGTAGCAGACAGACGCACGCCGATGGAATGACGCCCACACCACGCACCTGCAGAAGCAAGGCAGCCTGGACAAGATAAAGCCACTGCTGCGAGGCGCGTGTGAGGTTGGGGACCCGCAGACCTGCTAACGCTGTATCCCTACAGCCCCTGGAGTGCTCCCTGAGGCCTCCTAGACACCCCCCCATGGCCTTGTGGGACCAGCTAATCTCTGGGACCGGGTCCCAGCATACCCTCCAGCCCTGATGGAGCATTTGTCAGTCAGTTCTTGGGTCCGAGTTCCTGATTTGCTGAGGCAGCAAGCCCAGTCTCTGGAGACCTCAGGAGCACCAGGGTCAGAGGGCACTTACTCGGTCCAGCTTGTAGGCATACTGTGTGATACCCCGCAGACACACGAACTGCGTTGTTTTTCATTCCAGCCTTGAGCGCTGCAACTTTTGAGGCCTGTTATTTATGTGATCAGAGAAGAAACCCGTTATTTTATTACTGGCCATCTCGTGTCAGTCAGGGAGGGCATCAGCCATTCCCATGCGCAGGAACGCCAGGCAAGGCTCCTAGAGATGGCATGGCACCTGGGGGCCGTCTACCTGGCTCACCAGGGAGCCTATTCTTAAACAAAGAGCTCGGCTCACTTGATTGATCCACAGGTTAGTATTAATCAAAATCCCCCCCCCCCAAAAAAAAACTCGCCAGCTCTCCTGAAGAGCAGGCATTAAAAGAAAACGACTTTTGTTTTTCAACCGTCCTGTTTTGAAGGTATTTCTAAAGTGCTGTGGAGCTCTCACTGCCACTAGTGGGGCGCCTCCCAGAGCGTGGAGCTGTGGGGCCACCTTCTGGCGCTTCCAGAGAAGTGGGGCTCTGGGCTCCCTCCACACCTCACCTGACAGCCACAAGCTTGGGGGGAAGTGCTTCAAGGGTGTGGCTGGCAGGCAAATATTGCTTCTCTTCCTCTAGTGAGAATCAGGCTAGAACCCTGCTCCCCCAACCCCCAAAGGAAAGATCTAGAGTCTATACAGCACGTTGTCTGTTCTTTTTTTTTTTTTTTGCATTTTGCTTTTTGGGTCACACCCAGCGATGCATAGGGGTTACTCCTGGCTCTGCACTCAGGAATTACTCTTGGCGGTGCTCAGGACCATATGGGATGCTGGGAATCGAACCTGGGTTGGCCGCGTGCAATGCAAACGCCCTATCCACTGTGCTATTGCTCCAGCCCCTGTTGTCTGTTCCTAAACTGTGGATCTGATCACTTACATCTTTGGTTGGGGATTTGGTGCAGGGGTCACACCCGGCAGTGCATACAAAGCATACACCCAGCCCCCTGAGCACAATCCCCTGCCCCCAGTTCCTGCTGTGGGCGCCTCAGGCAGCCAGAGGTGCCCCCACCTGCTGCCCACCGCTCGCTGGCTCTCTGGGCCTCTGCTGTGCCATCTGCAGCCTGAGACCGCCTCCTGCGCCTCGCAACTGCTGCTTTGGGGCATCCAGGCAGTGAGGCGAGCTCCTTAACTCTGCCCACCGGGTTCAGAGCAGGCTACGAAAATGGAAAATCCAACAGAATAGCCCCAACAGATTCAGGGGTGGCTGCCCTATCCCTGCTCATCGACCGACAGCCCCTTCATGATCCAGGGGTCCACTAGCATGCTGGAGCACTGGTGGTCTCTTTACCACGGCACCCCTCCTCCCCCAGGAGAACGCGACTCTCTATGCCTGCTCACACCATGGCCTTCCGGGTGGGCACTTCCACTGAGGGCACCGGCCCAATGCAGGGCTCCTGTTCCCTGCCCTCCTCTGTGACCAACCTGCCACATCTGCTTTCTAGTTGGTGCCCAGACAGGAGGGCAGAGCCTTGCGGGCCCAGAGGGAGAGAGCACACCCCCAACACGGGCTGCAAAGAAAAAGACAAAACTCCAGATGACAACTCCCTGACCCGGACCAACCCAGCAGGGCCTTTTTTTTAAATTATCATTATTATTTTTTTAATGAATTATCGTGAGGTATAGTTACAGAATTACAAACTTTTGTGATTACACTTCAATCAGTGTTTGAGTACCCATCCCTCCACCAGTGCCCATTCACCACCAATGTTCTCAGTATCCCTCCTGCCACCCCCACCTCTTTCCACCCCCTGCCTCTGTGGCAGGCACATTCCCTCTTACTCTCTCTCTCCTTTTGGGTGTTATGGTTTGTAATATAGGTACTAAGCGGCCATCATGTTTGGTCCATAACGGCAGGGCCTTTTCGTCCAGCCTCCTTCCTGGAGGCCGGCGAGCCCAGGTCCAGCGGGCAGGTGGAGGAGAAGGCCTGGGCAGGCGAAGGGGAAGGCCTGGGCGGGTGAAGGGGAAGGCCTGCATCTGCACCTCTACCCTGCAGCCCTCCAGCACCATCTGAGCATCCCACCAGAGAGTAGCAGAAGCACAGCTTTTGTTTTGAAGACAAGACAGCTGAAGGCAGGGCAGAAAATTCGAGCAGTGGACATGGGCTTTGGGTTGGTTTTTTTCTTTCTTGTTTGCAGCATAAAAGACTGTCCTGACCCCAAATCACACAAGACCTGAGAGCCCCACCTCAAGCCGATGTCCAGGCTGAGCCTGACACAGGACTCTGAACAGAACAGGAAGCGGAAGTGGGGCCTCTGCATGGGCAGCTCTGCCACGAATGCCGTATTGATTTTCCTTGGACACCCCGCACTCCTTTTAAAAATAACTGAATCTTACCCTGTTTGGGCCAGCAGCACAGGAAAGCAATCATCTGTTCCAGGGGGTAAAAGGAAATCGATCCTTCCATTTCGTGGCCCTTTACCACCTTCATTGGGATCCAGGTTGCAGCTTGTCTGGTTGTCTGGGTGCCAGCACGGTGGCTCTGCCCCACTCGGTTTGCTTCCAAAGACACCTCTCACCTCCCAACTGCCCAGGTGGCCTTGTCAGCCGAGGTGTTGTTTTCCGCAGGTTTGGAGACACTCCATGGGGTTGTGTTTCCCCCCGTGTTGATACTCCCACATTTTATATTATTTTCCTTTCCAGGGAGTGCAAATGTTGGGTGAGAGATCTATTATATGGGACAACAGTCATGCTGAGTCCCCACCGCCACCCAGTGGTGTCCTCACCCTCAGCTGATGCCCACTGTCACTGGCTGTTCTGGCTGCATGATCGCCCCATATTAGTTATCAGCTCCAGCCCTGACTGCATTGCCTTTCAGACCCATGGCTGATCCGAAATCTGGCTGTATGTTAGAATCACCTGGGATGATCCAGAATCTAGAACCACAACTACATTGTTAAGGAAAAATATTAATTCCTGGGCCCTCTCTGGGACCTACTGAGCCTGAATTTCCCTGTGGGGTATCAGGAATCTTTGAAGAGCCTTCCGGAACCCTGATCAGCATAGGTCCTTTGCCCAGAATGGCATGGTGTCAGCTAAGAGGTTGTCACCCGGGGCCATCTGTCTGCATCAAGCCACATGGATGCTCAGGGAAGAAGCTGGGGAAAGTTCAGGCAGTCATGGGGGTGCAGGGAGAGCCCGGCTGACTTAGAGGGTGGAGGTACTTTCACAGGAGACTGAGTAAGTCTGAGACTTGATGAGGGTATTTCCCGAGGGCCTGACTGGCCTGGTCTGGAATTTGGGATTTGACCTTGGAACCAAGTGCGCCCCCCGCCCCCGGCACCGACTGCCAGGCCCTGACATGTGCCTTGCTTTCCCCGGCCCTCTAGGTTTGAGAGACACCTGGCGAAGCCTCACAGTGCCACTGTGTCCCAGGTGGAGTCCAGCCCAGTGACGTCCCCCTCAACCTGCTCTCAAGTGGTCCCCATGACAGAGGTCCCGGAGACCAACATAGGTGATTATATCAAGTAAGTGCAGAGGCCACAGTAGGATGGATTTCCAGAACATTCTGTTCTCCATACTCACTTCTATTTACTCACCCCCTGCTTATTCACCTATTAAAGTGTCAACACATATGCATTAGGCCCTGACCTCGGCCTCCAGAATGTGAAGCCAAAACTCTCCAGCCCTCCAGAATTCTGGGGGCCAGTGCCCTTCCGGTCTGTTTTTTGCTCCAGCCTCCCAAGGTCTGCAGCCTATCAGGTCAGGTGGCAAGCAGGAAAGGTTAAGACCATTGGCTAAAGATCAGGTCCCCAAGAAAACGCTTCTCTAATGATGAAACCTAACCCTGGGCCCTTAGGGACGCATCTGATCACGGACAGAAATGGTGGTATACAGAATTTCCTGTACATGAGACATGGGCTGCCAGGGCAGGAAAGGAAGATAGGTACCTCATACACCCATCCTGGGGTGGGTGGCACCAATGGCAATAGACATGCAGATTGATCAGTCTGATGCCCTGGACCATATGTCGGGGGCAGGGAGTAATGGCATTGCATCTGACCTCTTGAGAAAGGCACCCCTTGGGTGAGAAGCCCACTTAACTCTTTGGGGCATTGTAGATAGAGATGGGCAGAGCATATGCAGCAGAAGACAGCATGGTGGCACGGCTGGGCAAGTGATTCTTCACATCTCTTTAACTCCCAGGGCCATCCTTGTGGATGAAGAGATCATGTCTGAAGAAAGAGAACTCAAAAAGACAGATGGGCCCATGATGACAGCACCTGATGTACGGTTGCCTTGTTGGGGCCCTTCCCCAAGAACCAGGGCAGAGCCAGGATGGGGCCAGGCAGTCACCGGGTTTAGGCTAGGATGTCTGTGAACCTCACCTGGGTCACTTCCCACCCAGACACCCAGCGAGTCCCCTTCGTAGTGAGAACCCTGCCCCCATTAGCAAACCTGTCCTTCGTCAAGGAAGCTCTGGGATCACTAAACCCTCCCCTGGCCCCTAGAGGCTCCCAAAGGGGAAATGGTTCCTGGTCAAAAAGAAAAGATCAGGAGAGCTTAAAAATGCTCACCCTGAACTTCTCTAAGACCCAAAAGTTCTCCTAGACCGAGGCCAAGAAAGTTATCTAAGACAAGTTATTTGCCACAGATGTTTGCTAAAACACTTTAGAAAATAAGAGAAGGGGAAAGTATTGTGTGGGTTAAATCGTGCTTGTTTCCCTGGTGGCAGTGGGCAGGTAAGGGGATTTGCTCTTCAGAGTGCATGACCACCATGACATTTGATTGGGCAAATGGATCAAAATTTTAATGCACAGTTCATCAGTTGAGGTATCATTCTCCATGCACACTTTGTAGCCACCCATGCATGCTGCAGCTTTGTTTGTAAAAGAAAAAAATGGGGGGGGACTTGGGGTAGGAGGGGAGGGGGAGGGAGGAGACTGTGTCTCAGGAAGCAAACTCAGGATCTAGCACATGCCAGGCATCTGCTCTACCACTTGAAGCAAGTCCTCAGCCCCTGTTGTTTTTTTTTTAGAGAGAGAGAGAGAGAGAGAGAGAGAGAGAGAGAGAGAGAGAGAGAGAGCTCTTTAACCTGATTTGTAGAAATCTATAATGTAATGTATTAAGCAAAATATATTGCATGCATACTGGTGCAGAATGTTCTATCATTTTTGTATAAAGAGAAACATGCACAAGTATTTAAAAAGCACACACTCACTGAACACTTACACGTCTTACACTGATCTAAGCATCATTTTTTGGCATTAAAACTGTCCCAGCCACCCTGTGAATGGGTTCATTCTTGCCCCATTTTACAGATAAAGGGAACCATCTGCCAAATATCAGATTTATAGCAATCTGACTTTTAACCATGTATTTATTCTCCCTCAAATAGTTAGAGATAGATTTGCATTGCATGAATATCTCTGGAATAGAAGCTCTATCATAGGAGAATAATATTTTTCTATTTTGTTGGCCACTATTACAGGACCAAGGACTATGGCTGGTTTATAAGGCCAATAACTGTTAGTTGAATAAAGAGCATAACCAAGTAGGATGCAGAAGATATGGGACCAGGTTCTCTGGGGATAAACGAAAGCCTGTGGAGCAGAGATGGGATTTCACATTCACATAGTATAGCTTCTCTAACATTTTGAATATTGTGCATTTATACTAAGAGCATGCACCACCTACTTTTATAAAGTATTCTCATGATGTTTATAAATACTCAGCTACATAAGTGTGTATATGTGTCATACACACAGTAAGAATATCTACACAAACAAGCAACACATATGCACCAATCTACAGTGTAACCTAGTGGCCAATTTCTACTTCTCTTAGGAATTTTTTTTATTTTCCAATGTAGTATTTTCTTTATTTCCCAAAATGGTGAGTACACACCTCTCTTTTCAAAAAAAAATTTTTTTTTATAAAGTAGCACTGTAGCACTGTCCTCCCGTTGTTCATCGATTTGCTCAAGTGGGCACCAGTAATGTCTCAACAAATTGTGAGACTTGTTACTGTGTTTGGCATATCGAATACGTCACGGGGGGCTTGCCAGGCTTTGCCGTATGGGCAAGATACTCTTGGTAGCTTGCCGAGCTCTCCAAAAGGGGCAGAGGAATCGAACCTGGGTTGGCCATGTCAGCTGCATGCAAGGCAAATGCCTTACCCATTGTGCTATAGCTACAGCCCATTTTATAAAGTAGTTCACGATATTTGATTACATTTAATATTCAAACACCAATCCCACCACCATTAGACCTTCCCATCACCATATGTTGGATGTTTCCATCTCAAACCCAGTCCCAGCCCCAAAGCAGAACCAAAATAATACATTTTGTATTGCTTGCTGTGAAAACCCACTGAAAATGCTACAAAAAAAGTATCCTTAGAGGAAAAGGGCACACCTCTCTTTCAAATGTTAACTCTTTTCTTCAATTTTAAAGCTCTTTATTGGCGAATACAAAACTAAATGACAGGAAAAATCCTCAAGACTCCAGCATTCAGAGAAAAAAAAAATACTAAAATTTTAGCAAACAGCCTCCCAGAGATCTCTGCATATGTAAAAATCTCAAAATGTACACACGCTCACATTTTTTTTTGCTTTTTAATTTTTGTTGACTTACAATATTATCAATGTTTCAGGCATACTGTTCCAACACATCTACCACCAGTGTCAGCATCCCTCCATCAATGTCTCAAGGTCACTTCCCACCTACCACCAACTCTATCCCTTGGAAAATTCAATTCTACTGTCTGAATCTCAGGGTCTGTCACCATTGACTGTTATTTTCTGACTCTGCTCTGTGTGTGTGTGTGTGTGTGTGTGTGTGTGTGTTAAATCACCGAGAGAGAGAGAGAGGTACCCTATGCTTCTTTATATCCCACATATGAGGGGGTTCATTCTGTATCTGTCACTCTCCTTCTGACTGATTTCACTCAGCAGATCAGCTCTGTAGCTGTGAACTGCACCCTTTAACCTTTTCTCATAGCTGACTAGTATAGACAATTGACCACAGAGTCTTTATACATTTATCTTCCTTGGGTACTTGGATTGTTTCCAAATCTTGGCTACTGTGGGCCACACTGCAGTGAACATGGGACTGCAGTATTTTTTCAGAAAATTTTGTTGGGGGTGTTGTAGACACCAAGAAGTGGAGCTCATACGAAAGCTCTGCTCCAACATTTTGGAAGTCTCCATAGTCTGAACAAGTCAACATTCCCACAATGGATGAATGCTCCTCCTTCCCCACCCCATCACTAGTTATTTCTATTCTTTTGAATGTGTACCAGTCTCACTGGTTTGAATTGATTTGATGGTTGTTGAGATTTGCATGTCCCTTACTATAAGTGCTAAAAGAACATGCTCAGACTTTCAGGACATATGTCCTGTACATGAGTGGAACTATGTTTGCGCTTGGTAAAACATCATGAGCATCAAGCCCCGCCCCTTAACATACGCCATATCCTCCTCCACAGACCCAGATACCACACACAGGCCATTTAAAACCATCTCCTATTTACAGTTGCTCCACTGCCCCCAGAGGGCTTTTCCCCCTTCTGTTATAAATTAACGCTACAGTGTGTCTGCTTGTCCTTGCCTTTGAGGCACTTGTCCAATTTCCTCCATAGGATGGGGGAGAGGGAGCATTGCTATTTTAAAGCTAAGTACCACGACACACCTCATTTTTCTGTCCATGGTGGGAAGGGGCGCATTGAGTCACTCCTTCCAAATGCGCACTAGCCTCTCCTAATACTCTAACTTCTAGAGATTGATATTGAACTCTGTCGAAATAGAAAGAGTAGACCTAAACCAGAGCCAGACGGAGTTACAGGACTACATAGAGATCTTTCCGCATGAAGATTTGCTTTCCATTGGCATAGAAGAAGTAAGTAACAGCTCGAGGGTCCTGGCACCATCAGCTGTTCTCTCTCCTCTGACCTGCCCCCCACCAGAAATTGGAATGCTACCACCATACATTGTGAGGGCATTGAGCGGGTCCCCTCTCCTGGAGTCAGATGAGTTCAAGACAAAACGAGGCTGTAAACTTTCTGAATTCCCTCCCCTGGTGGCCCTTCCTCCTCACCGGTGCTCCCACTATAATGGCATTTTCTCTGCAGGTCTTTGACATCTTGCCACTCTGTGGGGTGCTGCAGCCATACAGCACCCACCAGATCTCTTTTACCTTCTTTGGCCACTGTGACATCATCGCAAGGGCCAAGGCTTTGTGTGAAGTGGAAGGAGGGCCCACCTATGAGGTGATCCTCCGGGGAGAGGCATCCCTCATCAACTATTCCTTTGACACCAAGGACATCAACTTTGGATTACAGGTATCACCATCCACCGAGCTGAGACAACCAGCTTTTGCCTGAAACTACAACCACAGGCCTTGTGTTAGGGTCCCTCCTGGCAGCTCACCTCCTCGTCGTCGTGTCACCAACACGCCAGAGTTGCTCCCTGGTCTGCCTCTTAGAAGCTCATCCTCCCCCACTTCCCATCTGCCAGTCACTCTCACTTGCATTTCCCGCCTCTGGCTGAAACTCAGCGTTTTAGACAGCTGCCTTTGTCCACCCACCCTCTCCATGTGCAGGTCTCGTCCACCTCCCACTTCTCCAAGTAACGCCACCTCTTCCCAGTATGGAGCTCACAGCTCTGAGGCAATTTCGGGGGGGGGGGTCTCTTCATTATCTGCAGCTAAACTTTCCCTCTCTTGCCTGTTTCACATTCCCCGGGCACTCTGCTTTCCAATTCTTGCTTTGCAGTAACTCAGTTCATTCTGTGTTTGCCCCTATAAGAATCGGTGTATGTATTCAGACTACAGCCCTCCCCACATTCCAGTTGGGACTGGATCTCTCTTAGAACTCCTTTGTGTAGAATTACTGATGTGTGTGCTGAATGTGTCTGTGAGTTAAAGATTGTGCCTTCAATCAGATGCACCCACAGCTTCTCTGGCATGTTGGCCATGTATAGGTCTACATGCTGGTTAGCGGGATCCTTTGGGCATGGGTTCAGTTCTGTGCATTGTCTGAAGCAGCCAATCCTGGTCTTGGCTTATTTTCAAACCCCTGAAGTGGCCTTCCAGCTGCTGACTTATGCTAGCAAAATCTCTAGAAAAGAAACTCTTCTGGTCTACCAGTAAGATCCCCACCTCTCTACATAGGAAAGAAAAAGGGTGGGACGGGCAGGGGTCATTCTAAAATATTCTGGACTCTTATCAAGAGAAAACAAGCAAACCTTAGTGCAGAGGAGCTTGTTTGAAGATCCTCTGATACTAGGTCTCTCTAATGAAGCCCCTGGGAGGTCAGATCCTCACCTTGACCACCCCAACTTCTCGCTCTGTTGTCAAAATACCCAAGATCAGATCCCTGTTTCCAGGATCCAGCCCTTCCCCTGTCCCCATAGGCACCCCGATGGGAGACAGAAAAGTGGGCTGGCCAGTGTCTGCATCCTGAGAAGTGAATCCTTGTGTGTGTGGAGAGGGGTGCACTGATGTCCCCCATCTTGGCCAGCATAAGTGCAGTGCCCCCACGGTCTGCTCTGCCCCTTCTTTCCTTTCAAGCCCTTTGACCATGTCACTGTGAAGGAAATCACACTGAGGAACACGGGCCAAGTGGGCTTCGAGTTCAAGGTACTGGCCGAGCCACAGTCTGCCCCGAACAACCTGCTCCCTGGAGTGCCACTCCTGCTGCCCAGCTCGGTAAGGAACTGCCCTCCCATGGCAAAGTGATGGAGGGGGGGACTTTCTGGCCCTGAAGCCCATGCAATGCTACCCAGTGACCCTGTGGGGATGATAGGACGCCCCCTTCTTTCATGGTTGGTTTGCTTTGTTTTTTCAGACACTTTGATTTACAAAGTTTCTCCTAATACAGTTGTTTCAGACATTCAGAGTTCCAACACGAACCCCACCACCATCAGTGGGACCTTCCCTCCACCAATATCTCCAATTTCCCACACATCCCCCAAGCCTCCCCTCTTAACAGGCACAATCAAATTTGCTTCAGATTGCTTGCTCCAACAAAATGGCAAATGGAATTATCAAAACAACAAATCAATAAAAGAGAATCTGTGATAATTGTTATATCTCCCACTGGTGCTGCTAATGTCATTGAGGATTTACTGAGCTGGTTGGTGCTCATTGAGCCTTCTGCATTATTATTTTCATTCATTAAGGGTTTTGGGGCCTCCACACAACTTTCCCATAAAATGTTCAGTGCTCCGACTGAGCTATCATTGTGTGGTGTGTGTCACGTGTGGTCGTGCTTTCCAGGAGCTGTGAAACAGGGACAATGTGGTGGTGTTGCAGACTGATAGGGTTCAGTTAAGGAGCTGAGCTACTTATATTCCAGAGAACCCTGGGTGTGGGTGAGGGGTCTGACAGCCCCCTACTTTTGAATTGAACTTGGTTTTCAAGGTGTCTCCACGGGATGTTGACTCTACATTTCCCTTTGTCTGTGTGTGCCAGATTTCCTGTTATCAGGCCCAGTTCTTAAAATGAAAGCAAGAGTTTTTTACCAAGTCCCATCCACCATACGCATGAGTGTTTGAACTCAGAAGCAGATACAGGAAAATGTCCCAGCAGAATTCTACGCGAGAACTCTCTCGCTGGGAAATACTTGGCTCAGTATGCAACATAAAGGTTGAGCCCACCCCTCACCACTCTGCCCCCATTGGCTGCGTGTCTGCTAGCCGGCAGAGGGAGAATTTTCCGGAAGAATTTCCCACGGACTTTGGCCAGCGTGTGTGCTGCAGCCCATTCCCAGCGCATTCCTACTGGCACTGCCACCCGCTGTGTGTGCCCTGGGGAGACTTGTGTGTACCTTGGGAGCAAACGCTGCCAGTCTCGTGATTGTCTGTCTTTGCCTCTTCCTGATTCCCTTGAAGGATGAGCCGCCTCTCCTGGGTTCATTTGTGACTCACGGTTCCTCTTTGCCCGATGCCTGCTCTCTATGCTTTCTCTATTATTTACGTGTGTCTTTCTCTATTATCTGCTCTCATCGCTCCTGAGGACTGGATTTTGCAGGGAGGAGTGGGAGTGACCAGGAACCAGCCTCATTGGCTCTGGGGAGCACCTACCCCCATCCAGTGTTTGGGAGCAGAGAGTCCCACCAGGGCTAAAGCTCCCTCTGGCTTTCTGCTGTATAGGCTTTCATCGGTTCCCAAGAAGAGGCGAAGCTGAAGATTTACTACTTACCTGGAGTCCCCGAAATCTTTCATAGGAGTTTCCAGATACAGATCGCCCACCTGGAGCCAGAGAAGATCACTCTGAGCGGGGAGGGGGTCTTTCCCCGAATCAACGTGGACCTCCCCAGGAACCTTAAAGGTACAAAGACCCACTCTTAGTTCATGAACTCCAGGAGTCAGGAGAGCAGGCGGGGCTTGCTCCGGGGAACACAGGAGACCACACACCTTGGCAGCCTGGCAGTCCTCGCTGGTTCCCTTCTGGGTTATTTCTCAGTTGCAAAGAAAAGTCAAGAACTGAAATCAACTTGGGAACCCAAGTTCAGGGAGACCAGACACGGCTCAGAGCAGCCCAGAATCAAACCCCCAAGAGCTGGAGGGGTGGCTCAAAGGTACAGAATCCCCTGAGCACAGCCAGGAGTGACTGTACACATACAGGGCACGGATCTTGGAGAAGCCCTGAGCACTGCAAGGCGTAGCCCCCAAACAAGCCAACGAAAAAGCCAAAGAACAAAAGCAAGACAGCAAGACTCCCCCACCCCCACCCTAGTTGATGTTGCCATCACTGAATTACTTAATGGGAGAGTTTTAGGTAATTGTTCTAAACAGGACTCATGGGGCATTCCACTGCCAAGGCCTTTCCCTGGGGCCCAGCTCGTAGCTCTCCCTGGTACCCTTTGCCCTGCGTGCACAATCTCCAGTACAGACTGGACGGAGGCAGCCCCCACTCCGGCTCCTCCTCCTCCCGCAGTCCACAGCTTGGAGGTCCATTTAGACTTCTCTCTGTCACCTTCTCATTGTCCAGCTCAGACTTGGACTCTGTTCCTGCAGGTCCTTGTCTGGGCAGAATCAAGCAACTCTTCTAGCCAGAGAGTCTCTTTGACTCTTTTTTTCCCTTATTTGGGGGGTTAGGAGGAGGCTCAAGGGAGCCATTGAAGACCAGGGTGGTATTTCAGCAGGCTAAGCACCTGCTTTGGGTTTGTTCCTGATGTCACCAGTAAGATGCCCCTCCCCAAAGCAATGAGCTGGGAGTAGCCCTCCAACACCCTTGGGTGTAGCCACAATGGAAAATAAGACAGAAACGAGGAGAGGGCTGTTCCTCAATTGACTCTGAAATCCACATTCCCTGAGGCTCAGCCTACGTCCCAGAGCCACTGGCCCACCTCTTGGTGATCATCCACTGAATCTTGACATTCTGCTCCCATCAGTCAATCCAAGACCACATTACACACACACACACACACACACACACACACACACACACACACACACACAGCGCCTCCTTGGCTCTGGGCATGGGCAGAAGTCCTCCTCTTCTAACTCTCCGTCCCACCTCCCCCACCCCTGCAGGAGCTGAAAAGTACCAAATCTTCTTGAACCAAGCCAGAAAAAACTTAGAGAAAGAGTACAGCAAGTATGAAATTTTTGACCACTTGGATATCATAGAGGAAATGCTGGATGATGAATCTTCAGAGGTAAGACAGACCATTTGCAGCACAAAGAACCTCATGGTGTTTCACTAATGAAAATTTAAAAAAAAAAAAGGGGGGGGGGAAAGAACAGCGTTTGGGCCAGGGCGCAGGGGTGTGGTATCTCTAGAGCCGGAAGGATAAGAGAGCGCTGACGCAGAAGGGAGCACGGGGACGGCAGGGAGCTGGAGAATGTAAGTGGAGGCCTGTAGACCTGAAAGGGTCTTGAATTTGATCCTGAGGGGGCAATAGGAACCTCAGAGGGCTTGGAAGTTGGGTTTGCATCTTAGAAAGAGTTCTCTGACTGCCAGGTGGAATTTTGAGGCATTGGGCTAAGGTACAGGAGTAGATGTGATGGATTTTAAATGGAGGATGAGGGCCAGAGAGATAGTACAGTGGGTAGGGTGTTTGCCTTGCATGCAGCCAACCCGGGTTTGATCCCCAGCTTGATCCCCATTACATCCCATATGGCCCCCCAGCACTGCCAGACACTCCTGAGTGCAGAGCCAGAAGTAGCCCCTGAGCGTCGCTGGGTGTGACCCAAAAAGCCTAAATAAATAAATAAATAAAAATAAAATGGAGGGTGAGGGGACATTGGGGCCCCTGGAGGACAGAGATGGGTACACTAGTAGTGGGTACACTGCTGGGTGAGGTGTTGGGGTACATTTCTGGGTGAGGTGTTGGAGCACATTGCTGGGTGCGGTGTTGGGGTAAACCAGTGGTGGGTGCAATGTTGGAATTACATTATATTAGGGAGACTGTTGCTAGTGGTACTGTAGATCATAGAACCCAAATCAATACAAAATTTAAAATAAACACAAGAGGGAGAAGATGTGGGTGTGCAGAACGAGGATGCAGAGGGTTGGGTGTAAACCAAGGGGGTGACAGTGGGCATGGGAAATGGTCAAGGGTTAGGGTTTGAGTGTGGGCGTCTTGTGTAGATGGCAACAGAGGACTACAAGATAGTGAACCCTACAGGAGAGCCAAGCGGGAGAGCTTGGAAGGAAATACCTTCAGATGCACCTACTGCCTCCTGGATTCCGCATCCAAGAGGAGGCGTCCTCTGGGGAGTCTAGCAGTCTAGCTTCTGCTGTGGATCTAGGGGGTGGTTGACGATCAAAAGGCAGCAGCTATCACCACTGGAAACAGTGGGAGTCCCGGAAGATGCGTGGAGGGAGCACAGAAGGGGGTGGTTGGAGAACAGAACCCTCCGGGACCCAGCAGCAGCATTGGGAAGAGGGGACATCAAAAGATTCTGGAACAGTCGAGCTTATATAGTGCCTTCGCCACTGGTGACCTTGGCAAGAGCTAGACGCCCATGTCGCGCACACACCAGCTTCTGTGTGTGCTGTCCTTGAAGGGGCTTTGCACGCGGGAACCTGCCCCATGTGGCTTGAGATTGTTGGGTGCTGATAAGCCCCTCTGAAACCACACTAAATCCCAGAACACGTGACCTCACTAAACCCCTCGCCCCACCCCCAAATGATGAGGTTTCTGGGACTCTCTTCCTCGATGGTTGTGTTTAGAAGAGATGGTTCCCTGGAGAAAGGTCCAGGTGCCGGGGTGCTTGCTTAAGTGTAGGAAGGGTTGTGTATACATCAAAGGAACAGAGAAGGGGTTCACGAAGCTTATGAAGTCAAGTCTCTCCTGTGTGCATGGCCTTGAAGAGTGCCACCACCCATGTGGTGCCCAAAATTCTTTCGTCCTTCTCCATGAACAGACGTGTGCCACTTGGGGGGGAAAGCACCCGTCCACTATGGAATATGACCCTTTGCTCCTGTCTGTTGCTCCAGATAAGTGCTCAGATCCACATGGAAGTGGAGCGGCTGATAGTGCAAGACTATGCCATAGAACACCACAGATCCATCCCAGACCCCACTGAAGACATCAGCCACCGGTGCCACCGCAAACTGTCCAAGTGAGTCACCTATCCATGGGGCTCGAGGTAGGTAAAGAAGGGAGGGTGGCACTGGGTGCTCCCCCATGCCCCGAAACAAGGGCTGACTCTCCAGGAAGGAAATCCTCTCGCCCCATCTGCCCGCTGATGGCATCAAACGCACAAGGCCCATTGCTCTGAGTTGGTGAATGTGCCAGCCTGACTTGCAAATCACACAGGCCCAGGCTGAGCATGTCTTGAGAGAATTCCTGAACAGTGCAAACTTCTGGGATATTCACTGTCTTCCCCTCCTGAGTCGGGGACAAGGCGCTGAAGTAGGCAAAAGCCTCACGCTTTGAAGGCAACTGCTAAGGAGATCTTGTGGGCCGTTTCAGAGTACAGCTGCCAGAGTACATTCTGGACTTCGGCTACATCATCCTCGGGGACGTCCGAACCCACATCATCAAGATCACCAACACCAGTCACTTCCCAGTGTCTTTCCACGCGGACAAACGTGTCCTTCACGATACGGGTAACCTGGCTAACCCCCCTTCCTGCTGCCCTTCGCCACTTGCAGGGCCAGTGTGGAAGTGTCTGCCCCTCTGGGATGAGCTGAGAGAACACAGGCCAGCCCCGGAGTCTCTGGCTGGCCCCAGGTCCAGCACCGGCGGCTGCTCTCCTGGCTCCGCCTCTCTTCCACGAAGTAACCCTGTGTGTCTTGGTCCAGGCTTCAGCACGGAGCTCGACCGGGTCAAGAACCTGCCTTACTGTGAAACAGAAACCTTTGAAGTGCGATTTGACTCCCAAGGGACCACTCACTCGGTGGGGAGCAAGGAAACCCTCCTGCCCATCAAGGTGAGGACTCGGGCTCAGCTTCTGGCTCTGCTTGCGCACCCCCCACCCCAGGAGGCCCCCGACTCTCCCCACCCCCAGGCCGTGTGGTCATTGTGATCTTATGTCTGCCCTAGGTGGTAGGAGGACCCACGGTTTACATTTTACTCCAAGCCAAGGTGCTCATCCCCGCCATGACGCTGTCCTGCGGAAAGGTGGAGTTTGCCGCAATCCAGTGTGGACAGTGCCTCGTGGAGACCATCCAGCTGTCCAACCAGCACCAAGTCCCCTGTGAATGGTTTGTCAGCATCTCTAAGCCTGTGGACAAGGTAAATGAGTGGTGGCCCAGGCACGGCCACCCCACCTCCCTCTCCATTCTGATTTTCGTGTTTCTCCCGATGCTGTCCGCTCCCAAGACTTCCACCACCCACTGAGTAAAATCTAGGTCCTCTGCCTGGCACCCTGGGGCCTGTCAGGGAACACTCTGGGGAACTTCTGCTTCACCTCTTGCCCCTACACCGCCTGACATCTGGGTCTTAGCAGAGGCGAAGGGAAGTCATGTGGAAAATGAAGTGCACTCATTTGCCTTGGAAGACGGTCACTAATTGTCTCCCATCTGTTAACCAGCTGGAGAAGCACATGCCCAAGTACTTAAGACGAAGACTGTGTGCTGAGTTAAAGCCGAAGGCCCGGATCTTTGAGATCCAGCCCACTTCTGGGATCTTGGATCCTTGCGAGAGGTTCAACGTGCAGGTGAAGTTCATGCCCAAAGAGGAGGTGAGCTATCGGGATTGTTTCCCCTGCCCTCCACTCTGCAACTCCCGTGCTCAGTTGGGTCTCTCTGGAAATTTCACATCCTCCGTGCCTCCCACCCTTGCCAAATCTAGGCCTCAGGGGTCTCTGGCAAGGAGGTGCGTGGCCTGCTGGGTAAGAGCAGCAGCTCCCGCATCAGCCCACGGTTCCTAATGCACAGACTCACAGGAGCAGACCTGGTCAGTACATGGCTTTGGCCTCTGCCCTCAGAGCTGGGATGTTCTGGGCAGAACACATGACCTCACTAAACCCTATGTGCTCAGAGCTAAAATGAAAAATAAAATAACATGGCAATCCTGAAATACAGTAAGCTCCAAAAATTCAGGAAAAAAAATCACAAGTTTCAGACCCAAACTGCTCTGACACACAAGCCCCTCAGAACCCATGTGGAATTATTTAGCATTTCTGGGCCTGCTACATTTGCACTTAAAGATTGCAACTACACAACACCCTAATGGCTCTTATCTAATTCTTAAAACTTTTTTTAAAAAATTTGAAAATTTTCAAAAAGATTACAATAATAGAAATACTGCATATTTAGTTACAGGGGCCCTGGCCTGCCGAAAATATAAGGCTATGTACACTGTATGTACTTTAAAAAAAAACTGAATTTAAAAAACTGTGCCTTTAGGATTTCAGGTAAAACATTATCAACCCACAATTGCTACTTTGTAGAGTCATTTTGTAGATTAAATGAATTACTGTGAATAAAACACTGAGCATTATAGCTCTGCATGTTGTCTAATCATTTTAACTATTATTGCAGGGAGTTGTGAAAATAATATAATAGTAAGTACTTCCTGGTAGACAGTCTCCCTGAGTCTCACAAATGTTTCTTTTGTGAATACCATTAACAAAGAACTTGGTGAAAAATAATAAAATCCTCCAACCACAGGAGGGATCTCAAGAGGTTACACTGTAAAGAATTTCATACAAAGCTTAAAGCATTTGGGAGCTGGGTTTTATTTTGGTTTTGTTTTAATCCTTTGTTCTTTTTAACAAAGAAATTTGAGTCTTATAGAATACCCATGCTCCACTTCCCATCTTGCTGCTGGTGGCTTTGCAGAAGAGCTTCAGTCACTGCAACGAGAAAGAGGTGAAGGTGGAGTCTTTGGAAATGACTCTGAAATCAAACCTGTTTCTAGCATGTCAGAACATCCCCCCCTCAACCTCTTTAAATAGAAGAGAATTGGAATAGTTGTCATTACTATCTCCCCAAGATTTGGTATATTTTGCTAAATGAGGGAGCAAATGCAGTTTTTAAAAAATAGGCAGGATGCAAGTGTAGTCCTCACACAGGGAGCAACCCCTGAACATAGAGCCAGGAGTAGCCCCTGAGCACCGACAGGAATGGCCCCAAAACTAAGCAAACACAGTTACACAGATGTCAGGTTGGTGCTGGAGGCAATCTGTATGGGAGAGGAAGTTCTCAGCCCATGACCTGGCAAGCCATCTGACCACAGCCCCTTCCCCATCGAGGCCTGCAGTTCAGAGAACCGGCAAGGACCATACAAAGAACTCTTAGAAGGTTCAGACTATTTTGTTAGGGGCTGGAGCAATAGTGCAGTGGGTAAGGCATTTGCCTTGCACACGGCCAACCTCAGGTTCAATCCACAGCATTTCATATAGTCCCCTGAGCATCTCCAGGAGTAATTCCTGAGTACAGAGCCAGGAGTAACCCCTGAGCATGACCCCCCCAAAAAAACCAAAAATATTTTTATTAGAAAACGAATAAAATGTTTTATAAATATCCATAAAAATCAATAAAAATATAGATGTTTGGGTCATGTGGTGCTGAGCCCACCACTTTCCAGACAACCTCTTAGCCAGTGATTGGTTCTTTTATTGCCTTCAAAAGGTATCTTTCTACATGTGTACACATGTCCTTATACATTCACTCCATCTGATGTTCCCTCCTGGGCTTGGGCTAGGATATCCTACAAATAATGTGAAACCATGCCTCCACACCCACAGATGAACAAGTGGGTCTCTAGTCAAAAGTGCAGAATCCCAGTCTTACCCCAGTGAGCCAAGTCTCTAGACTGGCTCTGCCTTTAACTGGCGTCTGAGGCCAGGGGAGGGTAGTTGGTACCACTAGCCGCTCATGGAACAGACTGTCCCGGCTGATGCCCCCCACCCACCACTTACCTCTGCCCCCAAATAATGGAACTACGCTCATTCGGAATCTCCAAGAGAGGTCGGAGAGATAGTACAGCAGGCAGAGTGTGTGTCTTGCACATGACTGACTGGGTTTGATCCCAGGCACCCCATAGGGTTCCCTCAAGCCTTGCCAGGGGCTCCCTGAGCGCAAAGCCAAGAGTAAGCCCTGAGCATCTCTATGCATGGCACTAAAGAAAATCTCCAAGGGATCTCGAGGATTTGGGTGCAACTAGACTGCTAGTGGGGGGGGGGGGGGGGGCAAATACAGTAGGAGGGCTAAGAAGACTGTTGATCCAGCTTGTGCTGGTGGAGAATGGGGTTTGGTCATACTGGAAAACTGAAGAAATGAGCAGAATGCACTTGTCTCATTGTCCCTACCCAGGAGCCAGGGACCTGGGGCCTTTATACAGCGGGGCACACGGGAGGCTGGAGGATCTGAGCGTGGCACCCCGAGCTTCCCTCTGTGAGGAGGAAGTTGGTCTACCCAGCATGCGGATACAGTCCCATAAAGGGCGTGCATGCAACCACAGGAGAGACCTTCTCTCCTCTTTCTTCTCTCTTCTCTCTATTTTGTTCCCCCATGATTTGCAGACTCACGCAGGAGTTGGCTGTGCTGTCCTGTTTTCCAGAAGTTCTACAGTCAAACCCTGGTGTTCCAGATCGCGCAGAGTTCCCAGAGGCTCACACTGCTGGCGCAGGGCTGGGGCCTCGAGCCACGCTTGGAATTCAGCCCCTCCATCCTGGAGCTGGGGCCCCTGCTGCCTTTCGCCCCTGGAGACGAGATGGAGGTGGTGGTGAAGAATCCCTGCAACTTTCCCATCGAGTTTTACTCCTTAGAATTTGACCAGCAGTACCTGGTAGAAGAGAAGGTAAGCAGAGACCAGCGTCCTCGGCGCTCCTCTCCACAGCCACTGCTGTCATGGGAACCCGCTCCCTTCCACTGGCTCTCTGTCCTTCCTCCCTGCAACCAGTTCCTCATCATCATCATCGTAAGAAGGATCACTTTGGTCGTGCTTCCTGCACCCCCTGCCCTCGACCCACGGTTTGTTGCTGCTTTGTCATCACTATACAATCAAAGCACTAATTGAAAAATGAACGTGTGTTCATGGATAAAATTCTAAGCTAGGAATTGTGTAACAGTGACCATTATATTTAGGTGAGTTTCTTTCAGACCGCATAGATTTGGATCTTTTTTTAAGAAAAATAGACTCTGAAAAAAAAAAGAAAAGAAAAGAAAAGAAAAGAAAAGAAAAAGAAAATAGACTCTGGGGGATCAGAGAGATAGTGCAGTGGGTAGGGAAATTTCCTTCCACGTGTGCAATGCCCAGACTCAGTGGAGCTCAATGAAGACTCTGCCTCTCCATGAATATGAGGTCAAAATGGGAGCCCTGCCTCCCTTCCGAAACCCTTGGGGAGGACCCTGCCTTGGGAACCCAGAGAGTCCTTGCACACACCCAGCATGCCCCCCACCGCCCCCCAGTTAGGACAGGCACCCCAGGAACAGAGCAGCCCCTCCCTGCAGATCCTGCGGATGCTGAAGGGTTACGATGCCTACAACACCCTGCTGCTGCCCCCCCGCCCACCGGGCGAGAAGCTGCCCCCTGAGATCTACGAGTACTACAAGGAGGTGAAGCGCTCCAGGGAGGAGCAGATGAAGATGAAGTACCTGGAGAACCTGGCCCAGGACAACGGTGAGCACTGGGCGGGTGCCCCACTCAACCTGTGCCTGGTGGGTGTTGCCCCTCAGGGAGCCCCAGCTGCATGCCCCGCCCCGCCTCTCACTCCTGAGAACCCCAACCTCTCCTTGTGGCTCCAAGCCCTACTGGGGACAGGGGGCATGGTGTGTGTTGGCAGTGGGCACAGACACTGACATGGGAGGATGGGGGTTTCGGAGAGGGGTCTGTGTGCTAAAGCAAAGACTGGGGTCTCCACGGGGTCTCCACAGAGGGCGCCAGGTTCAGATCTAAAGGATAAAATTTACAGTTGCATTAAAATGAAAAATAAAGAGGCAGGAAGGGATAGTACAGAGGTTTAGGCCTGATCTTGTATGTAGCCTGTCAGGGTTCGATAGCTGGCACCCCATATGGTTTCCGAGCCTCACCAGGAGTGATTCCAGAGCACAGAGCCAGGAATCAGCTCTGAGCACTGCCGGGTGTGACTCAAAAGTCAAAAAGGGAAAAAATATATAAATAACCTAAACAGCTGTGATCCTCTCCTGGCACCATAAATTAAGCCGCCGTTTCCCCCATTTCTTTCTTTGCTCTAAATTTTCTGGAGCCAACTGTAAGAGTAATTTTGGAGGCTTTGTAGGGTTACCATGTAGAAAGGCAGAAAAACTTGGACCCCCAAAGGACTGCGGTTCTCGCTTCCTGTCTTGTATTCTTTCAATGGTTTATTTTTATTTTCTTTTGGGGCACCACCTGGCGGTGCTTGGAGCTTCTTCCTGACTCTGCCCTCGGGGATTGGTCCTGGCGTGCTTGAGGGACCATGTGGGGTGCCGGGGTGGTGCCCGGGTCAACCACATGCAATGCCCAGGATATGGGTCACCAGCTGCATCGCCTCTCCCCCTTCCCCACACATCTCCCGGGCCCCTCTGCCAACTCCCCGCTGTCCTTCACTCCCGGCCAGATGATGATGACTTGCCCTTGTCAGACCACGGCACCTCAGGCAGCACGAAGCGGACGTCCCTCAGCCAGGGCCTGTCGGCCACATCCAACACAGATGAAAGGCACATCGCCATGGTCGATTCCAAAATCTACGCTGAGGAAGAGGACGATGAGGAAAGCTTGGAGAAAATGTTGCTCCAAGGTGAAGGAGCCCTTCCCTGTGTGGGTGGCTTGGCCCCGCTGAGCCGGGGGATGCTCAAGGTCTCTCTGTCTGTAACATGCAGCCTCCGAGCCCTGCCAGGCGCTCCTTATGGAACGGCCTTACTACAGTCCTGCGTCAGACCGTTCCTTCCGGTTGCATTTCCAGTGTAGCTCTTTCCCGCAGGAGACGTTCCCACACACACACACACACGCACGCACGCACGCACGCACGCATGCACGCACTGCTGGATGTGGCCCTAAAACAAAAGACAACCCCAGTACCTGCAAGAGGAATGTCTCTCCTCTCCCTCAGAGCCCATGTCACTGTAGCTGTGGCACACTTGGCCAGTGCAAGCACACAGCTCGGTGCCTTCTGTTGCAGTAGATAAGAACCAGAGTTTGGACAGCCACTCCACAGAGGAAGTCGGCGAAGTGGAGAGCAACCCAGTGAACAAGGCCATCGCCCGCTACCTGGGCATCGACATCTCCCCTGAAGCCCGCATGGCCAAGAACCGAAAGGGCATCGTCATCATTGTCCACGGGACGCCCCTATCAGGTACAACGTGAGCGTTGGGCAGGAAAGCCTCCTTCGTCTGAAATATGTAGAGCAAAACTTATCCCCCAATGCATGAAGTGACCAAGACCGACCTCAGACACGGTGACAGAAGGAACAGGGACGCCCATCCTGATGCTTTCAGTGGTCTATTTTCTTCTTTGGGGGGCACTCCCAGCAGTGTTTGGGGTTTATTCCTGACTCTGTGTTTAGGGATCAGTCCTGGTGGTGCTTACAGGACCACAGAGGATGCCAGGGATGGAACCCAGGTCAGCTGTGTGCAGAGCAAGTGCTGCAACCACTATACTATCACTCTGGTCCCTCCTTCATTTTTTTAATATCCTAATTTATTTGTTTTTTAATTGAATCACCATGAGATACACAGCTACAAAGTTGTTCATGACTGGGGTTCAGTCAGACAATGTTCCAACCCCCATCAGTTCACCAGTACATTTTTATCATCACCAGTGTCCCCAGTTTCCCTCCCGCCATCCCCCACCTCTATGGCAGGTACTTCTCTCTTCTCTCTCTCTCTCTCTCTCTCTCTCTCTCTCTCTCTCTCTCTCTCTCACACACACACACACACACACACACACACACACACACTCTGTGTGTCTGTCTCTGTCTCTGTCTCTCACACACACGCATACACATACTCTGTGTATGTCTGTCTGTCTCTCTCACACACACACACACACTCTGTCGGTGGCTCTGTGTGTCTGTGTGTCTGTTCTCTGTTTCTGTCTCTCTCTCACACACACATATACATATACTCTGTGTGTCTGTGTGTGTCTGTCTGTCTCCCCCCCCCCCCCAGCTCCTCCTCCTCCTCAGCGGCTGCTCACAGCCCCAGGCGAGACCTGGAACAGAGCCCTTGCAGAGACCCCCATCCTAGAGGGTGCCCGCCCGGGCCTCTGAGCAAATGAGAGCCTTGGAGCTGACACCCTGGAGCTTTCTCTACAGGCAAGACAGCCACGGCCATCAGCCTGGCCAAGTACTACAACGCGGCCTGCCTGAACATCGACTCCATCATGTTGGAGGCCATCTGCGACAGCAGCAGCTTCCCGGGCATCCGGGCCCGTGAGCTCTGCATCCGGGCCGCTATTGAGCAGGCCTTGAAGGAAGGAGAGGAGTCGGGTAGGTGCCCCGGCCCCAGGCTCTGTGTGTGTGTCTGTCTGGTCAGCTCCGCTCTTCTCTCTTGCTCCCCCTGAGTCATGCACAGCCCAGTGGACAGCGAACTTGGGCTGCCCTCTCCACCCGGGCTTCCTGTGAGAGGAAGGGAAGCGCCTGGGCAGCAGCCCAGCATGGGGGGTTTGGGAGAGTCACAGGAGGAAAGTAGCTCCGAAGGGCCTAAAGGCAGAACTGGTCATGGGAGAATACTGGCAAGGGAGTAGCCTCGTTCCCACGGGAGGGAGCCGGGAGCAGGGGAACTTCAAAGTGAGAGTTCCAAGCCTCCTAGTCAGAAGAAGCCTGTGTGGCTCCTCTCCGAGAGGAGCACTGATGGTGGAGGGTACTCAGGCCCTGCAGAGTGCGAGAGCAGCCGCCCCGCGTCCTGGGAGACACGTGGATGCAGAATGCAGTGACTAGAGCGGTGTCCGCTAGAGGCTGGGGTGTGTCAGGCAGGGGTGAGGGCAGAAAGGAACCTGGAGGCATGTGGGCCACGACGGTCGCTGCATGCTTCTGTCCCCACCGTGGCCTCTCACACCAGCCGGCTCTCTCGCCCTTAGCCCAGGAGGCTGCGTCGGGGCAAACGCGGCTGAGCAGCGAGACCCTGGGCAAGTTGACGTCAGAAACCATACTGGCGGCGCTGGACGGCAAGCCAGGCAAGACCTTGCGCGGGAGCGTGCCTCTCAACAAGGGCAAGGTCGACAGCCACGGCTCGGGCTCCCAGAAGCAGCACCACATGCACTCCGACACCCCGCAGGTATGCCCCGTCCCCTCTGCGCCTTTGTGTCTCGGACACGGGGGTGACTGTGGGCTGGAGGCGGCGGGTGAAAGAAGCCCCGCGACGGCCGCACGAAGCCTCCTGCCCGGAGAGCTGAGCACTCGCTGAGTGAAACGTGCCACCCCAAGCACCTGCGCGGTACCAGGAGCCCTGTGGGGAAGCGCAGCTCCCTCTGACTCAGCCCAACAGCAGGGGAAGCTGAGGATAGAACCCCAACAGGGGCCAGGGCCGTGGGGCTCCAGGGCACTTCGGAGAGTCATCGTGAAGAAGTCAGAGAAACCCCCGTGGCAGAGCAGTGGACGGCTTGGGGACCGACCGGACGAGACAGGGTGTAGCAAGTGTGGGCATCTAGGGGCTGTGAAGGAAATGGAGAGCACTGGAGTTGTTAGAGGAGCAAACCCAGGGTCGAGAAAGTGTCTCCTCAGAAGGGGAGAGTCGAGGCGCAAGCAGATGTTTCTGGACACTGAAGGGCGGTACACCCATGAAGGTCTGAGTGGAGAGTCCGCCCGTGAGAGACTGTGGGGGTAGTTCACCCCTGAGGGACTGAGAGGGTAGTCCACCCGTAAGGGTCTGAGAGGGCAGTCCACCCGTGAGGACTGAAGGGGCAGTGGATGAGGCAGGAAGGGGGGGGGGGGTGGGGAGATCAGCACAGCTCCTGGGAGTGGGCAGAGGGGACATGAGTGCCACTGGTACCTTAAACAGATTAGTGCCCTACTTACTGACAGGGATCTAAGTCAGGATGGGGATTTTCCTGTTTGTTTTGATGTCGTCTTAAAAGGCATTATTCTCACAGTCAGCAGGTAAAGACACGCACCAGACGCAGGTTCAATCCCCAACACCCCATAGGATTCCTGGAGCCCCGCCAGGAGTGAACTCTGAGCACAGTCAGGGTGACCCAAAAAATATAATAAAAAATTAACTTCAGACCTTTTATCTGCATAAAACAAGCAAACTGCTTCTTCCCATAACTCTCAGAAGAAAATCAGAATCCTCGCCTGGGGCATGTGGGCCAATGCACCAAGGCTGATTACCGTGACTGACCTGGCTATATCGATCCCGCCCATGCTCCCCACCCCAGCACACACCTGAGGGGGTGGGGGTTACTGCTCCCTCGGAGGGGACTCCTGCACCCACATCCCCTGAAGTGCTGTTCTCCACCTGCCACAGCCTGGGCCATTTCTGCCTCGTTCGCCGGGGCACTCAGAACCACTGAACTAATGTCGCCATTTGTGGGTGCAGGTGTTGCTTCTGTCTCCGCCATTTGAGCACAAGGACTCGGGACAGCGCAGACCCCATTTTGTCTGTCATTGTACTCCTGGTACTTAGTAGGTGCTCAGTAAAAATCCGAGGGGTGGATGAACAAAGACCCACATTTGGGTCTGTCCGTACCCCTGAGTTCCCACTGGAAACTTGCAGCAGCTGTTTGAGGAAGATATTTCCTCACACAGAGAGAGGGCTGTGGTGTCCCCAGGGTCACCTAGCTTGGGGGGCCAGACTGGATTCAACGACCTGCTCCTTCTTCCCCCACAGATCTCCTCCAGCCCCCTCCCATTAGGCCCCACACAGCGCCGACTCAGCGTCAGCACCAGCATCGGTGGTGAAACGGGGCTCATGAGCTGCGTGCTCCCGGAGGAGCTGTTTGTCCAGATCCTGTCCGATCGCCTCGAGGTGCGTGCTCCCCAGGGCCAGAGCCCTAGACTAGGCCCCTGCCACTCAGGACCCCGGGGTCTTGGCGAGGAAGGGTGCTGGCTCAACGGTCACTGGCTCGACTCTAGAAGGCCACGTCCGTTCTGTGCCCACCTCAGCCTGCCGCCGCCAGCTCCCTGCCTTTGTGAAAGAGCAACGAGTGAGTCTCCAGGCTCCACACCCACTCTGGGGACAGCCCTGGTGTGGGATATACAGACTTTTAAGGCAGAGGTCTCGTAAGTTTGAACTGAATGTTACTCAAGGTAGTGTATTTTGTGGTTACATCAGAAGGGCAGATGATGAGGTCCACGGTCGAGGGCCTTGCTTATGTCAGGCCCTGGGTTTGATCCTTGATACTGTGTGGACCCCTGAGCACTACTGGGGGAGTGGGAACAATATAAATCCATCATAATAAAGAAAGAAGCATACAATCAATTGGTCTGAAAAGCACAATTACAGTTCTACACAAAAGGTGTATGGGATGGAACACACATAGTGCAGAGGCCCAGGTCAGTCGTCGCTTTGACTGGCAGTCTAGTTCTCTGAAGTTTTCTTCAGGTTGCTCTGATTATTTGACACTGACATGCTGCTTTTAAAGCCAGATACACAGCAGCTGTTTGCACTCGAGAGAATGGTTTATGCATGGGCGTTGGGTTAACAAAACCAAGCTCGGAGGCTTTGCGATTGGCCAGACAGCTCTTGCTGGACTTTGGCTATGTTTGTGGAGTTCTTGCTGGGGCCAGCCCTCCCTCCGCAGGACAGCTGACTCTCAGCCTGGTTGCCAATTTAACATGTTGATGTTGGCCTGGAGTTTCTGCTAGTTAAATCACATTCAAATGCGAGCCACTGGGGGTCCGCACATGTTGAACAGAACAAAGATGGACGTTGAGGTTCCCAGAGAGGAGGGGCAGCTCCTGTGTGTGTGGGGTGGGGGGGGTTCCTGCTGCTGTGGGGTGTTCTCATATATGGGGGGGCTGTTGCAGGCAACCAAATTGAAAGCCGAGAACCTGGCAAAACTTAACATCTACCATGAGCTGAGGGAGCCAGGAACTAGACCTGCGTCTGTGTCCTGATTTCCCAGCCCCTGCCTCAGCAACTCTGGAGTCGCCGTCACTGTGCTCCCCTGGACGGGCTCCCAGGCTCCATAATCCAAACTGCAGCCCCACTAAAAAAGGGGCCGATGGCACAGCGGGCACTGCCCTGGATGCCAGTTGTCCTACATACGAGAATTCCTGTTATCCTCTGAGTGGAAATGATATATCCTCTGGGGGGGTGCCTGCTGATCTGACAGTTTGAGGACCAGTCAGGCAGTTTTCTCTTCCTCTTGTTTTGCAATGACACTGTGATTGCAGGAAGAGCTTAAGGGCAACTCATCAGGCAGCAGGCCCTGGGCAGAGCCCGGCACGGCACAGGCCACTCAGCTCACTTCCCTGCAGAACGGGGGGCTATGCCAGTCTCTGGCAAGATGGGGCTGGCTGACTGTACCTGCAGGACGGGACTGGCTGACTGTCCCTGCAGGACAGGGCTGGCCGACTATCCCTGCATGACAGGACTGTGCTGACTATCCCTGCAGGACAGGGCTGTGCTGACTCTGCTCTCCCTGCTTTCAGCTGAGCGACTGCTACCGAGGGGTGGTGTTTGACAGCCTGGAGACCCTCTTCTCTCGCAACATGACAAGCACCCTCCACTCCCTGCTGAAGGCCATTGGCAACCGGGAGCACATCTACCTGCTCAACATGGCCCAGGACTACATGGTCATGAAGGCACAGGAGAAAGCCAAGAAAGAGCAAGAAGGCAAAGCCCCACTCTGCCTGGCTCTCCCTGACTCGCCCAGAGCCATTATTATAGGGGGGTGGGGGTAGGAGGTACTCATGGTGGTGTTGGGGGATGATGTGGAGCTGGGGACCAAATTGGGGCTCCCACACGCAGACAGATACTCCAGCCCTCTGAGCTGGATCCCTGGCCCTGACCCTCCCTCTCAGCAGAGCTTCTGGGGCCAGTGACCATGTACCTCAGGGCTGGGAGCCCTGAGAACTTCGAGACAGCCAACAGTAAAGGTAGTCTTTTTTTTTCTTCTTAAATTTTTATTAGTGAAACACCATGAGGTACAGTTGTAGACTTACAAATTTTTGTGCTTGGGTTTCAGTTATACAATGATTGAATACCCATCCCTCCATCAGTGCCCATTCTCCACCACCACCAGTCCCAGTATCCCTCCCTCCCCCCATCCCCCCATCCCACCTTACCTCTGTGGCAGGGCATTGCCTTTTGTTATCTTTCTCATTTTGAGTGCTGTGGTTTGCAAAAGAGACATTGAGTGGCAATCTTGTTCGGTCTATAGTCTACTCTCATCACGCATTTCCCATCCTGAGAGGAACCTCCCAACACCCTTTATTTGTTGCTCCCTTCTCTATCTGAGCTGCCTTTTCCCCTAGCGTGTGCGGTTGTCCTCAAAGCCATGGAGTAATCCTCCCAGTACTTATCTCGGCTATTCTAGGGTGTTAGTCTCCTATTTTGTTACTTTATGTTCCCCAGATGAATGCAATCTTTCTATGTCTGTCCCTTTCTTTCTGATTCATTTCGTTTAGCATGATACTTTCCATGTAGTACCACTTGTATATGAATTTTATGACTTCATCTTTTCTAACAGCTGCATAGTACTACATTGTGTAGATGTACCAAAGTTTCTTTAACCAGTCATCTGTTCTCGAGCATTCAGGTTTTTTCCAGATTCTAACTATTGTAAAGAATGCTGCAATGAACAAACAAGTGCAGATGTCACTTAGACTATACTTTTTTGCCTCTCTGGGATATATTCCCAGGAGTGGTATTGCTGGGTCAAATGAGAGCTCAATTTCTAATTTTTTGAGGATTGTCCATACTGTTTTCCAAAAGGGCTGAACCAGTCGGCATTCCCACCAGCAGTGAAGAAGAGTCCCTTTCTCGCCACATCCACGCCAACACCGGTTGCTTTTGGTCTTTTGGATGTGGGCCAGTCTCTGTGGTGTGAAATATCTCATAGTTGTTTTGAGCTGCATTTCCCTGATGATTAATGATGTAGAGCATTTTCTCATGTGCCTTTTAGCCATTCGGATTTCTTCTTTGAGAAAGTTTCTGTTCATTTTGTCGCCCTATTTTTTGATGGGGTTGGTTGTTTGCTTCTTGTGGAGTTCAACCAGTACTTTGTATATCCTTGATATCAACCCCTTGTCGGATGTGTATTTGGCGAATATCCTTTCCCATTCTGTAGACTGTCTTTGTATTTTGGTCACTGTTTCTTTTGAGGTGCAGAAGCTTCTTAGTTTAAGATAGTCCCATTTGTCTATCTCTGTTTTCACTTGATTGGCCAGTGCCATCTTTGAAGATATCATTAGCTTCAATGTCATGGAGGGTTTTGCCAACTTTGTCTTCAAACTTTGTCTTCTATACCTTATGGATTCCGGTCTGATGTTGAAGTCTTTAATCCATTTTGATCTTACTTTTGTACTGGGTGTTAGGGACAGATCTGAGCCCACTTTTTTGCATGTAGCTGTCCAGTTTTGCCAGCACAATTTGTTAAAGAGGCTTTCCTTGCTCCACTTCACATTTCTTGCCCCCTTATCGAAGATTAGATGATCATATGCTTGGGGGGAGATGTCAGTATATTCAACCCTGTTCCATTGGTCTGCAGTTCTTGCCAGTAAAGGCAGTCTTTTCCCCGCCTTCAATGAAAATATTCATGTCATCATAAAATTTTTAAAATACAGGTGGAATGCAATGGGGATATACAGATCTGACCACATCAAGGACCTTGCTTTGGAGCCAGACAGATGCAGAAAGTCCCTGCCCAGACAGGCGACCAGTGTTCACAGACCCTCTGCACCTGTGCGGATCGAGCTCTGGGATACTGGGGACCCATAGCCCAGCCCACATTCATGCCTGCCTTCCACCCCCTGCAGAGAACAAGCGCAGGGAGGAGCTGGAGAAGGAGAAGGAGCGGCTACGCACGATGGATGAGGACGAGTACGATGCCCTGACGGAGGAGGAGAAGATGATCTTCAACAGGGAGGTGCAGCAGGCACTCCGGGAGAGGAAGAAAAGGTGGGCGCCGGGCCAGGCCAGCTCCAGGGAAATGGGCTGCCCCTGGGAGGCGCAGGGAGAGGCTGCGGGGCGAGGAGGGGTGCGCGGACTCTTTCTCTCCTTTGATTCAGAGAGCTGGAGAGGCTGGCAAAGGAGCAGCAGGAGAAGAAGCTACAGCAGGAGCTGGAGCGGCAAAAGGAAGAAGACGAGCTCAGGCGGAAGATCAAAAAGCCCAAGATGGGGAAGGAGGAGGTGCAGCCCAAGAAGTCACATGCCACGGTCAGTTCCAGGTACCGCCCCCTGCTGGGGGCACCCTGCCGCAGCACACTGGCCTCACCCCATGCGACCTTGAGCTGGAGCAGCCCTGAGGGATCGCTGCTCCCCATGGTCCCTGTGCTTGGGGCCCGCCATCCTGCCACCCATGGTGCGACAGATACACAGAGGGCAGAGACCCCAGGGAGTGACCTCTCCCCTCTCCCCACTGCTGTAACCAAGAGGGACCCAGAAACCGGTGCCTAGTGCCCGGCCACAGTGGAGAAAGATGCTCACAAGTGTCTGTGACCGCTCCCGCCCCAGTGCCTGGATAAGAATCAGACACGGCCAAGAGTTACCATGGCCAGACCAGAGCGATAGTTACCGTGACCAGACCAGAGCAATAGGACCGTGGGTCGGGCATTTACCCTGCACCCAATCAGTACGGTGCCCAGAGTCTGCCAGGAGTCAGCCATGAGCACCCACCACCACCTCAGGGCTCCTGCAGGCACTCTCCAGTCCCCATGTTTAAGCCCTTGTTCATTGCTTCCTGGCCTTCTTGTCCCCTAGGGTCTTTCTTTTTCACGGCCGGAGGGCAAGGCCGACCTGCTGGAAAGGAAAACCTCTGTCCGAGAGCAGATCCAGGCTGAGAAGGAGGATCAGAACAAGAAGAAAAAGACGCTGCAGACAGAGGCCAACCTGCTGGGCAACACTCTGGTCCCCGAACCGGAGGACAGCGAAGGCGACCTCTCCAAGGACACCGACAGGTACGTGGCCCAGAGATTCAAGGACTATGAGCTCACTCTGAAGGACATCCAGGGCCTGCTCCTCTACTGGGACCGCAAGCAGCGCTTGCTCCTGCCGCACACGGGCGTCGAGGACTCGGTGCACGAGCCCGACGACCAGAGGCAAGTGCCGACGGGCGGCCGCAAGGGCCGCAAGGACCGGGAGCGCGCCGAGAAAGCCGAGAAGGAGCGTGCCGAGAAGGAGCGCCAGGAGCGCGAGAAGGCCGAGCGCGAGCGCCTGGAGAAGCTGCGCATCCCGGACAAGGACAGTGACGGCTGGGACGAAGGAGAGGAGGACCACGAGAGCAAAAAGGACCTGGGTGTGCCCTTCATCAACATCCCCACGCCCGACCCTGAGGGCGTGAACTGGAAGCAGACCCTGGAGAACGAGCGGCTGCCCAGAGCTGAGCAGGTCGGGACGCTGCGCACGCGCGGGGAGGGACCCACAGAGGGCGGGGACTGGCCCGCAACCCAGAAAGGCGTTTGGATGCCCAACGCCCCTGCAGGCTGCTGCCAGACCCAGCGCTCCACCCTAAAGGACTCCATCCACCCCAGTGCAAAACCACCTCGGGGGCAGGCTTGAGGCTCTGCGGTTGTATTTCCAGCAGTGCCCCATCTTTTGTAGACATCCAGGGGTCATTCAGTTCCAGTCCAATTTTGAGGACAAAAACAGGTGACAGGCAGGGACCACAGCTGGCTTCCAGCCTTCGAACCAAAATACAGCATAGGAAAGCGCAGCAGAGAGGGGGTCAGGGGGTTGGGTGTGCCATGGGCCGTATGTGTTTCCTAATTCTCTTCTAGTCAGTTTCAGTTCGGGGACCATTATTTTTTTTTCCAGAAATGTGATTTTTGAAAAAGTGTATCTTTTCCTCTTTTGTGCTATAGCCAAGAATATGGTCTTTGTTTTACACTTTTCACATTGCAAGCCGTAGTTTAGACTGTTCTAGAAGGACTCCCAGACCCTATTAACTTCATGATCCAGGTCTTTTGTCTCTGCCCTCCCAAACAGCCTGAGCTGGGCATTTCCTCCAACTGTGCAGCATCGCAGCTGTCAGGAAGCCTCTGCAGCTGTGGTGAGAAGACTAGGGCCACTAGGGGTCATTCACTTCGGGGTCACAGAAGGCCCCTTGGGTATTCTAGAACATTCGCCTCTTGCAGCAGTTACAGCGACCTTGGCAGCTCCTGCCTACTCTGAGGGTTCACATGCCTCTGGGAACTTTGCTCCTAAATTCTTCAAGCCCCTTCCTGCGAAGAATGCTCTCTCTGAACCGCAGAAGATGGGGAGAATGCTTTCTAGAAATACGCTTTTTCCCTCTCCCAAGGTTCTTCTTTTGACTTCTCTCTTGATGTCCTCTTTTGCCTCGGTCCCCAGGAGCTCGAAAGCTTTGCCCCCTTCTGCTGTAGTTGACCTCCTCCAAGTCCAATATTCCTTTACCTTTATTTTATTTTATTATTTTGCTTTTGGGTCACACCCAGCGGTGCTCAGGGGTCACTCCTGGCTCTACACTCAGGAATTACCCCTGGCGGTGCTCAGGGGACCATATGGGATTCTGGGAATCAAACCCAGGTCGGCCGCGTGCAAGGCAAATGCCCTACCCGCTGTGCTATTGCTCCAGCCCCTATTCCTTTACCTTTAAAAGGGAAGAACAATTTAAGATAAAGTTAAAATTAAGTTAGATGGAAGCTCTCTGGCCTAGAGACACCAGACCCCTTGGCCTTGGAAGTGAGCAGAGGGTCTCCGTGCGCTGGGCCCCCCGCATGCCATGTGCGGGCTGGACCCCCCTGTCCTTCAGAGGTCACGCCCAGCAGCCAAGGCAGACAGCAATCTGATAGGGGCCATAATAGAAGTAAGGTAGCAGGAAGCCTGCAGCAAGCGCCCTCTCCCAGACGGAGGTCTGGGAGAGCTGGATCAGGGCCCCCCCCCACACCCCTTCCCTGGACCCCCAGGTGGCTCTGGCAGCTGCCATCTGAATGACGGGTGGGCAGGTCTGAAGCGCCCTGGCTCTCTGGGAAGTAGTCAAACACGGCCGGTCTCCGGAGAGAAACTAATAGCCTTTTCCCCTTAGATCCTCGACCTCCTGGGCCTGGGCTCCTCGGGGCCTCCCATCCCGCCTCCAGCCTTGTTCTCCATCATCTCCTACCCCAACAAGCGGCTGCCTCTGGCCACCACCGAGACCCTCAAGCATTTTGTGTTTGTAGTCCCACCCTCCGAGGAGTCCTCCCAGGAGGACAAACGGGAGGTGGACCCGGACGTGGAGCCCACCATACCCACGGGCTCCACGAAGGTATGCGGGCTGGAGGGAGTCCTGCTTCCTGGGCATCCTGTTCGGGAGTCACCCTAGGTGACCCTCAGACTTTCCCAACTCCCCAAGAGGGCCCTGGACGTAACTAACAGACTGTGATCTCCCAGTTCATCCCGTCCCCCAGAAGGGTTTGGGGCACTCCCCTCATCACTCTGAAGCTCCACTGCTGAGAAGAGGAGGAAAGCTCACGAGGTCTCCGCCACAGCCCATTCGCTGCAGCCGGACCCAGACCAGGGGACCCAAGCAGCAGAGCAGAAATAGACAGTTTGAGGAATTAGGATGGAAAAATTGGCTGGTTGGTGTAAAGTCACTGTTTGGCCGCCTGACTGGGTGCAGACATAAGATTAACTCCAGGAGCATTGAAAATGTGTGGCCAGAACATTTACCCCAGAGGAGGCAGGGAAACCCCAGACCTCGATTTAAAAGTGGGAAATTGGCCCCTGAGGTGAGTGGTACCATGGACCAAGGCCTGCCACTGTCTGTCACCCCAGCTGCATCCTCTGAAAAAAGCAATTCAAAGGGATTGTGGGCTTGGGGGTGGGGTTGGAGCATCCTTTATCACCTTAGGAGGGGAAGGGCTTCATCTTAAAAGGGCACACACGTTTCTAGAAGGAACGATGGCATCCAAAAAGCTCCCTTCTGCCCTCCCTGGTGGGTGACATGTAGTAGAAGTGGCTGAGAGCCGCATCCACCCCCCACCCCCCTGAGTTTTTCCACCAGTAATCTGGGGGCACCTGATGTTGGCCACAGTTGGCAGCACAGCCTGGCAGCACCCACATACAAAACGCCTTTAATCAGGGTTCCCTGTATTATCACCATGGGGTGCGCTGGGTGCTGGGCTCCCCACACCCACACTGCCTCTTTAAGCCTAACTTTCAGTCTGCAGCAAATACACTAGGGCCTAGAGGAGACGCTAAATGACACCGTAAGGACAGTCAGAACGTTCCAGGCTATGGAAGGTTCCATCAGAACACGTGCTTGGGAGAGCAGGAGGGGCCTGGTCACAAAGACACTACAGAGACAACCACGAAGCAGCCTGACCTAAAGTCCCCGCGGCCAGCCTCGAGCTCTCACGAGGGTTCCTGTCCTCCGGGACTGGGCTGCCCTGCTCACACATGCCAACAGGGCCAACTCTCCCGGTACAGAGCTGAGTGCTGAGCCCTCCCACTCCTTTGTGCCACAGGTCCAGGAGGACCAGAACGTCTCGTCGAAGAGCAGCAAACAGAAGCAGAAGGACAAGGAGAAGCAGGAGCAACCCCGTGAAACCGTGAAGGAAAAACGCCGCCCGCAGCCCAACCGGAAGCCCGTGCCCGGGACCACGACAGGGACCATCCCCACCCTGTCAGACATAGACCAGAACAACCTCACCAGGCAGCAGTCCCAAGAGAAGTTCATGAGGTAGGGCCCCGACGCTTTGAACTGGGGGGGCAGCTGTGTCTGCAGCAGGCGGGGCGGGGCTGGGGGCCCCTCTGCCCCACGGCAGCCCTGATGCCCCTAGGCAGAAGATGCTACGGGCTTCGAGAGTCTGTGCTGCCCCACAGGCTGTCTCAGTTCCGGTGGATCGTGCCAGCCAACGGCGAGGTGACACTGAGGATACACTTCTCATCGGGTGACGTTGGCAGCTTTGACCAGACCTTAAACTTTGAGATTCTGGGGACTCACCGCCAGTACCAGCTCTACTGCAGGGGCATCTGCAGTTACCCCTATATCTGCCAAGACCCGAAGTGAGTGTGTCTGAGTCTCAGAGAAGATGGGAGTGGGGAAAGGGGTGTCGCAGGTTAGCCCACGGTGCCGGGGTCACCGCCTCCCCAGTAGGCCCGCATCCTCTCTCGGCTGAGGAATGATGAGGTTATTGAGACAAGATGGGGATTGCGGTTAGGGGTTATTGGGGGGGTCACCCTCCAGCTTTGAAGCCTCCAAAGTGGACCTTGGCGTGGGGCTCCACAGCGGGGCCTCTGTGTCCCCTAAAGGCACCAGCTCTCAGCCCCAGGTGAGGGTCTATGGTGCTCCCCCAGGGGCTCAGAAGTTCACCCCCACCCTCAGAAGCCAGTTCCCCATAGGCCTCCCTGGGAGCTCTCCCTAGGAAAGAGCTCTCTGCAAATCCTCTTTCATCTGAGGGGTGATTCCCCCAAGTAGTACCCAGAATACCCAGGCACCCCCCCCAAGAGATTGGGCCACCCAGGCAGGGCCTGAGGCTGCCCAGGGGTGGCACCCTCAGTGTTTGGGATCTTGGGGTGCTGGGAATGAACAAAGGCTCATGTCTTGCCTGGTGCTGGGCCTTGGGCCCTGGGGTCTTTCTCGGTGCAAACAGGGATAGACCCTGCAAAGTCCGAGTGGAGAGTCTCCTGTCTCTGGTGCCAACTGATGGTTCATGAGCATCAATTGGGAGAAGACCCCTTCCTGCCAAAATAAAGATGCTTCCTAGGGGGCTAGTGAGGGTGGGCTGCAGTCTGGACCCTGACGGTTCATCCGGGTGGATCCCCTCCCGCTCTCAAAGGGTGGTGTTCTCTGAGCGGATGCCGGACATAAAGCCCGATGAGGTCATCTTCAAGAAGTATGTGATGAGCACCGAGAAGTTCTACTTTGGGCCACTGCTCTGTGGAAAATCAAGAGACAAGTAAGTTCCGTCGTTTCAAAGCCCGTCTCCCTCCTGCTGCGGAGACTCAGGAGAGGAGCTCCGGTTCCCCTGGGCAGATGCAGGTGTGGCGAGTTTGGGGCCTCAGGACCCCAGGAGTTGGGGGTTGCTGTTTTCTCAGAGGGGAAGCCTGGGAGAGGAGAGGAACAGGCTGAGGTGGGGGAAGGGGTGTGATCAGGAGCTCACTTTGGGGTGCCAGGAGAAAGACCAGGGGCCAGTTCAGCCTATAGTGGATAGTAATGCCGTCCCCATTGGCAGGACACCGGATGAAACGTGGTGGGAGTCAGTAATCACCTTGGGTGCAGTTGGGACACTCCATTTGCTTGCTCGACAATGGCAGAATTTTAGGGCTACAGTGGGTGATGTTTTCTGGAAAGGGGGCAGTTGGCAGATCAGCATGGGACTCCCTAGGCTCTGGGGTTCCAGCCCCCAGAGGAGGGTCTGGCTCCAGCTCATGGAATCTAGGGAGTTGATGTGACGGGAGGCCCAGAGCCCCAGAGGCCACCTCCAAGTGCCAGCATTGGGGGCACAGAGTGCTTGGGTGGGGGTCACGGAGTCAGGGCTCGAGAGAGGTGAGCAGGTCCCCACGTGAAAATTGGGGTGTCTTAGCCAGAACTCTTTTGGAGGCAACTTCTGAGCAGTCAGCAGGAGGCCGGCATGCAGGGGTGATGCTGGCCTTTTGGGAGCAGCTGTCTGCATGTCAGAGAGACGTGGAGCCCGGGAAGTGGCTGGTTCCTTGGCTATTTAGCTACTAAAGTGGACCAGGCCGGGGGGGGGGGGCTGGGGCCTCAGGAGCAAGGAAGGACCATCAGTACAGCTCCCCTAGCTGCCCACACCTGCGGATGGTGCAGACTCTGGCTTTGCCGGAGGGCCCAGTGCCACCTAACTGGGGAGACAGAGGCTCTCAGGCAGGGGGGTGACCTGAGGTTCAGGGCATGGAGGAGCTTGACCCCCAGAGCTCAGGATTCTGCTGTCAACATCATTGCCACCTCTAATGCCCACTCCCTGCCATGGCCACAGGAGCCACAGGCCCACCTGAGAGGGACTGTCCACCCCACTTGAGAGGGGAGGAGGCCCCACAGCTTTGGGTGTGGGCCGTCAGGTCCCAGCCAAAGGTCTTCTGTTCTCAGCCACAAGGTCCCTGTCATGGGGATCCAGGCTGCCCTGCAGGACTGTCTCCCTTTCTCTCAGCCATGCTCACCTCCACTGCCTGGCGTGGCTCCCTTCTCAGGTACAAGTCGCCCATGTTCCCTGGCAACACGGAAACGCTGACGATCCTGAACAACTCGCCGATGCCTTCGGAAGTGTTCTTCTGCTTCCAGAATGACGTCAAGGCAAGCACATACTTCCTGGAGCCCCTGAGCATGGTCCTGAAGCCCAACGAGTCCCAGGTACGGGCACCCAGGTGGGCAGGGGCCGCGTTGGCCTCACTCGATGGAGGGAACCGAGGCAGGGCTGGCCAGGGCCTCATGTGGCTCTGTTCCGGCCCGTGCCCTAGCTGCTGCATGTGTGGGCTTACCCGACCGCCGTGGGGCTCTTCGAAGACAGTGTTGTCTGCTGCGTCAAGGAGAACCCGGAACCTGCTATCTTCAACATTTGCTGCCAGGGCGTCCGCCCCGAGCTGGAGCTGGAGCCGAAGCAGCTGCACTTTGACCGGCTCCTGCTGCACAGGTCCGTGTGCAGGTGGCCCAGCGTGGGTGGGGGCTTCCTCCCGGCTCTGAGTATCAGCCCATGGACAGGCCTGGGGCACCCCACCCCGAGATCAGCTGCCAAAGGAAGGTGCCCATTTGTCTTTCTCAGGACTTGCTTTGACCCAATCCTCAAAGTAGCCCATTTCCCTAAGACGTTAAGACTCTGAAGTCAGGGTCCCTGCCGAGAGCGTGACTCAGCAGTGCTTCCGGGGAACCCCTTTCTTGTAAGAGGGATCTCTCCAAGGGGCTGCCGGGAGTGGGCGAGTGCTGCATCCTCCCTTCCTGCTCATCCCCCCTGAGACACTAGCACAGCCCCCACGGAATTCAATGGCGGGACCTGGCAGATGGGACGGGGCACTGGGAATCCCCGGGACCCAGTGCTGTTTTCTTGGGCCTGTGCAGGAGAGAAACCAAGGTGATCATACTCCGCAACATCACGCCCCTGCCTGCCTCCTGGCGTGTGTCCAGCCTAGAGCACTTGGGCGAAGATTTCGCCCTGCCCGTGATGCAGGGGATCATCGCCCCCAAGTCAGAGTACGGCCTGCCCGTGCACTTTCAGCCCTCCAAGCCCGTCAGCGTCAAGAAGACCATTCGCCTGGAGGTGAGGCTTCTCCCGGGCCCCCTGATGCGCATTCATGAGCACCAACACACTCACAGGCAGAGGGTGTGAACCCCCAAGGTAGACGTGCTGGAAATTGTTCTTCTCTGAATCGTGCCCGAGACCCCCAAAGGTCATGATGGACAATAATCCCCCCACCACCACCACTGCCAAGTGCCCGTGTCAGAGTAGGATCAGACATATGCCAAGACATCTGCCCTCACCTGTCCCCACACACATGACAAAGCTTTGCTTCCCAGTACCACAAGGTCTCCAGCTCACTGAACAGGGTCCCTCCCCCTGACAGATCCTGGACGTGGACAACCTTGTCGGGATTGTGCAGGTGGAGAATGTCATGGTGTTTGCAGAGTCTTACGACATAGCCTTGGACATCGTCTTCCCCAAAGGTCTGTCGTCCACTGTAGAAACAGGCATTTCCTAACCATGTCCCTCAGTTGTGGTCTGTTTCTCTGGTGGAGGGGACACGTGGTCATGAGGAGGTGGGTGGGAGTTTGCACATTGTGTCGTCAGACCCAGAGGGATGTTAACAATCTTGAACCTTAAGTTTCACCAACCGGAGATGAGGAGCATCCTCTGGTGTGGTGGGCAGCACGCTGAGGACTGTCCCTGGAGACTACTGGAGACTACTGAGTAGTTTTCTACTGTCACAAGCTCAGCGGCTCGCAGCACTGCTGCACACGTATCACCTCCCAGTGCTCAAGTGAGACATCTAAACTTATCTCACTGGGCTGAAGTCACCAGGTACTGGCAGGCTCTGTTCTTTCCTGGAAACTCCGGAAAGAGTCTGTCTCTGGGCCTTTCCTGGTATCTGGATGCACCTGTGTTGACTCGTTCTCCTTTCACTCCATCTTCAAAACCAGAAGTGTTGAGCCAGGCCTCTCAGCCCGCGTCTCCCTGGTGCTCCCGCTCCAGCCCCCTCTTCTGCCCGTAAGGCCTCCTGATTACAGGGGACCCACCCAGGTTATCCAGAATAACCCCCTATTGCCAAGTGACTAGCAGATGACTAGCAAACCTTCATTTCATCTCAGACCTTAGTTCCCCTTCGTCTTAGAAGCAGCAGAGCCTCACGAGCTGCAGGGATTCGGATGTGCGCATGTGGGGTGGGGCCATTCTCTCCCCACCACGCCGCCCTGCTCTCCGCATACCCTCTCCGTCCTCCTCCATGCCCTGGTAGGTCTGAGAGTCATTGAATGTTTAGGACCCCTGCATGCCATTTTCTACCAAAGAGACTTACTACAGCATCACCTATCATAAAGCAAGCTTGGAAAAAAACTAAATGTAGACCGATACAGAATATTATTATTATAGAGGCAATATTATTAATTATAAAACAGCTTTATCATAGTGTATTATGCAAGCATTAGAATTGTATATGGGCTAGAGCGATGGCACAGCAGGTAGGACATTTGCCTTGCACGCAGCCAACATGGCCGACCCGAGTTCGATTCCTTCGCCCCTCTCGGAGAGCCTGGCAAGCTACCGAGAGTATCTCGCCCGCACGGCAGAGCCTGGCAAGCTCCCCGTGATGTGTTCAATATGCCAAACACAGTAACAACAAAGTCTCCAATGGCGACGTTACTGGGCCCGCTCGAGCAAATCAGTGAACAACGGGAGGACAGTGACAGTGATAGTGAGAATTATATATGGGGGGCGGGGGAGGGCACACCCTCCAGCAATGTTCAGGGTCTATTCCTGCCTCTGTGCTCAGGGATCACTCCTGGCAGTGCTCAGGGACTACAAAGGGTACCAGATATCGGCGAAAGTCCGTACCAGCTGTACTATCTCTCTGGCCCCAAGACCATATCCCTTAATAGCTTCAATTAAGAATAATTGAATTGCAAGAAATGCTTATGTGAATGCTGAGTGAAACAATGAAATTCTATGTAATAGCCCAACTCTGTAGATTGTATACTTCACACCCTAAAAAAAAGCCTCCTAGGGGTTTCAGCTCAGTGGTCGCCTGGGTGGGAGGGCAGAGGCGGGGGACTGAAGCCCAAGCGCGGACACCCCACCCCCACTCCCCCATCCCCTACCCCCACCCCCCAACGCCCCCCATCCGCCATGTGCTTGCTGTGTCTCCCACAAGGGGTCGCTTTGCCACCATGTCTTCAGTGAATGGCTTCTGGGGAGTTGGCCCCGGGCCTCCCCTGGGAGGTCAGCAGATTGTCCCCCTCTCCTCCCCACCTGTCCCTGGCCTCTGCAGGAGCAGATGGTGGGCTCGATTTTGGGACGGTGAAGGTGATGGAGGACGTGAGGCAGCTGCTGCTGCTGAAGAACCGTGGGAAGTACGAGATCATGTTCAGGTAACCTGAGGCAGTGGGGCCGGGGTCCTGCATGCCCATGTCCACGGAGAACAGGGTCACAGGGGAGAGTGTTTAGAATCCAGGAGGAAGGGCTCGAGCAGAGCCCAGTGGGCTGAGCACAAACTTTGCAAGCAGACCTCCCCCCTTCCCCGAGCACTGGGCTAGGAGGATCCAGCTCCCTGAAGACATCTGGGTATGGCCCCAAACCCGCCCAGAATATGATGGGGAGTGTCTGGTTTAGTCTCTCCTGACTTCCGGCGAGTAGAGCTCCCACTCCAACTGCTGAAAGGCCTGAGGTTTTTCACTTTGCTCTCAACTCCACAACTGCAGGGCCGCTGAGTGGGCCTGGGCCCCCAGGGCTGGGGAGCTGAGGGAGACTAGGGGAGGGGTGGGAGGAGGAGACACCAGTGAGAGCTGGCTGCCTCCTGCTCTCCTGCCCTCCGTTCGGTTCCCCCTGGCCTTTGTGTTGGCCTCTGCCATAGCTTTCCTGGGAAGGGGCTGGAGAAGTGACTTGAAGCAGCCTGCATGCAAGAGCCCTGAGTATGACCCCTGGCGTGGCCTGCCCTGCCCAAGTACCACTGAGGAGAACCCCGCCCCCAAGCAATAGATTTATGGGAGTAAAGCATTTTCCGATTTTTCTTTTTGAATTTTAGGATGCATAATAGTGTCCCCAACGTGGCCTGGTGGCCTCCAACCCCAACTTATGCCCCCCCCCCAATGGACTAGAAATGAGCTGCCCAAAGAGGGATTCCTCAGAGGATGTCACGCCGCCTTCCAGGGCCCTCTGAAAGTTTTGCTTCGCCAGAAAGCTGTGACAGTGACAAGGGGGCTTGCCCCTGACAGCTTTGGGAGAGATCTGGGGACTTTGACCATTTCAGCTAAAAGGATGCTGGAATGAGAGCCCCCGTCCCCAAACTACATCAGTTAGAGCCGGAAATCGAGATAGATGTCAGTAGGAGCTAAGCAAATCTTGCATGGGGGCGTGTCTCCTGCATTCTCAAGGCCTCGAATGTGGCCCTTGGCACTGCTGAGGAAACTCCTCTGGAAACTGGTTACTTTGGTGCCGGTGGAAGTTTGCTGGCTCTGTTTCAGATCACGACCATGTTAGTGCTTCTTTATTAGGTTGCAAGAAATGGGGACCCCTTGTCTTGGAAGCACGAACCTGAAGGTTCACTGAAGGGAGGTGAAGAAGTACTGGCACCCTGCAGGCAGCAGTAGAACCTGGGTCCCCCAGAGCCTGGTGTGCCTCTGATTTCCCGCAGTAGCACTGGCTCTCAACTCACTTCCTTGCTCCTGGCCCAGATCACTGCATTCCTGTTTGCTGGCTCCACCTCCTGGCCTCTTGCCTCGCCCCCCAAAACCAGGGCCTTTCTTTCCAAGCCCCTCTGCCATATAGCCGCCACCCAACTAACTTGCCTCCCAGACACCTCCTGGTTCAGCATCACTGTCCCCCTCTGCACACAGTCTTTAGCCTCAGATTGGGGGGATGGTGGCGGGGAAGGAAACTGGTCTCACGCTGAAGACTTGAGGCCCGGATGCGGCTGGTGAAGGCAGAGCATGGACCTTGCATAACCTGAGCCCATTCTCAGGGATTTTCATAGGATCCTTCTCAAATGCTTTATAGTATTGTCCAAAAGTCTTCAAATGTCCATAGTTTAGGGATTTCCAGGAAAATTATAGAAACCTAACAGCTCTCCCAGTGCTGCTGAGGGTGACCCAGGTGTCCCAGAACCCAAGGGCCCAAGCAACATTGCATCCTCATACTCTGAACCATTGACCCAGTTGGTCAAGAATCGCCAGTGGAGTCCCAAGACCTTCTGAGCACTGCTTGGGAGCACCTACACACAGTCACACACACAGACACACACATGCATGCACACAAACACACATGCACACACACACCCCAATTGGAACCTACTTGGTTTAATGCTTAGAAAATATTTATAGATAAACTTAATGTATCAGTACAGATTTCCTGGTCTTAAAAATAGGAAGTCTTATTGGGAAAGTGGGAGAGCATGGCAATATTTTTTAAAAATATATCAGGCTGGAACGCTAATGCAGCGGGTAAGGCATAGCCAGCCCAAGTTCGATCTTCAGGACCCCATATGACCCCCAGGAGTAACCCCTGAGCTCAGAGCCAAAATTAGCCCTGATCACAATCAGGTGTGGCCCAAAACAACAATAAATCAAAGTTACAAAGCTAAAATCATTTGAGAGCAGGAGAGATGACAGGAGCTAAGGTGCTTGCCTCCATATGACTCCCAGCACCTCACAGCCCCCCAAAATCTGCCTGGAGTGACACCAAAGGTGGAGCCAAGTCAGAGAAGACTATTGAGTACCACAGGGTGTGACCCAAAAGCCGAACCCCCAATACAGTTGGTCTGTCCTCAGCACCGGCATCCCTGCCACAGAGCCCTGCATGGTTCATGGCTGTGGCCGTGGGAGGGCTGAGCAGAGACCTGCGTGACTCGTGGCCATGGCTGTGGGAGGGCTGAGCGGAGCCCTGCATGGCTCATGGCTCGTGGATGTGGGAGGGCCGAGCGCACTCTCAGCCTCAAGCATCTTCCCCGGCCAAGGAACCACAGCCACAGAGGCCACAGCACAGTGCATACAACCACACAGCGTGTCACCAGACACTGATGCCTGGAATTCCCCCACTAAAACTGTGGATGCCCAGGAGGGTGCTGCAAACTGACCTGTGCCTCTTGTCTCTCAGCTTTTCTGTGGATCCGGTCGGGGCTCCCACCAACATCAGCTCCATGATCTCCGTGCAGCCCAGGAAGGGCTCACTGACCACCACGGAGAAGCCCATGAATGTCCATGTGTACTTCCGCGCCAGGAAAGAAGTGCGGATCGATCATCAGCCGATTCTTCGCTGTCAGGTGGGGCCCGTACCCCGAGTGGAGGGAGCCAGTGTCTGAGGAAGCACCGGGGTGTGGCCCCACAGAGCAGGCCTCAGAGGCTGGGTGGGAGGTGCACACCAGAGACTGAGAAAGCCGAGTTTACTCCCCAGCCGCCAAGAGTCTGGAGAGTGACAACAGGGAGGAGACCACGATGGTGCGAGTGCATGTCTGTACTAGCGTTGTTGATGCAACACAGGAAAATGCAACCATGACCTTGGCTGGGTGGCAGGGAGGGGAACAGGAAACGACATGGATGGCCGTGGGTACTCCAGAGCAGTGCTGGTGGCCAACAGCTGCCCCACGCTCCTTCCCTCTCCAGATCATTGAGCCCGGCATGGCAGAGGGCGGGGAGGTCATCGCCAGCATCCCCATTAAGTTCTCTGTGAATGCTGTCTACTCCAAGTACGTCATCAACCCCTCCAACATCATCAACTTTGGGGCGCTGATCTGCGGCACCCGCAAGAGCAGCTCCTTCACCATAGAGAACCAAGGGGTGACCGACTTCAAGTTTGTCCTGTTCAGGATGACCGGAGAGCTTCCCATTTACCAGAAGAAAGGGTAAGCCCCACATTGGCTCCACTCACACTGCGCTCATGGATGCTATCTGGTTTTCGAGGAGCTTTCCCGGGCCCTGTGTCCTGGCCAGGTCACTCGGTCTGAGACATGACTCACCCGAGATCATGCAGGGAATTTTTCCACTCTGGATCCACATCTTTTGGCTGAAGATCTCCCACATTTCCTAATGGCTGTCAAATATATGAGAAACTTTAGCTTCTCAGGGGCCAGACAACTTACAACCAAGTCCTTATCCTCTCGCTTTGGGGTATCAGGGAATATATATAACTGCAAGTGATAGTACAGTGGGGAGGGCTTTTGCCTTGCATGCACTGACCCAAGTTCCATCCCCAGCACCCCATGTGATCCCCCAAACCCCCCAAGAGTGATCCCTGGGTACAGAGCCAGGAGTAAGCCCTGGGCGCTGCCATGTGTTGCCCCAAAAACTTAAAACACAGAACATGCCCCTCAACATGAAGCCTTTCCAGGGGACTGGCCTCCAGACTAAATTATTGAGTCCACCTGCTGTAAGTGAGGGCGAGCAGTAGCCCAAACCTGCTGCTGTTTCAATGGAAAACGTCTTTCAAAACATCCTGCTTCTCAGTGTGGTGGAGACGAGAGAATTTGACCCAATGGCAGTTTCAAGTTTTGAAAAGAGAGGGGGTAAAAGATCCGAGGCCTCCGAATCCTATTCCGGGGAATTCAAGTAAGCACTCCAAAAGCATCATCTCCTTGGGGTGCTTCTCAGCATCCCTGAGCGTCAGTCGAACGAGCGCTGCCCATGACAGCCGCAGACCTCACAGCACCGCCCCAACGTGGGTTCCCCCTCTCCTAGCAGAAGAACCATCAGCTGAGAGCTTCTCTTGCCTCCTTAGAACCAGCCACTTGCGGAACCCGCGGTCTCGGGAGAGCGACAGCTTTCACAAGGGCACCTCCCTCAAGGCTTCCAAGTTCTCCGAGTCACTCCCCAGGGAGGTGAACTTCCCAACCCAGGTGAGCACCCCTTTCCTTTGTTCCCCACAGGCCAGGGGTCCATTCCCAGCACCCCATGTGTGATCCCCAAGCATTGGCGGGTATAGCCCTGGGAGCCCCCTCACCCCAGCACCCGCCCCTAGGATAGCAAGTTCCAGCTGCGCAGCTGAGCAACATGACATCCTCCAGCCCCTGCATGGAACCACGGCAGGGGCCGGGACGATAGCACAGCAGGGAGGGCACTTGCCTTGCCTTGATCCCAGCATCCCGAGCACTGCCAGCAGCAATTCCTGAGTGCAAAGCCAGGAGTAAGCCCTGCGCATCTCTGGGTGTGGCCCTCAAATGAAAAATTAACAAAATAAAGAATGACTGGTGGAGTCCCCAAGCCTCTTAAGCACTCGGGGGGCCTGGCCCCCTGGAAAAATGAAGAAAACCCTGCCACTTGGGCTAACAACTTAGTGGACCTCAAAGGCTTTAGACGGAGTAACTTAAGTCAGAGGAAAACAATGTCAGTTGGATGTTGCTGAGGTGCCCAGAGGAACAGAGGAGTAAAGAGCACCCCCCACCCCCATGGAAGGCTGCTGGTCCACATGGTCCATACTCCAGCATGGCGCGAGTAACCCGTTGGGGGAGGGGATGCTCAGGGGGAGCTTCATGCCTGTCACCTGGGTGTTGGTTGTGGGAGCCGACAGGGAGCTCTGAGCACCAGTGCTCATGTGTTGGCATCACCCACCCCTGGACTTGCACAGCGCCCCCCACTCTGCCTCCGGGATCCCCAGGGAGTAGAGCAGTGCCCTCCCCCGAGCTTCCTGCCATTTGGGAACCAGTGCCAGGCCAGATGCACTGCCCAGAGCTATCTGTTCTCCTGGTAAGACTCCAGGGACTGCTGGGCAAACAAGGGAAAACAAGGCTCCAGAAGTCACTTCGCCAGGGCCAGCGTGGCTGAACCTGGCAGGGCTGCGACTCAGACCTGCGGCCATCCGCTGCTCCCTTCTGTGGCTGGGACCTGGGTCGTGTCCCCTTACCCCTCCTCTCGTGCAGTCAGGCCAGGTGCAGGGAGCAGCTGAGAGGACCAGAGCAGGGGGCCGTGGACTCTCACCCACCCGCCACCACCCCCACAGGCTCGTTTCACCCACGGCATGTTCACCGTGTACCCCGGGTTTGGGGCCATCGTAGCGGGAGGATCACAGGTCATCACCGTGGACTGCCTGGCCGACCCCATCGGGAAGAGTGAGGAGTATGTCGGGATCGATATCTCTGATCGGGACCCGAGAGACCAGCCTGGTGGCATTCCCTACATGCTGCTGGCTGAAGCCTGTCTGCCAGGTATGGTATGAGCAGGGATGACCCAAGCCTTCTGCTGATTATGCCCTCTTCCCTCTGACTAGGCACCTCTTTCCTTTGACTGGGCACCTCTTCCCTCTGACTAGATGCCTCTCCCCTCTGACTGGGGTCTTCTCCCTACTGGGCTACTGTCCAGCAGGTGTTTCTGGGCTATCCCGGGGAGCCTGAGCTCTTTTCTAGAATACTCAGCCGCACCCCCCATGCCCCCCATGTAATGACTCCCCAGTCAGGCTCCTGGGGAGAAAGTGCACTGGGACTCCTGGTCTCCCGGCGCTAGCTCGGGATCTTCGGATGAACAGCACTACCCCTGGGTCCCCCGAGATCGCCGACAGCCCAGAGAGAGAGAGACCCCAGCCAGCCTCGCTGAGCCCACTCCAGAGCCTGGGCTGATCCTCCCAGTTGGTGGGCCCCCAGCAGCAACGTCTGGAGACAGAGTCAAAGGATAACAAGGCGTCCTGTGACCCACACACACACATACCTCCTCTCTGCCGCCCGCCCTCCAGCCTTCGTGACTGACGACTATAGGCTGATATTCGAGGAGCACCAGGTGTGCCAGAGCGCCAGCCTGAGCAACACCCTTCAGACCACGGACAGCGGCGGCGTGTTCGTGGAGGATGAGAACCGCTTCCTCTTCAGCAGCGTGCTCGTGGGCCACCAGGCCAAGGCGCGCTTCAAGATCATCAACCCGGGCAAGATCGCCTGCGACGTCAGCGTCAACGTCAAGCCCGTGTCCTCCAAGGTGAGGGGCCCGGGGTGGCCAGGACTCCGGGTCTGCTGGAAGTTGGGGCGCAAAGGGTTGCGGGGTGGTTTCCCTCCTGGCACATGCCAAAGAGTCCCTATCAGACACCTCACGGGGGACAAGGCCGTGGGCAGCAGCCAGCTGCCACAGGGTGCACACCCATCCTATCAGGGGACGTGAGAGGACGGTCAGGTTAGATGCAAAGTGAAACATGCACCTTTATTTTGACCTAGCTGTGCCTATTTGCCGAAATCATCTCATTTCCCCCTCCCAAGTCTGTGCCCTCAGACTCACTATTGTGCTCCCCAGTTTGCACTGAGAGAAACTGAGGTTTCGAAAGGCTGCACGCTTTCCCCCATGGTGCTGGAGCCCAAGTGTAGGGCGAGGGTGGGTGCCAGCTTCATACCCCCCACAGGCCTCAGGGCACACCTCAGCTCCCAGCATGGAGCGCCCCTCACGTAGCAGGGGGAGGGGGGAAGGTTCAGAGCAGTCATACGCTCCACGGAGGCAGGCTCAGCCCAGCCTCACTGCCCTGTTTGCAGGTAGCACCTCTGCCCGGGGTGGACAGCACTGTGTGTGGCTGGGGATGACGGAAACAGGCCCGGCCCTGTGTGACCCCAGCCTGAACGGGGCACCGTGAGGGTTGCGGGTGCCGCATCAGCACCTCGGCTTTAGTGCAGTGGGAAGCTGCCGAGTGAATGCCATCGGGGGGGAGGGGCATCCCTCCAAGACCAGACCCAGGTCCCTGCAGCCCTAAGTCCCCCCAAACATGGTCACTCGGTGGGGCAGCCAAGTGGGCGAAAAGGAGGACAGCGGCGCTCTGGCTGTTGCTGGGGCGGACACCCAGGCGAGAGGGGCAGGGGATGGAGCTGCCAGCAGCCCAGAGAGCCTGAGCGCCTCACGGTTGCCTCGCACCCTGTTCACTCCCTAGTCTGGCTTCCAGCTCGGCTCCATATGTGGTGGGGAGAGACAGTATGGCCGAAATCTAGTTTAGTCAAAGATGGCAAGGGCCGCCTAGTCCAGGGCTGACCAGTCCCCCCTCAGAGCAAGGCCTGGCTGTCGGGCCGCTCCTTCCAGGGACGAGGCCACGCGGGCCAGAGAATGTGACTAGTGCAGAGCTCAGGGACGGGGCATCCCCACCAGGGGCCCTGGCATGAGCCGTTGCCCCACCAGCCCCTGTTCCCCTGTTCCAGATCTTTGCTCGCATCACCGACATCTTTGACGTGGAGCCCAACAAGATCTGCGTGCCCAGCCGCTCGTCCGCCTTCGCCACCGTGTCCTTCACCCCACAGGCCCTGCAGACCTACCAGTGCATCTTTGAAGTGACCGTGGAAGGCCTGTCCAGGTACTGACCCCCCCAAACGCCCCCCCCCGGGGCCACCCGCACCACCAGCCCCACCCCGGGCTGACTGGTCCCCGTGTGTCTTTCTCCTCAGCAACCTCACTAAGAACCGCAACCTCTCCTTCGACATTGTGGGCGAGGGGACCCTCCCACGCGTGACCGTGGTGCGGCCAATCCTCCACGACCAGTTCGGGAACCCCCTGCTTCTCTTTAAGAGGCTTCTGATCGGCCGGTCCCAGACGCTGCCCATCCAGCTCAAGAACACGGGCACCATTGAGGCCCAGGTAGGCCCCAGATGGGTCAGGAGCCCTCTGTCCTGCCAGCTCTGCTGGGGTGGGGGCGGGGGGCATCCGGCTTTGAGACAAGTCACATGAGAGGCCCAAAGTCACTGATGCTCTCTGGATCCCAGCCCCTCACCTGGATAACAAGAGTTGAGCTCAATTTTGCTTTCCTCTTTGCTCTAATCTTTTGGACGGAGAGGTGGGGCCACCCTAGTGGTACCCAGGGGCCCCTCCTAGTGATGCTTGGCCAATGTACTGGGTACCATGTGCGGGTTCTCCGGTGCCAGGGAGCCCCTATCCAGTGTGGAAGTACTGGGGCCACCCTCTCCCTGACCCCTCTTAGATCTCCCTCTTAATGAGAAATGAAAAAAAAAAAAGAATAATAATAAAAGAGGCCCAGGAGCCGTCCTTGAGGACAGGACACTCAGACACTCAGTCCATCTTCCCTTCTGCCAGCTGCACATTGACCTGAGGGACCCACTGGGCATCTACTCCCTGAAGGGGAAGCCCACGACCACCTACAACTACCTCACAGAGGATAACAAGCCCCAGGCCGTAGGTGAGTGGGTGCACTTCAGGTCCCAGACCTAACCTCCGCTCCCTGAGCTGGACCCACGCGTGGGTTTGCCACCACGGCACCTCCCCATGCTTCAGTGGCTTTCCCCAGAGTCTTGATGTTTGTGGGTGACACAACTCACTCTCCAGCACATCTTCTATCTTCTTTGGCAGCTAAGAAAGCTCACACAGCCTCCCTAGTGATTCATCCTGGAGAGACAGCTGAGTTTGACGTCCTTTTACAGTCCCAGAAGGTTGGGAGAATGACTGGCGAAGTGCATTTGTCTGTGGTCCACAACCAGTATGAGGAGACCATCATTCACCTGGTGGGAGAGGGCTATGAGGATGACATCACTTTGGACAATATTCATGGGCTGGTGACTTCTACCAGCCAGGAGAGTGATATCTCTCTGAGCATAGAGGAAATTACCAAGGAAGAACTGGTGGCAGGTGGGAGAAGCAGCAGGGATGGGTGGGTGGGTGGATGGATAGGTCATGAATGGATAATGGATGGATGGAAGGATGGATGATAGATAGATTATGAATGGATGATGGGTGGATCATGAATGGGTGATGAATGAATGGATCATGAATGGATGATGGATGGATGGATGGATGGATGGATGGATGGATGGATGGATGGATGGATGATTATGACAGATGATGGATGGATGGATGGATGGATGGGTGGGTGGATGGATGGATGGATGGATGGATGATTATGAACAGATGATGGATGGATGGATGGATAGATGGATGGACCATGGATGGATAATGCATGGACATGAACGGATGGTGGATGGATAAATGAGTGGACAGATAGATAAGTAGATTCCCCTAGGAATAAAAACTTACTGTTCAGGGATCACAAGTTTTTTCAACATCACCTCCTAAGGCAAGAGGAGTTACCCAAGGGTGACACTTCTTCCTCAGGAGAGCCTCCCTGGGAGGGCTGGAAGGACTCCCTGGCCTTCTCTTTCCATCCTAGCTGCCATGATAGAGCACATCCAGTTCGGAGACTGTCATGTTGGATACTGCTATACTCTGAGCTTCACTCTCACCAACCACAGCAAAGTGAATGTGATACGGTTCGAATGGCCTGTTTTAATTACAGTTTCTTTCTCCCCACAGGCAAGTGAAAGCTACTCCCTCTTTCTTGGATTCCCTTCACCCTAAATTAATCCCAATTTGTTGTCCATTTCATCCCAGGAATGTGTGGGGTAGATGGATGGATGTCAGGCTAGGAGAGCCAGGAGCCAGCCCTCACTCATTCCTGGTCCCAGGGACCATGAGTCACACCCCTCTGGTCAGGGCACAGAGAACGAGGACACCAAGATGGCTAGCAGGTTGCTGATGAAGGGGTGGGGGCCCACGGAGCTCTGTGTGGACCAAGACATGCTAGAAGCAAGTCATTTTTGTTAACCATGAATGATTAGATTCCTAAGAACCTCATTTAAGACATTTCATATTTATAGCTGAAGAGCGTAGGTGATAGCCCCTCTTTAGAATATCTGCCTTTGGTACCAGGAAACCCCAAGACTGAGCTCCCCAGAATGCTAACATCAGGCTCTTCCCCCAGATTGGCCACCTCCATCCAGGGTGTGCCAAGGACATCATGGTGACCCTGAATGCAGACATACCCATCTCCCTGAAGAAGATGGGGATCAAGTGCAAGCTCTCTAAGATTGTGTTCCAGCTTCCCACAGACCAGGTCCCTGACTGGGATGACCGGATGCACACGGTCAAGTGGGTGGACATGCCCCGCACCACACCCGGAGTCTTCACCACCAAACGCAAAGTGAGTTCAGGGTCGCCGTTTCCCTCTGCCACAGGAAAAGGAGGAAGTCCCCATTCCACTTGACCTTGGTCCCCAGTGGCACACCCCGATGTCCAGGCCTGCTGCCCGCCTTGTGCCCCGTGACAGCCACCACACGCCTTCTTGGCAGAGCTTTAGCTTCAGTATCCGGGCTTGCCCCTTTCCAGAACGTCCAGAACATCCTCACTGGCTGCTGGAAACTGCCCGTTTCCGTTTCCAATAGATGTCCCAGAGTCGGTCAGTTCCAATTGTCCAGGCCCACATGTTCCACACATGCCATCCCCTGCCTTCCTTACTTGGTGTCTTTTAAGGAGCGTAATAAGCAGACATGAGCCCACACCCAGCACAGACCCGGTGGGTTATATGTGTGTTTCTCACACATTCCCTGCCCTCCCTCGAACTGCTCTTAGGAATCTGATTTGCTCGTTCCCTGAACATATGGCTTTTGCTTTTTCTTTGTCTGTGCTTCTAAAGTCATACTGTTTAATTGTAGCTCTTAACTTTTGTTTTTTGTTTGGGGCCACACCAGAGATGCTTGGGACTCACTGCTGGACATGCACTCAGGGATCACTGCTGGTGGGCTCAGGGGACCCTGTGGGGTGCCGGGGGTCAAACCTGGGTCGGCCACATGTAAGGCTAGCTCCCTACCTTCTGTACTCTCATGCTGGCCCTTAATCATTTTTTATATAATTTATTTATTTATTGAATCACTATGGGAAAAGTTACAGAGCTTTCAGGTTTAGGTCTCAGTCATGTAAATATCAAACACATTTCCCTTTACCAATACTTATTTTTAACTGCGAACCCCAATAGAACCCCACTTCCCACCCCTCCCAATTCCTGTGAGGCAGATGAGTTCTAGTTAACACTCTATGTACTTTGACTAGATTCATTGTTTCGATAAAAGATGCACCATTATTATTTAGAGTTTACGACCCCCCCCCCCCCAAAATCAGACATGCTGAAAAAGCGTTGTGAAATGATTTGCTTTCTACAGCTGGGTTTTAAGAATTAAACGATGTCGCGCGGCCACTATTGCGGCCGCGCGGTTTTGGATTTCTGCTATTTTACTTATTAACCCTGGAAGTATTTCTATTAAAAGTTAGATAGTTAAGAGATTGGTTTCTGTGCTCTGGAGTCGTGGCCGTGCCGGAGAGCCGCTCGTGGGGGGCAACTGGTGACCTCGGTAGGGCGTGAAGGACGGACCAAAACGCCCCCCTTAATCATTTTTTAAAAGATTATTTGTATGTGATCATCCACATTGTCGCTTCAGTTTTAGATCTCCCACTTCACTGCTACATAAAATCCCACAATAATATTTTCATTCTTCTCTGGGAAATTATTTGGAGTGACGCTGCTATGAACAAGGCTCCGGTGAGCATCATCATCCCTGTCACATGCTGAGTCACAGAATATGTTCACGGTGAACTCGCCAAGATATTGCCCACATGGTTTTAGAAAGTGGCTATACCACCATATACTCCTGCTAGCTGAGATATCTTACCGACTCACGTTTTCTCTCACTCTGGCATTGTCACACTTCCTGCGTCACATCACTTAAGAGTGTGACCTGACTTCCAGTTCTCTGCTCAAGCTGAATCGATTGCTAAAGAATTCTCAGTCCTTCGCGTTCTCCCTGCCATGAATGTCTTATGCTTATTTTTCAGTTGTGCTCTTGTCCTTTGTATGAATTGTTTTATTTTTGATAAGCTTTTATATTTCTATTCTTTTTCTGGGGCCAGAGTGATAGCGTAGTGGGTAGGGCATTTGCCTTGCACGTGGCCAATCCGGGTTCGATTTCTCTGCCCCTGTAGGAGAGCCCGGCAAGCTACCAAGAGTATCTCGCTCACACATCAAAGCCTGGCAAGCTACCCATGACATATTGATATGCCAAAAACAGTAACAACAAGACTCACAATGGACACATTACTGGTGCCCACTCGAGCAAATCAATGAACAACGGGAGGACAGTGCTACAGTACGGTGCTATTCTTTTTCTGAAGATATCTTCATCAAATTTACTTACTTTTTCACACCTTTAAGTGTGAGCCCAAAAAAGTTCTTAATTTTTGTTATATTTATTCACTTTTTATATTGATTACCTTTATATTTTATTTTAAAACCCTTCCCTACTAAGGAAGAAAGCTTTTTTATGCTTAAGAGTTTTGCTTTTCATATCTAAAACCCTGTTTCACTGGATTTTATATATGATGCAAGACAAGGAGTCAATTCCTGTTCCCACTACAACAGCAAATCTTGCCAAATTCCTCTTCATATCACCTTCTGTTTTCTAGACGTCTGCCATAGTTCTCCTTGTCATCTAAGTTTTTTACACACTTAAAGTATTTCTTGTTTGTACTCGGTGCCATTGCCAATTTGTCTGTCACTGTGACAGTTTCCTACTGCCTTAATGTCCTTTTCAATACTTGAATTTGTTTGTTTCAATACTGTGCCCCCCTCTCCCCACCACCTTGTAAACCTCAGCATTGTCGCCAGTGCCCATCCATCTTCCTATTTTATTTTGTCTGTTTGCTGATTTTATATCCTTATGTTGCATACATGGGCAGAGTTATCCAAGACTTGTCTTTTCTTTCTGAACTTGGCTCACTTTACCTAATTCCCTCCAGAGAATTTTGTCATGGCAAAGTTGCATCTTTTATGTAGCTAAATAACTTTGCATTATAGAAATGTAACACATTGTCTTTGTCCAATCATCAGTGGTACAAACTTCAGTTGATTTAATAATTTGCTTTTATAAATATTGCTGCAGTGAACATTGGGATAAGAGACTGGAGAGAGAACACAACAGGTGAGACACATGCCTTGCGCACAGCTGACCCGGGTTCAGTCCCCAGCACCAAGCCCTGAGTATAGAACAAGAGTAAAGCCTTGAGATTTACTCTCAGTCTTTGGTCTCAAAGCCAAGCAAAAAAAAAAAAACAAAACCATTGTGGTGGATGGAATTTTTATTGTTTTGTGACGCTTTGTGTCTGTGTGTGTATCTGTGTCTCTGTGTGTGTTTAATGTTTTAGTATTCTTCAGGTAGATCTCAAAAGTAAACTCCACGCTGCCTCAATTTCTGTAACTTTATAACTAGCCTCGGGGCTAGAACAATAATACAGTGGGTAGGGCATTTGCCTTGCACGCGGCCGACCCGGGTACAATCCCTGGCATCCCATATGGTCCCCTGAGCACCACCAGAGATAATCTCTGAGTACAGAGCCAGGAGCAACCCCTGAGTATTGCTGGGTGGACCCAAAAAGCAGAACAAAAACATTACTAGCCTTGAGAGCTCCAAGGGAAGTCTCTCTTCCATACTAGAAGATTCGGATTTGAAGATGCTTGGATTTGAAGTATCTTAACCCCCTTTTGCCTGGGATGGGGAGGTGGCTGGTGCAGGGGACTATTGTTTGGGAATCCACTTATCAAATACCATGAAATCCCTGATGGAAATTGGATTGGAATTGGATGTAACACTGCCATTTCAGGAAGAACCAGCAAGGCTGTCATATTAATTTGTTCTATGTATTATTTTTAAATCTTCTTTAGGTTTTGGGTTTTTTTTTTAATTACCGACCCGAGTTCAATTCCTCTGTCCCTCTTGGAGAGCCCGGCAAGCTACCAAGAGTATCTAGCCCACCCGGCAAAGCCTGGCAAGCTCCCCATGACGTATTTGATATTGCCAAATACAGTAACAGCAAGTCTCACAATGTTACTGGGCCCGCTCAAGCAAATCGATGAACAACGGGAGGACAGTGACAATGACAGTGTCTTTAATAGGGTTAAGACTGGACTTTTTTTGTACTTGAATCAATTTTATTAAATTATTTTTTCTGTGAATTGGCTCTTCAACATTTTCCTATATATTTTCATAAAATTGCCTTGATTTGGGAGTCCACTCTCAATGCAGTGCTCAGGAGGTCCTCCCAGCAGTTGTGGGCCCAGAGATGGAACTTGGAGTTTCCCATATGCAGACAGAGCCTGCTTGCCTGCCTTTGAGCCACCCCTCAGCCCACATTCACAACTTTATTCGTTTGGTTTGGCTTGGGGCCACACCTGCTGGTGCTCAGAGCTTACCCCTGGCTCTACATTCAGGGAGCCTGGTGGGCTCAGGGGGACCATATGGGGTGCCAGGAAACCTGTAAGGCAAGCACCTTCCATGCTGTGGGATCACTCCAGCCTCTTCACAACTTTAAAAACAAAACAAAACAAAAAATCTCAAATAAACAGTTTTAGCTCTCTTGGTCCTCTCTGTGATTTGCTTTTCTGCTTCTCTCATGTCTGTTCATATCTTGGTCACTTTCTTTTTCACTTCTGTCCAACCCCAAATCTTTCCTTCACAGTCCTAAAACTCAGCAATTTCTTGTTTGGTTCCTTTCCTTCCCACTGACAAGCTATTTTCGGTTTGCCTGGGCCTTTTGTTCTGGAGCTTGTAAGTTGGTGTTTGATTTGCACCGTGTCCCCCCAGGACCCCTGGGAGGAGACTGTGTGACTGAGGACGTGCTGCCCTGCTTACAGGTGGTGGAGACAGACCCTGAGCCTGCCCACAGCGTCATTGAGGAAAACCACCAAGACCTGTACGTCCAGATCAGTGCCAACGTGAGCTATGCTCAGTACACCTTCCCAAAGCACGACGTGCACTTCAAAGAAACTCTGGTTTACCAGACCCGCATCTTTGAGTGAGTCCCCAGGGGCCCCCATTCGGAAAGGGAACACTCTCATGATTCTCATCTCTGCTCCTTCGCCAAATATTTCCTCGCGGTCTCTGTCCACATAAGCCCACCCCATCTGGGGCCAGAGTGTCACTCAGACTTTGCAAAGTTCTCCTAGGGAGAAGCCCGAGAACTAGCCAATAGCTCAGCTGCATCCACTGAGACGGGCCTTGCAGCCATTCACACTTTATGGCCACCCCCACCCTCACGCCCAGCCAGGGAGACAGCTCAGGGAACAGCACTCTGGTAGAGAAGGGCTCCCCGGGACCAGCAGACGCCAGTGCTTCTCCTAGTCCAGCTGCCAGTACCCCTGCAGGTAACATGTGTCCCTCCTCAGTCAGGGAACCCCAAAGCCACACCTTCCCTTCAGGGGATCTACCTTCCTAACCACTACCAATTACCAATCCCATTGGGTCACTTTCACCATAAACCCCGTCGCCTAAAATGTCACCAACAGCTCCTGTTCCCAGGAGAGTAGCCAGGAAGTTCATTCAAAATCAGTGTCATCCTTGAGGAAAGGAAGGGCACCACGTCCTGCACCAGGCCCCTCCTGCAGTGGGCGCTGGGGACTTGTCTGCAGGATGAGGGGAAACCGGCCCCCGAGGGGAAGGCTACCGGCATGGTGGGCACAGCTGAACCAGAGGGACTTCAGGGTTGGTCTGCTGAGGAAGTTGGAAATAAAGACCTTGAGGTAGAAAGAGCAACATGTACACAGACACATGGAGGGCCGAGATTTGGAACAGCTCTTTGGGAAAAAAAAAAAAAGGCTAAAAAGGAAAAGAAAAGAAAAAGAAAAGAAAATTCAAGTGGCTGGAGTGACAGCACAGCAGGTAGGGTGTTTGCCTTGCACGTGGCCGACCTGGGTTTGATTCCCAGCATCCCATATGGTTCCCCGAACACTGCCAGGAGTAATTCCTGAGTGCTGAGCCAGGAGAAACCCCTGTGCATCGCCGGGTGTGACCCAAAAGGAAAAAAAAAAAAAAAGGAAAAGAAAAGAAAATTCAAACCACTGATGTTTCTGCTTCGTAAAAATTCACCAGTGACTTTTCAGTTCATCTTGCATTTTCTGCACATTGAGTGTGCTCGGGGCTTCTCCTGGCTGATACTCAGGACTCGCTCCTGGCAGTGCCCAAGGGGATCATGCAGTGCAGTGGCTGGGCCGGAAGCTGCAGAGTCTGATTAAAAACTAAAAGGCAGCCTCTCTGGAAAGAAAGATGGCGGCCACATGGGAGCCTTGTGGAGAGCAGGTCTGAGCCGGGGGTGGGGGCGCGCCTGAAACCTCACGGGACAGGGGGCGTTCCGGCCCGTCCTTCACGCCCTACCGAGGTCACCAGTTGCCCCCCACAAGCGGCTCTCCGGCATGGCCATGACTCCAGAGCACAGAAACCAATCTCTTAATTATCCGACTCTCAGTAGAAATACTTCCAGGGTTAATAAGTAAAATAGCAGAAATCCAAAACCAACATTTAATTCTTGAACCCAGCTGTAGAAAGCAAATCATTTCACAATGCTTTTTCAGCATGGCTGATTTCGGGGGGGGGGGGGGGGTAAATAATAATGGTGCAACTTTTATCGAAACAATGAAGCTAGTCAAACCAATCGTTCATTGAACGATCGGTTTGAGGCTATTCATGTTCCCGGAGCGAACAGATGCCATTGGGCTACACTAGCACGCGACAGGGACAAATGGAGACGTTACTGGCGCCCGCTCGAGCAAATCGACGACTAACGGGAAGTTAAGTGATTAAGTGATTAAGTGAAGCTAGTCAAAGTAAAAAAAAAAAAAACTAGAAGTCAGCAGGCAGGGCACGAGAGCTGCTCACAGCCACCCTGGCCAGGGCAGCTAGACAGGCGCACACCATTTCCACGCGGTGGCACAGTCAGAGTGCGGGCCTGCAGGGGCGCTGTCTCCACGCCTCCCTGGCAGTGAGGGGCTGAGTTGGGGGAGTCCCTGCTGTGGGCACCACAGAGTGCACAGAGCCCTGCCCTTGGCCTGCCCACTCTGACCGGAGCCAAGAACTCTTTCTAGAAACATCCGCTGTGCCAAATGTCTGCTGTGCCTCTGAGAGTTTTCCGCTTCCTGTGAATTGTCCAGCGGGGCAAGACCAGAGCGCCTCATGGCTCAGTCTGTGTCTCAGCCCTGTGAAAGGATCTCAGCCTTGGTCAGAGGGTCTCCGGCCCCAGGGATACCTGGGAAAGCTGTTGGATGGGGGCATCTGGAGAACACGTGCCTGCCCAAGGTAGGGACCCCTGTGAAAGTGACTGCTTCCTGCTGGTGGGAATTCTCAGAGTCACTGAGAGACACTCTGGCTGCTCGCTGTGCTACTGTGGTAGGCTCAAGGACTGGGTCAGACATTCAGACACTTGGGCTTTGCAGGGCTCTGCACGTATGTGCTGTGTTTGGATGTATTCATAAGTGTGTGGTTTCGAATAAGATCAACTGCAACTCACCTTTAGGATCAGAGAGACGGCGGAAGGGGCCAAGAGCTCATGCTCTGCATGCCGGAGGCCTGGCTTCAGTCCCCAGCACTGCACGGTTCTCTCAGCACGTGCGGGTGTGCCCCCCAAAAAAAATAATAAAGCAAGTGAGGTTACCTTTTAGAGGACTGTTTCAGGAAGAAACTGATGGGGGATGTGGGGCACCGGGCGACCGTGTCCCCTGCAACACACCTCAGAGCCGTCTCCTCTCTTGGCAGGATGGAACTGACCAACTCTGGGACTATTCAGCTGGAATTCAGCTGGACCTGTGAGGAGGCCGGGAGGGTCGTCAGCTTTGCAACGCCCGAAGGCCAAGGTAAAGAGGGTTCCCTCAGACCAGGGCGGAGTCCCCACTTAGTTCCTGGAGGAGCCAGCTCCACGCCAGGGCCCAAGTGGCTCAGGGGACACAGAGCCCAGGAGGCTGCAAGAGATGGGAGCTGACTGTCACAGGCCACAGGCCACAGGCCACTCCTCCCAGGACCTGGTGAAAGCCCCAGACACAACCCCTGCCCCCACTCCAGGAAATGCAGAAATGAGTCAGATCTGCAGAGGCTGCCTCTGAGGCCCTGCCGAGCCCCAAGACTGGGCAGCGACATTCCAGGCAGCAGAGCCCTTTGCAAGTTCACCCTCGTGCCTGCACCCACACCCTAAAGCCCCCCAATGGTGAAACCCAACTTTAAGATGATCCCCCCCACCCACCCAGAATGGTGTTCCAGACCGTTATCCTGAGGCCCAGGACCCACCTGGTCAGTAGCACTGACACCTCACCCACCGCCGGGAAGCGTATTTTCATACGTTGGTAGAGGTGGTCCAGGAGCCACCCCTGAGCACAGCCTGGGTCCTCAGAGGTGGTCAGGCCCGGCTCCTTTATGGCCAGTCAAGCCTGGCTGCCCAGAGAGGGGGGCGCCCCCTCCACCCTGACGCCCCCTCTCTGACACGTTGTAAGACACTTCTCTGCTTCTGTCCACCAGCAGAGTCCACTCAGAAGCTCCAGCTGAGCCAGGGCACACTGCACACGGCCAGTACCGTGGACAGCACCACGGACCACTGGCCAGAAACTTCCGTGCCCCCCTTCTCTGTGGAGCCCTCCTCCGGCGTGTTGCCTGTGGGCAAGACGCAGAAGCTCTTCGTGAAGTTCTCTCCTCTGGAGGTCGGAGACTTTGAGTGCAATCTCTACTGCCAGTAAGGAGCCGTGCTTCCCAGGATGAGACTGGCCACCGGGGTGGCTACAGGGAGAGCCTCATCTCTTGTACTCTTCGTCATCCCTCTAGATCCTTCCCCACCCACGGCACCCTCCATGGCATAGCACAGGGAACTGGGGCGCACTGCCTCATGTCTTGCTGTTTTTCCTTCTGAGACTGGGTTTCCATTCTCGTGAAATGCCACCAACAGGCCCCTGGTAGAGTTATTTCAGAGAGTGATGAGGGTATTCCAGCGAGGGTCTTGGATGGTGCTGGCACACGGCAACCACGTGGACCAGAGGCGGCAGGAGAGTGGGGAGGAGGATGGTCCCCAGTAGGCCAGGAACAGGGAGGGCCCAATCCAGTGAGGGAAAAGCCCGTCCAATCTCTTCCTGTGACCAAAGTCGCCGAAAGGGACTCCTCCAAAGACATCCCTCCTTCCAGAGGAGTTTGCTGGACCACAGCTGTGGGTGGCTGAGGTCTGTGGGGGCACCGGGGCCTCGTGGATCCCCACCACCACAGTTCAGGGACCCCTACCCCAGTGTGGGCTGACCACTCACATCCTCTGCACTCTCTCCCAGGAGCCCAGCACCCTCTTTCATTTGTTCAGGGATTTCTGGACCACCCTTCATATCTCACTGGTAGAAACCCAGAGGGTTCCTCTCTGCTCCTTTTCCAGCTGGGACATCTCCCTGCCTCTGATGAGCAGAGGAGGAACTAGGGGACTGCCTGTCCACGCAGTGCCCGTGCAAGCACTCATGCCCGGCACTGGGTTCACCACACCCACCAGGTACCATGTGCTGGGCAAGGCTGGGATGCTGCTGGCAACCAAGACAGTGGCAGCCCCTGCCCTGTGAGGCTCAGCTCTGGGCAATCTCCCACTGTCTCTAGCCAACTCAAGAGCAGCCACAGGTAGGCGTGTCCATGGGACAGTCAACGAGCAGAACCTTCTCCCTCAGGATTTCCAACCTGTCTCCAGGGGAGCAAGGCCCCGTTGTGACGGCGAGGGGGCGGAGCTGCATGCCCTACTGCCATTTTGATCTGAAGGACTCTGACTACATCAGCGGGCACCGGCGCGATGCAGACCTCCGCGGCCCCGGTGGTGGGTCCCTAGACCCTGCCACGCGGGTGATTGAGTTCACCAGCTTGGGCATCGGAGGGAAGAATCTGCAGTGAGTGGCACAGGGCAGCCCTGGTTGAGTGTCCACTTGGGTCCTCTCAAAGAGGAGGAACTCAGAGACCTGAGAAGCAAGACTTGGCTTCCTGGGGTGGCTCCATGAAGAAGGGGGTTCTGTCTCTAGTTTTGATTCAGAGTCTGGGTGGGCTATGGGGGTGACACAACACCTGGGCCAGAGAGACAAAGAGCAGGTAAGGTGCTTTGCTTGCATGTACCCAACCTGGGCTCAGTCCCCAGCACCACATTTGGTTTCCTGAGCCCCACCGGGAGTAATTCCAGGGTGCAGAGCCAGGAGCAAGCCCTGAACATCACTGAGAGTTATCCAAAAACAAACAAAACCAAAACACAGGCCCCTGGCCTCCACCTTAGCCTCTGAGAGTCCTGGCAGGCACATAGAACCTTACTGTTACTGCTCTTCCAGCCATCCGTTGGACCCACGTGAGATCAGCTTTGGTTTTTACAGTCAGGAAGTTCCTAGTGCAGTTTTGGGGCCCAGAAAGGGGACCCTGCAAGAGGGGGAGGGTGAGTCCCACAAGAGTCTCCCCCGGTTCTCCCCACCCCCACCGCTTGGCTCTCTCTCCTTCCCCTTGTTCAGGAGCTTTACCATCCTGAACCCAACCAGTAGCACCTACTCCTTCTCCTGGGTCTCGGAAGAGACAGAGAGTCTCCAGAACCTTCCGGTCTTCACCTGCCTCACTGAGAAGGGCATCGTTTACCCAGAGAAGAAGGCCGAGGTGTGTGTGGATGAGGAGCCGGGGACTGGGGTCAGCCATTCCTGCCCTCTCTGAAGAATCAGAGTCAGGGAGAGGAGCTGGAAGCTGTAGCCACCAACAGTCCTTCTCAACTGGCCGCCTGTATGTCAGGGGACTAGAAGGAGTTAAGGAAAACTGAGATGACTGGAGCAGGGAAGGACAGTGGGCCGCCCAGGCAGTGACATGAAGTTGAGAGTTGTTTTTGTCTAGGGGACTGACCAATAAAAGGATGCAGAGGGGTTTTCCCTTGGTAAGCCCAGAAAAGCAAATCAGAAAAGCATAATCATGTCCTACTGCTTAGTCCAGTGCATGCGCCAGGGCCCGGCCTCAGGAGAGGAGCAGGCTGGCCAGAGCACATGCACAGGCCACATGTCCCCCCAAGTTCTGCAGAGAAGCCCAGTGGCAGGAATGAGGTTAGGAAGCAGAAAGGTCACCCACTTGAAGGTGGTGGGCCCAGGGGACCGAGTAAGGAAGGGGGCTCAAACATCCAGCCCCACACAGACAGGCAAGCCCATAGTTGCCTGTCTGTCAGGGATTTTCAGAAAATTCTAGAATTTCCCCTTTTTCATGAGTCTGTCCATCTTACCATGCCTTCCAAAGATGGTCACCGTGGGCAGTGGCTGGGGTGAGGTAGATGCCCTCCCAAGAAGGCAGCCCTGGGCAAAGCAAACAGACTGATAGTAGTCGGCTGGGAATGCGGAGGGGAGAAGGTTCTGTTGGATTGTCCCACTCACTTGCCCGTCAACAGCTGCTCTTGAGTTGGTGGAGATAATCAAAGATGGCCCAGAGCTGAGCCCCTCGGGCATACGCTGCCGCCATCTTGGTCACCAGCAGCAGCCCAGTGCCTCGCCCAGTAGATGGTACCTGGTAGCCATGGTGAAAAGTGCCAGAAATTCTCCAATAAATGGAAGAGGCTGCCGGGTTCCTGGGGGAAAGGCCGACAAGCTCTGACCCCACCACTCCAATCTGTCTCCACAGATCATCTTCCAGTTCACACCGACCCATCTGGACATCACGGAAGCCTTCTGGACCTTCTTAATCCCCGAACACAACATCTCCGTCCCGTTCCTGCTGGTCGGCAAAGCTTCCGACCCGCTCCTCAACTTGAGCAAGGCCCACATCAACTTCAGCAGCCTCCTCATCGGTAGGTACCATGTGGGTGGCTGCGGGCGGCAGCATTGGGCAGGGCTTGGTCCATCCAGCCACACACTTCCAAGGCCCGTTTCCTTGCATCTCTTCTGCAACCCACCAGCCGCAGGACACTTGCCTCCCAGTCTCACTCACCCGCTGTCTTCTTGCCCCATACACACACATGGAGGGGAGTCTGGGTCCCTCTCTACAGAGGCCATCTCTAGCCGGGTTCATTCCCGAGTACCCAGTCCACCTCTCACTACAGAGGCTGTCTCTGCACAGGCTGGGCTGGCCGGGTTCATTCCTGAGTGTACAGTCCACCCCTCCTTCCAGGGTCCCCGGACTCTGTGCCATGTGGGTTTACTTCTGGGTCCATGCCTTGGCTCAGGGTTCTCTGCTGCCCTTTCCCGCAGGTCTCCTGTTTAACAAACCTCTAAAGCCAGTTCGGTTCAAATCAGGGATTGGGAAGGAAACCTCCTTCTCCATCTCCATTATTATTGTCTACTGAGAGAATTCAGCAAATAGAATTTTACAAAATCAAATAACAGATACAAACTGTACCACTGTCATCCTATTGTTTGTCGATTGCCTCGAGCAGGCCCCAGTAATGTCTCCTTCATCCTAGCCCCGAGATTTTAAAAAGTGCCACATTCAAGGCACTTTCAGGGTCAGGAGAATAAGACCCATCATTGTTACTGGTTTTTGGCATATTGAATATACCACGGGGAGTTTGCCAGACTCTGCTGTGTGGGCAAGATACTTTTGGTAGCCTGCCAGGTTCTCCAGAGTAAGAACTAGACAATAAGATGTCTATTGTCTGGTTCTAGCATTCACAGCCGCACGCTTCCGGGAGCAGGGTTTTATAGTCTCTGGATCTTGGCCGTCGATGGGCAGTTGGTGGGTGTAATGCCTATATACTGGAAGATGGGGGATCTGAATGGAGGAGGCCCCAGTCCCAATCCGAGCAGGCTTGGAGATCTATGCCCCGGGTCCCGCACACCTGGCTTCCTTTGCCAGTTCCTTCATGCGTGAGGCTCATCCGAACATGTGGAGAGTGATCTTAAGCATGGCTATGGCTGGAACTGGAGGTCTTCAGCTGCTGGGGCTCTGTCCGGGGTGGGGAGGGAAACTCAACCCACCCTCCTCCAAGGGGCCCTGGTGAGGATAGCCAGGCGCGGAGGCAGGAGACTGCGCTGTTCTCTTCCGGGAGAAGGGTTTTATAGTCTCTGGGTCTTGGCCGTTGATGGGATTACACGGTGCCGGGTGCAGTTGGTGGGTGTAACGCCTACATACTGGAAGATGAGAATCTGGATGGGGGAGGCCCCCGTCCCAATCCGAGCAGGCTTGGGGTACAAACATTGGTGGAGAAAGGCGGGGGGGGGGGGGGGGGTCGGGGGAGAGGGCGAGGAAAAGAGAGAGAGAGAGCAAGATCCCTCTCATTCCACTGTTGCTAGTGACTTTAAGCACCAAGAAACCTCACTAGACTCCAGAGCAAAGCAAAGCCAGCAGCTGGAATCATCATGTAGGCATGAAGCAATTGTTTCCTTAACAATAAGTTCCTAGAAACAGACCTTCCCCCACAAAGAACTCCTGTTCAGTACTAACAAGACCTGTGCAGAGCTGAGCAGAAAAATCTCAGGGCTGACCAGAAGGAACCCATAAATAAGCTCTCGGGACTCCCTGCCTGACCCCAGCGGCATCCCCCCGCAGGCAGGGAAGCCAGGGAGAAGGTGAGGATCATCAATCAGGAGGACCAGGGCTTCTATTTTGCCTTCGTGGACAACTCTCGGTACTCGGAGGGACACAGCAACTGCCTGATCGTGTCCCCCATGGAAGGCTGGATTCCCCCAAAGTCCAGGTAGAGAAAAAAGAAGGAGGGCAGGGGCAGAAGTGGTCATGGGGACCATGGTGGAGGTGGGCGGGCACCCTAGTGGTGGGCATGGTGCTGGAATTTTTATATATGAAACTGTACCAAGATCAGTTTTGTTGACCCCATTGCCTAAATTAAAGTGTCAAGATAAACAAATTTTAATCAAATAAAAAGGACAGCATGGCAAAAATCCCTGTGCCCCATTCGCAAAGCTTATTCCCACTCTCCAGCTTAAATAATTACAGTTCCATAGCTGTCCCTCCTTCCTCCCTTGCATTCACTTACCTAGTGAACTGGGGAGTGCTGAGAATCTCAGCCCTGCCTTAGTCTTCCCTCTCTTGGCACTCCTTCCCTGAAGCCTGCTGCATCGGTCCCTCCTTGAGGGGCTGGGCTGGCCCAGGAGGTCTAGAAAAGGTGTCGTCATTGGGCATTTCGGGGCCTTCCCAGGGCGTATCTGCCCCCCATACCAGGTCGGCATCTGCTGCCCCTCCACTCTCTTCCCCCCCCCCCCCAACCAGGATCCCCATTGATATTTTCTTCACACCAAAGCTGGAAGGAGAAGTGAACTTTAATCTGATCTGCAACGTGAAGAAGAAAGTCAACCCTCTGACCTTGAATGTGAAGGCCGAGGGCTATGCCATGAATGCAGAGGTCAAATTCAAGGACAAATCTGGCACCAGCAACGTCCTGACTCCCGCCCAGACCAACACGGTCAACCTGTATGAGGTGAGAGCTTGCCAGGGTCGGCCTCGCGCTCTTGGCCTAGCCCAGACAGGCCAGACGAGCAAACATTTGTTTGCCTCTGACTCAGAGAGGACAACAAGGCACAAACAGGCCACCTGCAGCTCCATTCTGAACGCACAGAGCTGGGACGTTTGGGTTTTCATTTTCAGGGTGTGGAGAGACTGTGGGGAAGGGGAGGAACGTTTGCAGTTAAAGGTCCAGGAAGGATGTTTGCCTGCTGGTGGAGAGCTGAGCAGTAAACACCATCGTGCTCTTCAGGTGGGGTTGGGTGATCCAAATACTTAGCAACTCTAGTTAGAATATCCAGCCACATGAAGCTAAAGGGGACTTCGACCTACCAGGTCAGCATCGTTGGCCATCCTTATCTCCCCAAAACTATTTTTGCCCCAACATGTTACAGGTCCTGAGCCCCAAGGAGGAAACCTTGGTTTGCCATTGTTGGTTCCTCCGCCCATTCATGCCCCTTACCTCCCTGTCCTTGATACCTCAGGTGGAGCTGAATGAGTCCGTCCAGTATGAATTCAGCTTCCTCAACATGGGGAAGTTCAGCTTCAGCTACCAGGCAGAGCTGAGTGGCCCTAAAACTCTGCTGCAGTACTTGGAGTTTGCCCCGGTAGACGGCAGCGTGGATGCAGGCCAGAGCATGACTGCAACCCTGTTCTTCAGGCCACAGAAGAAGTGTGTCCTCAAGAACCTGGAACTCAGACTCAAGGTGAGAACTTTGTCTGGCAGGTAGCGCAGGTCACTGCAGAGAGCATCCGCCGGGAACACCTCATCATGTATGTGCCTCGTCTTCTCTCCCGTGCCATATCCTCCAAAAAATGCTGGCGCTGAGGGAGGTCTGTGGCCACTAGTGTGGAGGCCTCGTCTGTGGGGTCAGAGGAACAGTTGCAGGAGTTAAGGTCGTTTGCCTTGCACTCAGCCAACCCCTACTCTGTCCTCCTTCACTCAGCTGGAATAGCCCCAAGCACCACTGAGTGTGGCCCCAACACCACCAAATAAGCACTGTAGCACTATCCTCCCGTTGTTCTTCAATTTGCTCGAACAGGCACCAGATACGTCTCCACTGTGAGACTTTTTACTGTTTTTGGCATATCGAATATGTCACAGTTAGCTTGCCAGGCTTTGCCGACACCACCAAATAAAAAATAAAAATAAAATAAGGCCTTGGGCCAGAGCAATAGCATAACTGGTAGGCTGTTTGCCTTGTATGCGGCCGACCCATGTTCAATCCCCGGCATCCCATATGGTCCCCCAGCACCGCCAGGAGTAATTCCTGAGTAAAGAGCCAGGAGTAATCCCTGAGCATCGCTGGATGAGACCCAAAAATACAATTAATTAATTAATTAATTAAGGCCTCATCCATGGTTGAGAGGCCTGGTGGTAAGTCTCGGTTCAAATGCATGAACAATGCATGGGCTAGAATATCTTATAATCATTTTTTTAATAAAAGAGATGAACTGGAAGGAGTGAAGGGAAGACAGAGAAAATACATACATTTTCTAAGATAAATTACTGAATGAAAAACCAAGAAATCAAGATGTTAGCCAGAATGATAGAGAAAGATCTTGATAAACCTGCTCTTCTACCCCAAGAATACTAAGGGAAACTAGTACAAATTCTCTCTCTCTCTCTCTCTCTCTCTCTCTCTCTCTCTCTCTCTCTTTCTCTCTTTAAGAACTTCTGCAATTAACCCACAACTCCCAATAGCTCTGGGAGCATTTATTCATGAGAATGGGAACGAGGCTGGCTCTGGGACATGGGACCTGCAGTATCTGTCAGCAGTGTCTCTGCCAGAAAACGTAGAGTGACACCAAGCCAGGCAGGGTCAGGGGACCCACTGCTGGCATGGCTATATTGTATTATTTTAATCTCCCAGTTTCCATTTTAAAAACCATGAGGTGGAGCTGAAGCTGTATTCCAGCAGGTAGGGTGCTTGCTTTGCAACGTGGCCACCCCATATGGTTCCCCAAGGACAGAGCCAAGAATAAGCCCTGACTACCACCAGATGGGGTCCAAAAGCTTAAAATAGAAAAATAACGTCAAAAAATGAAAAAATGAAAACCATAAGACATGAGGAAAGAAACGAGACTGTGTTAGCACAGACAGCCAATGGGAACCAGCCCCAATAAAGCTCAGCTGTTGGACGGACTTGACGGAGACTCGGAGCAAAGGAAAGCAGCCACGAACACGAAGGCGGAGCCGTGTGTCTCTCTCCCTGTCTGTATCTCGTTCTGCAGCTTAGTCCAAGGGTTTGAGTCTTGTTGGTTCAGTCTGCTCCCTTGCTCGGCTTCCCTTGTTCCCTCAGTTCCCACTGAACAAGACCATCCAATATTCACATTTCTTCTTCCAGTTTGTGTCAGTTACATAACCCCCTCTGGCTCTATGATGCCTTCAGTTCCTTGGCTAAGTCTATTTCCTTGCGCCTGGAGACTGTGTCTCTTTGTCCATCCTTTGTTGTTGTTGTTGTTTTCTTTTTGGGTCACACCCAGCGATGCACAGGGCTTACTCCTGGCTCTTCACTCAGGAATTACTCCTGGCAGTGCTTGGGGGACCATATGGGATGCTGGGAATCGAACCCCAATCGGTCACATGCAAGGCAAACGCCCTACCCGCTGTGCTATCGCTCCAGCCCCTGTCCATCCTTTGTTGTTCTTTTACTCACGCAGCCCCACCCCGTGTTCCCCCCCCCACAGATCAGCCATGGGCCGACATTTGTGTGTAGCATCATAGGCTCTGTTGTGATCCCCGCCGTGCATTTCTCCTTCACCAGCTACAACTTTGGCAACTGCTTCATCTACCAGGCAGGCATGCCCCCCTACAAACAAAGCCTGATTATCTCCAACAAGGATGAAAACGCCATGAGGTAAGCAGGTTTCCCCCAAGCTGCCAGATGGTTCTCCAGTAACGTGTGAGTCCTGGAGACCCCACACAGGTGATGTGTTGCCAACACAGAAAAGAGAGATTCTGTGGAGAAGCCAAGCGCAGGTGGGCTGGAATCCCCAGTAGCCCCTGCCCCATTGCTAACGCAGACCTGGCCACAGGCTAACCATTGAGCACCTTCCCACACCAGATGACCCTATGAGGACACTGAGGTTTGGAGAGTTCAAAAGTGAATTTCTTGGGCTGGCACTTTTGCAATGAGGCCATTGGTCTATACTGCACCTAAGCGCAGTCTCTGCACATCCCTGTATAGAATGTTCCAGTCAGGGATTCTGGGCTCTATTCCAGCTGATGCAACAGAATCTTTGGACGCTGTTCCAGAGCACTGTTGCCCCCTAGGTCAGCATCTGGAGATCGAGGCTGGGAGATGACTTCACAGCGGGAGTGCAGGCTTTGCATGCAGGGGCCCCATGTTCAGTCACAGCGTCACATGGAGCCCAGGAGTGACCCCACTCTCCCCCAAATAAAGGAATCTCAGCACTTTGTTTTGTGTTTAGAATGTTATTCAGTTACACTGGCCCTAAAAGGCAGCACACAGTGATGGGGGAGCTCTGGGGCACCCAAGGTATGGCTAGTACTACTGAAGAAATCATTTGATTTGATTTGATTTGATTTGATTAAATAATTATCACCTATGTGAATTATTAGACATATTATTACCATATTAGACAACCCAGGTCTGGGTTCAGATCCTAGTTCTTCCCTCCCTTTGAGACCTCGGCACATTGGTAAAAATCTCTGCCTGTGTCCTGTGTGAAGCGGAAGACAAGAGTCCCTCCCAGTAGAACTCCAGGGAGTTACTATCCAGCAGGTATTGGAGAGAGGGGTGACTTCTTGCCCACAGCAAGTAGGGTATACTTGATCTCTGGAAATTCCTAGTTGAGCATTAATATTGATAATAACAACGACAACTCTATGGAATATGTCCTCTGGCTCCTCGTGACTGTTGTCTATGTCATCTCATTTTCTCCTCCCAACAGCCTAAAATGTCAGTTCTCACCACTCTTGTCTTGCGGTCCTGAAGCCAGAGGTCCAAGGGGGTGTGTTCAGTAACTGACACGTCACCCGACTGTTAGTGACAGAGCCCAGATCCCAACTCCAGAGCACGCCCTACCCTCCACACTGCTTTGCCAGCCAGTTGCCTGGAGAAACCTTCCTCCTCGTGACGGTGGATCCAACCCCAAGCCACATTATCCCAAGAGAAAAGTCAGATGCGGGAAAGTGAGCTGAGGGCCGATCCAGGAAGTGCCCAGCAGAGGGGACGAAGCTAAGGTCCCTTCCTGCACTTAAATTCTGAGGTCCAAGTCCAGCAGAGCAGGAGGCTTCTCGGGCCCAGCTCACAGAGCCCCTGACTGTCTGTCTGTCTGTCCGTCTTTCCGCCAGTCTGCCTTTCAGAGCGTAGAAACCTTCTCTTGGTTTTCCCCCAGCATCGACTGCTTGTATACCAACACCAGCTACCTTGAGGTGAACTTCCACAGGGACGTGATCAAGCCAGGCAAGTCACTAGAGATCCCCATCACCTTCTACCCACGCGAGAGCATCGCTTACCGGGAGACCCTCCCCTTTGAGATCAACGGGCTCTCCCAGCAGCTCGTGGAGATCAGAGGGAGTGGAACCGAACTGAAGGTGAGGCATCAGGGTCCCCCGAACCAAGCTGATGGGGAGATGTTGAGGGTCCCCCAAACTGAGCCTAAGAGGTGACATTCAGGGAGGTGTCCCACTCTCACCCTTCCCAACCTCCTTTCCCACCATTGCTTCAGATAAGAACTTAATGGCATTTTTTTAATTTATTTTTTTTATTAGTGAAACACCATGAGGTACAGTTGTAGACTTACAGATTTTTATGCTTGGGTTTCAGTTATACAATGATCGAGTACCCGTCCCTCCACCAGTGCCCATTCCCCACCACCTCTGATCCCAGTATCCCTCCCACCCCCCCCACCCCCCATCTCCCCCTGCCTCTATGGCAGGGCATTCCCTTTTGTTCTCTTCCTCCTTTTGGGTGCTGTGGCCTGCAAAAGAGGCATTGAGTGGCAATCATGTTCAGTCTATAAGGAACTTAATGGCATTTTCACTCCTTCTGCCCACGCTGTCCTCGGGCCCCACAACCCCCCTTGCTCCTGTCCCCAGGCCAGCCCTCTTGCCTCTTCCAACTCCTCTCCAGAAACACAGTGCCTGGGTCCCCCTGCCGACTTCCTTCCCACTCACCTGGGAATGGATCCCGACCCCTCCCAACTCAGTTCCTCTGACTTCCCCAGCTCCATGCCGTGGGCAAGGGGTGCCCCAAGTGTGGCCTATAACCTAAGCCCACCCTGATCACACCCACCTCCAGCCCCTGCCCCTTGGTTGCTTTCACTGGAAGCCCCCCAGTCCACTAGGTCCAGGATGTGTGCGTACCCTGAGCACCCCCATGCAGACGGTGTCCCCGTGATGGGCACATCCAGCCAGTGGCCGGATGTTTGTCCCCTCACCAGGTTTGTCCCCTCCTTGACTCATGGACCAACCTTCTCCCCATTCTCTTTCCAACCCCGCAGATCACAGTCTCAGACCCCCCAAACCGAGTGGTGAAGCTGGGTGCCATCCACCCCGGGCAGGAGGTGAAGAAGGTGGTGTCCATCCTGAACAGCAGCCTGGCCCCGGTTACCTTCAACTGCTCCTTCATGTTCTCCACCCCTGAGCTCCAGGAATCCAAGGTGGGCCACAGGGACAGCCCCCCCACCCCCCGCGTGTGCCAGACCCTTCTCAGAACTTCCTGTGTGTGCCGCTGACCACCTAAGGGGACAGCGGCTCAAGTTCATTGTCCTCCTCCTCCTGACTGATGCACGGGAAGGAACCCGCTGTGTGAGCCCTGGGGAGCCTTGGCAGATGGGAGCAGGAGGGTCCCAGGGTCCCCGTGAGAAAACATGATGTGACTCTGTGTGGCTGGAGTGGTGTGGCCCAGGTGGGGCTGTGAGAAAACATGGTGGTACAAAGCCAGAGGGAGAGGCCCAGTGGGTGTTCCATCCTGACACCCCGTCCCCACTTGCCCCTGCAGAGAGAAGGCTTCTCTCTGCTTCTCCATCCCAGCTAAAGTCCTCTCTCCCGGTGGCTCCAGGCCCAATAGTTTGTCCAGCCAACTTGACCTCTTTACTGTTTGTTTGTTTAGGGGCCACTCCTGGCTCTGCATAATCTTAGTAACCTGAAGAATTACTCCTGGGGATGCTGAGGGTACCATGTGGGATGCTGGGGATTGAACCCAGGTTAGCTGTGTGCAAGGCAAGTGCCCTCCCTGCCATACTGTCTCTCCAGCCCCAGGCCAAGCTATTCAGGCCAAGCTCCAGGACCCTGCAGGACCACCCTGGGGCCACATCTGTGTGGCTGAGATGAGAAAGCACCACAGTCACTTTGTTGCTGCAGCTTCTGAGCCCGGGTCCCTGTTCCTGAGCCTCCGGCCCTGCGGGGGTAGCAGTGGGGGTGCTCAATTCCCAGGCGTCCTGAAAGCTGCTTTTGATCTAATATTCACCAGAGCCCCCTGCATGCCAAGCCTTGCCCCAGCCCTCAGCTTAGCCCACCCAGGACACTTTCCTGAGCTCCGCCTGGAAGGAGGCTGGACTCTCCTCTCCGCCAGCACAGTGCCCAGGGCCAGGCCATGCCACACCTTGAAAATCTGCAGACCAGTTTTCCCGAAGGAAGTCCCCGGTCATCTAAGTAACTTAACATGAGAGAGATCCCACGGAAGATCTGCCCCAACGCCCCAGGCCCCCATCCTCAGAAGCTGCTTGTCCTTGTTTTTCTTTGCCCAGGTCATAACCCTGGACCCCTTCCGCAACATCACCCTGAAGCCCAAAGAAGTGGGGAAGCTGGAAGTCACCTTCGCCCCAAAGAAGCGCATCCCCCCCTTCTCTGAGGAGGTGTTCATGGAGTGCCTGGGGCTCCTGCGCCCCCTCTTCCTGCTCAGCGGCTGCTGCCAGGCCCTGGAGATTTCCCTGGACCAGGACCATCTTTCTTTCGGGCCCGTCGTGTATCAGACCCAGGCCTCGCGGCGCATCCTCCTGCAGAACACCGGAGACCTGGGCGCCAGGTGGGCAGCGGTGCCCCTGCCCCCAAGCACTCCCTGGCCAGTGCCCTGGGCCCAGGTTCCCTTTGGTTTCACAAGCCAAGCCACTTTGCCCAGCCGCCTAAGCATCCCCACAGGCCTGTCACACTGCACTGCCCACAGCAGGAGCTGACTCAGCTTACCCAGGAGTGACGTTGGCCCTTGGTCCCACCCATCTCTGTTGCCTCTAGATCTTCTCCTCACTGGGTCCAGGGAATGCACAGCAGATGAAGCTCCCTGCTGAAAGTGCAGATGGTCTCCTGTTCTCGGCAGTGTGGACCCCTTCCCATCCCCTCCCGTGTGTGTGTGTGTGTGTGTGTGCGCGTGGGTGAACACACACACACACACACACACTGTTAATAGACCAGCTTCCTGCTTTTCTTTTGTCTTGGAAAAGGTTTAGATGGGATGTCAAGAGATTTGAGCCCCACTTCTCCATCAGCCCGGAAGAAGGCTACATCACCGCAGGTACAGACGTCTCTCTGGAAGTGACCTACCGCCCCACTGAAGTGGGCAAGGAGAGTCTCTGCAAACAGCTGCTCTGCTACATCCAGGGCTCCAGTCCTCTGAGCCTGACCCTGTCTGGAATCTGTGTGGGACTACCTGCAGCCAAAGAGGTCAGTGGGTGCTGCTGTAGAACGGAACAAGGCCCCCACAGTGGCCTCTACTGGACCTTTTATAAACAAGTGACTCTGTTCAGTCCTTACCTCAGAGCCACCTGGACTATATAGACCTGCTTCTTTCTGCCACAGGGCCTTTGCTCATACTATCCTCACTGAAGGAATAGTCACTTTCCCTTCTCATTTCATTTATTCCTCCTCTCTCTCCAGCAACCAGCTTGAGCATTAGCTTCTCAGCCAAGGTAGCATTCATCTCTTTGGCTCTGAGCAGTGTAAGAAGTATGAATTCCTTCCTCTTCCTCTCTGGTTTAGTCCCTGTCCCCAGAGCCCTAACAATGGTGTGTTGGTTGTTTTTCCAACAACATTGCTTTATGACAAAATGACGCCTGTTGTTCTTCCTCTTGATTTTGTGACTTTGATTTCTGTTCAGATGTGACACAAGGACTAGGAAAATAGTACAGGGGTTAAGGCACTTGTTTTGCTTAAAAAATGACTAGAATTTGATCCCCAGCACCCCATATGGTCCCCGACCACCAACAGGAGTGATCCCTGACAGCTGGTATGGCCCAAAATTTAAAAAAATAAAAGTGATGCAAATAGAATCAGACATTTTGCCCTGAGCATGATTGATATGTTTTAGCAAGAACATGTTTTCATTGTCTTGAGTAAATACCTAGGAGTGGAATGGCTGGATTGTAGGGTAGATATGTTTACCTTTCTGACGAGATTGTTATTGCTGCCGCAATGCCAGGGATCATACCCAGGTGCTCACATATGGAAGGCACGTGCTTGGGGACAAAGCAATAATACAGCAGGGTAGGGTGTTTGCAAGTGGCAGGACCAGATTCCATCTCCGGCACCAAATATGGTCCCCTGAGCCCAGCAGGAGTGATCCCTGAGGGCAGAGCACTGCCAGGTGTGGTCCAAAATCTAAAAAAAAAAAAAAAATGAAGAGAAAAAGAAAGACATGTGCTCTACCATTCACATCCTCAGCCCAGCTTACCTTTTTAAGAATTTAACATTTTCCCAAACTTGTGTCATTTCACTTTTCCACCAGCAATATCTAACATTCATGCTCACCAACACTTGATATGGTAGGTTGTTTTGGTTTGTTTTAATTTCAGCCATTCTAATACATAATAGTTATATCTATTGTGGTTTTCATTTAATGCCTAATGATGCAGAGTGTCTTTTCAGGTACTTATTTACCATCTGTGTATCTTCTTTATTGAAGGGTCAGTTGAAATCTTCTGTTTACGTTAAAGGCACAAGTTTGAATTTAGATCTTTGACCTGTTTAGAGTTATTCTTTGTAGTGAAAGTTATGAACCAAAATTGATTAGATTTTTGTATGGAGATCCAATAGTTTCAGCACCATTTGTTGAAAAAAATGATCATCTCTCCACTGAATTGCCTTTGCGCTTTCCTTTAAGAAACCAATAGCAGGGCTGGAGTGGATAGCACAGCAGGTAGGGCGTTGGCCTTGCACACGGCCGACCCGGGTTCGATTCCCAGAATCCCATATGGTCCCCCAGGCACCACCACGAGTGATTCCTGAATGCATGAGCCAGGAGTAACCCCTGTACATTGCCAGGTGTGACTCCAAAAAGCACTTTAGCACTGTAGCACTGTCCTCCCATTGTTCATCGATTTGCTCGAGCAAACACCAGTAACATCTCACAACAAATTGTGAGACTTGTTGTTAATTGTTTTTGGCATATTGAATACAACGTGGGTAGTTTTCCAGGCTTTGCCGTGCAGGCGAGATACTTTTGGTAGCTTGCCATGCTCTCTGAGAAGGGCAGAGGAATCGAACCCAGACTGGCCGCGTGCAAGGCAAATGCCCTACTCGCTGAGCTATCACCCAAGAAGAAAAAAAAAAACAATAGCTCATACATATATCTATTGCCAAACTCTTATTTCAGTCAGTCTGTTTAACTCTTTTCTTACTGATATCACACTATCCATGTTATTAAATCCAATGGCAGCTCCCTCCCTACACACACACACACACACACACACACACACACACACACACACAAACCCCACACACAGCACCTCATCTTATTTGATCTTTCAGTAGTGTCTGACACCTTAGCAAGCCCTCCCCCTCCATTCACTTCCATCACGCGGTTACTGGGAGGCTGTCCTTCCTGGTCATGTACTGCTGCTTTACATCACCTCTTCCAGGGCTTTATTATGGAGTGTGCCAGTCAGGAATTAGTCTTTGGCTTCCTTCTTTTCTCAAAATGCAGTTAACCACTTGAGGGTCTCACCCAGTTTCTTGGCCTTTAAAATTTACGCTAGACTGGTACCGAGAGATGATACAGGTGGTCAGACATTTGCCAACCCCCGTTTAATCCCAGACACTAGACAGAGCCCTGATCACCACCAGGGGTTACTGCTGAGTGCAGAGCCAGGAATTACCTCTGTGCTCTGCCAGGTGTGACTCAACACCCCCCCAACACACACACACACACACACACACACACACACACACACACACACACACACAGCATCGGCAGCTGCAGACAAATTGCTGTGTGCACCACACCAGAACTTGCCTCTGCCTCCAACCTGAGCCTTTCCCCTACCCTGACCCTTGGGCACTGTCATTTTCTTGCAGGTGGTGAATTTCACCTGCCAGGTACGCTCCAAGCACACACAGACCATTCTGCTTTCCAACCGGACCAACAAAACCTGGAACCTGCACCCCATCTTTGAAGGCGAGCACTGGGAGGGGCCCGAGTTCATCACCCTGGAGCCACATCAACAAAATAAGCCCTATGAGATTACCTACAAGCCCCGCACCATGAACGTGGAGAACCGCAAACATCAGGTAAGACCAGGTGCCCACCCCCCACCGCCCTGCACATTTCCAGAGTGCTCCAAGGACAGAAGCACAGGGCAGAAATCAGGAGACAGAGTGGGGGGCAGGCGGGAGTACAAACAATACTGAAACAGAGGAGACCCCCCAACACACACACACACACACACACACACACACACACACAGGAACAACAGAACAACAGAATCACAACCATAGCCCATCCAAGCTGCCCCATCCAGGCACTCAGTTCTGAAACAGAACCCGGATGAAGCAGCTGCTCATGCATAGCTGAACTGCACTAAGAACATCGCTATGCCTGTAATAAAACCCAAAAAAGGCAGAGAGACCCCAATCTTCCGTCCACTTCCCCAGCCAATGTTCAGTTCCCTCTCCTCTCCCAAACCTCTTCTGCCTCCACTGCCCAGGCCTGCTCCTGCCTGCCTGTTTATCTGCTGCTCACAGCCTTTTCACTTAATTCGGCCTCCCGGTGGTCTTCCTGAGTGCCATGCTGACAGGGCTATGACAGCCTCCCTGCTTGCCGAATGTCAGCCTGTCACATGGGGTTCTCAGGCATGAGGAACTTCTGTAATGCCCGCGGGAGGCTCCTGGTTCAGATGTACACACCCATCACAGGCTCATACACTCATGTTCATACACACACACACACACACACACACACACACACACATACACACACACCCCTCACAAGCTCCCACACTTCTGTTCATACACACACACACCTCTCACAAGCTCATACACTCATGTTCGTACATACACACACACACCCCTCACAAGCTCCCACACTCATTCACAAACACATACTTGTGCATACACACCGTTGGCACATACACTAATGCTCACGCACACACTCTCGCATACATACATCATACACACACACCTCACATGATCATCACAAACATTCACACACTCTCATGCTCATACACACACATAAACACATACACTCACACACATGCTAACATACTTATACGCTTGCACATTTCACATGCTCGTACACACACTTACACACATGTACTTCATACATACTCATACTACCTAACACACACTCATGCACATACGCACACTCATATACATGCTCATATACATACATACATACACACGTCACACACTTACACATTTGCTCTCACACACTTGCACATACACTCACATACACACTCATGCACACTCTAACACACATGTACACTCACATCACTCATACACTAGCACACACATACACACTCAAATACTCATGCACACACTCATACAGACACTCATACACACTTGCATGCACTCACACTCATGCACACACAAAGTCACACATGCGCGCACAGACATTTTGGTAACTCCGCCCGGTTTCCTGGGCTCTCTCGCACCTGCTGCTCTGCAGTACCTGTGTTGGCCCCACGGCACCTCCAGATGGTGGGTGCAGCTCCTCAGGAAGGGCCTGTGAGCCCACTGCTGCTTCTCTTCAGGGCAGCCTCTTCTTCCCGCTCCCGGATGGCACTGGTTGGCTCTACACGCTGCATGGGACCTCCGAGCAGCCCAAGGCTGTGGCCAATATCTACCGCGAGGTGCCCTGCAAGACGCCCTACACCGAGCTCCTGTCCGTCAGCAACTGGCTCAACAAGCCTCAGAGGTGAGGGGCGGGAACAGTGGAAGGAGGACACACACACACGCACGGGTGCACATGCACACACACGCGTGCACACACACACACACACACACATACACACCCCATCAGCGCCTTGAGGGGAATTGGGGGGCAGGGGAGCATCAGTGAGAGACAGTTTGATGACATGCGCAGGCTTGGCTGGCCACTGCACTCAGTGAAGTGTATGCTGAGAACTTGTCAATCCCCGAGAAATGTGCCTGTTGCATCTGGGAACAGAGAGCCTTTGCCTTCCTTCCCGGCCTCCCGTTTGATCCATCCCCTCTCCATGTGCTTCCACAGATTCCGGGTGATTGTAGAAATGCTGAAACCAGAGAAGGCCGACCTCAGTGTCACCCTCAAGGGCCTTGACTACATTGATGTGCAGGCTGGGGCTAAGAAGGACTACAAGCTGAACTTCTACTCCTACAAGGAAGGCCTGTACTCCGCAAAGGTGACCTGAAACCATGGTGGTCTGGCTGGGAGGCTGACTGCCTGTTCTTAGGGGATGGAGACATCCTTCGATAGCCAGTTTCTCCTAGTCCTAGTGGACTGACCACTGAGTGACCGTTCAGGGATGCCAGCCCTTTGCAGATGAGACTGACCTGCAGGGCCAGCCAAGGCTTCAAGGCAGCACTATGCTGAAAGCCCTTAATGTGGCAGGTCACACTGGACTGGCCGGCACTGGGCCACTGTGCCAATCAAAGATCCATTCTCTGATATGCATGTCTTGAACTGAACATGCACCACGCACAGCTGAGAGTGTCCATCCAGGACCCAGCTGGCATGCAAACGGGGTTATTCATCCCGAGCTTCTCTTCTGATTCACTCATTTGCTCAGGAAATCCCTGTGAGCAAATAGGCCACAAAACTGCTCAATACCATCACACCTCAGCATCCACAACTAGGGTCAGTTCTCAAGGAGTACACAGTCTAGTGAAGGGAGAGGGACAGCACTCAAATAATTGCACGACTGGGGCCAGAGCGATAGCACAGCAGGTAGGGTGATTGTCTTGTATGCAGCCAACCCAGGTTCAATACACAGCATCCCTTATGCTCATACACCTAACACACACTTCCCCAAGCCACCATGAGTGATCCCTGAGTGCAGAGCCAGAGTAAGCCCTGAGCACCACCAGGTATGGCCCAGAAACAAAAACAAAGAATTAAAAGAATAGGGGCTGGAGATACAGTAGAGCAGTTGGTCCCCCATGCACCACCAGGAGTAATTCTGAGTGCAGAGCCATGAGTAACCCCTGAGCATCACCGTGTATCACCTAAATAGCATAAATAAATAAATATAGCTAAGAAGACAGTAGGGAAAATAAAATATACCCCAAATGCTGGAGCGATAGCACAGCAGGTAAGGTGTTTGCCTTACATGCAACCAACCCAGGTTCGATTCCTCCAACCCTCTCAGAGAGCCTGGCAAGCTACCAAGAGTATGCTGCCTGTACAGCAAAGCCTGGCAAGCTACCCGTGGCATTTTCGATATGCCAAAAACAGTAACAGCAAGTCTCACAATGGACTCGTTACTGGTACCCGCTCGAGCAAATTGATGAACGATGGGAAAACAACGCTACAGTGCTACCCCAAATTCTTATACATTGATCCAAACTAATGTAGGAGGATGGCATTCAGACACGTGGTGGGGAAGGGGTGGTCCCTCTCTCTTGGTTCAGACCCCTGGGCCAGGCTAGAGGACCCCAGCGAGCCCCCTGTGATGGCCTGTCCCCCAGGTGATCTTCCGGAATGAGCAGACCTCTGAGTACTTATTCTATACAATAAGCTTCAAGGCCATCCCATCGGGTGTCATCAAGACCATCGAGATGGTGAGCCTGGTCCGCCAGAGCACCTCAGCCTCCATCAAGCTGGAGAACCCTCTGCCCTACGCAGTGACCTTCTCTGTGGACTGCAGGCTGCCCGACGTGAGCCTACCCTCCCAGTTCACCATCCCTGGCAACTCCGAGGTACGGGCCCGGCGAGGGTCGCCCCGTCTCCTTGCGCTGACGCTGAGCTGGGGGTCCACTCGTGTTGGCTTTGAAAGAGTTTGCTCATTTCTCTCCGATGTGAAAGTCAAATATATGTGGCGACAAGGAAGCCAGGCAGGTAGGCCAGTGCCCTCGGACACGCACAGGCGCCCGCCACCCTGTGCTCAGACACGCCCCAAGTGGACAGGGGCAAATGTTCCACTCCCCAGTTTATTGCTCCAAACTCTCACAGTCCAAGTCCAGCACAATCTCCTTCTCGTCTCCACCTGCAGCTCCTGACCTGTCCCCTCTGCTCTCTTCAGTCTCCCTCCACCTTCAGAACCTGCCAGCTCTTTCGTTCTCTTTCATTCTTTGTTATTTCCCTTGTTTGTGGGGTCCACATCCAGCTGGCCTTGGGGGCTGCTCCTGACCACAGCTCAGGGTACCGTGGAGTGCCTGGGCTGGAGCCCAGCCCTCCTGGCACATGCACAGTGCACTGTCTCCCTGACCCCTGCAGTTGGTTCTGTTCTTTGGACCCTTTTTGTCTGAGTTTTTTCTATAGGAAATTATAAAACCCCTACGGAAAATGAGTGTATACTAAAATACCAGTACAAATATTGGTTTTGCTTAAGCAAATAGAAAGCAAATATCTGCACAACCCCATACCCACACCAAAAAATAAAATAAAAACTAACATCACCCTAGAAACCTGTCTCCAGTCCCATCACCCTCACCACTAAAAGTTACTTCTTTCTAGGAATATAAAGGGGGGTTAGGCGCTTGCTTTCCAGGCTGCCGACTCTAGTTCAATCCCTAACCTGGCCTGTGATCCTCCAAGCATCACCAGGAGTGATCCCTGAGCACCACCGGATATGGCCCAAAAATGAAAACTAATGACCACTATTCTTATTTTGACAACACATGACCACGCTTCTTGCTTTTCAGCCATAGAACTTGGGTCTGCTGCCCCTGAAACTGCATGCAGAAGAGGCTACTGTCCTTACAGTGCTCGCTGCTGTGTTTCTTGGCTCAGTCTTGGCAGGCAGGGACCATGAACCGTGCCACAGGAAGCTGAGGGCCCTGCTGCTGTGGGAAATCCCACTGTACCCTGACCACACTTTAGATATCCTGGCAAGACCATTTGTGCCTTGTTCCATGTTCAGCTGTTGTGGCAAACCTATCATGGATCTTACTATTCAGTGTTCCTCTGAATACACAAACAGAAAACCCAAGACATGGGGCTGCCCATCTATCGTTGCCAAACAGTTAACAATTAACAACCATCAATGAGAGTTCAGGACCCCAACCACCACCAGATTTTTGTTTCCTTGTCAATACTCTCCTGAGAGCACCTGTGATCTTCTCTGCTCTCTACACGCAGCGGGGTTTCAGCTGGGCGGTAGCTGGAGGTTCGCATCTGTGTTCGGACACAAGGATGGACCATGGGCTTCCTTGCCCTTACTCCAATCCAGGCATCAGTTTAGCAAGCCGTAGAAAAGGAGTTGAAGGTCTCATCTCACTCTGGATTCTGTGAAAGAGTCTTGAGGAGACTGAAATTGCGGGGCAAAGGGATAGTAGAGCAGTAGGGTGCTCGCCTTGTACATGGCCAGCGTGGGTTCGATCCCCATCACTGCAGATGGTCCCCTGAGAGTCTCCAGGAGTGATCCCTGAGCACAGAGCCAGGAATAAGCCCTCAGCAGTGCCAGGGTACCCCCCTCTGCCTCAAAAAACAAGACTGAAATTTTGTCTTCCTTGAAATCACTGAGGCCTGGAATGTTCTTCCTGAGAGGATCAACTGCCCGTGATTTACACCCTGTGATGAGTACCTGGCGATTTTGATAGTGTGTTTGTTCTCAAATCAATAGTAAGCGCAGGCGCAGTGCGCCCAGAGTCCAGAGCTGCTCAGGCTGCCGGTCCCTTCTCAGAGGGCTGCTTTTCAGAGTTGCTCGATTCAGTCTCTTCACTTTATCTTTATTATTCTCTTCCTTTTATTTCCTGTGCATCACTGGTGCTTTATCTAATTGCTAAAACAAAGCATAAACTTCTGGTATTCTTTATTTTCCAAGTTATCCACCTAAGATTACACATCTCAAGTACTGATTTAACTCCACCAAGCTCAGTTCTCTGGGCAGTGATTTCATCATCACCTTTCTTAATTACTCAAATTTTCATCATCATTAACTCTTCTTTTCTTGATTGTAGGTTTTTAGAAGTGTTTCTTTGTTTCCAAGTATCTGGATTTTTCTCACTCTGAATTTTTAAATAATTCTGTGGTCAGAGAACATATTCCCTAGTATTTTGGTTCTTGAGAGTTTGTGGAAGCTTGCTTATCACCCAATGTCTATGGTCCAGTTTTCAAAAAATCCTCCAGTTTAAGGGTTGGTTTTGATTTTGGTTTTGTTTTGGAAACAAAGGTGAGAAACACATTTAACCCATTTGACCAAATGTCAGTCTTTCAGCGCTTGGTTTTCTGTAACCTCACCAATACATTCGCCTGTGTGCTGGATGTATCTTGAGGGCCATGAGTGTGAACTCTGCAGGGCCCACACATACCTGGGGGCTGGACTGGGTTTTCCTCTTCACTTGGCTGGTTCTAGCCACTACTCACCCAGCCAGTCTGTGCATTTGGCCAGGGTGTGGGGTGCCGGGGCAGATTCCAAACTGCAGCCACTACCATCATGCCCAAAACCTGGAACTTGGGTGTGTGACATGAAGTGAGAGAATGCTTGGCATTTTTCCCAAGTGACCGAATCATCTCAGACTCTTCCCATAAAGACCATCTTCCCCTGCAGCTCGATGGGGCTTTTGTAAAATTCATCAAGTGTCCAGCCAGGCCTGGACACTCCCGTTCTAGTGTGTAGTGACAGCCTCCTTCCCAGGCAGTCTGCATTCCACTGATTTAGGGTAGGTTTGATGCCCGCTCATGACAGCTCAGTTGTGTGTTCAGCCCTGATTGTCACTTAACCCTGGTCCCTGGCATTTCTTTGTAAGTTTCTAAACTGGTTTGTCAAGATCCTCCAACAAACAACTGTTGGGATTTTGCTTGGGGTTATGTGAAGTCTGTAGACGAATGTATGTTTACCCCAAACTTAGAACTGGAAACAGATTGCCCCATGGTGCTTGCAAGGAGAGGGTGATGCTCCTGGAGTTACATTCAGGTCAAATGTTCAACTCTTGGTGGCGTTCCTCTAATGCTTGTAGGACTCTGGGTTTTCTTTATCTTTTTTTTTCTTTTTTTTTCTTTTTGGGTCACACCCAGCAATGCTCAAGGGTTACTCCTGGATCTGCACTCAGGAATTACTCCTGGCAGTACTTGGGGACCGTATGGGATGCCTGAGATTGAATCTGGATCGGCCACATGCAAAGCAAACACCCTACCCGCTGTACTGTCGCTGAGCTACATATCTTAAGATTGATTTCATGTTAGAGGGGTGTGTGTGTGTGTGTGTGTGCGCGCACACACACACACGTGCATGTGCATATGCTCATTTTACCAAAATATTTCCCTGGAGAGTCACCTAAATTTTTGCTCAGATTTTATTTAGGCATCGTGATTTCCATACTGTTGACAGTAGAATCTCAGGTGTAGGATGTTGGAATCCATGCCAGCATGTCAGCATCCCTCCACCAATGTCCCCTGACCTGCTTATACTCCATTTTGGGAAATATCTACAGCTTTAATCATATCCTCTGATCTATTGGCAATGAAGACAAGTTACTTTTTTTAAAAAAACAATACCTACTTGTGATTTAAAAAAAGAAGAAGAGTGGCTGGAGCAATAGCACAGTGGGTAGGGCATTTGCTTTGCACGCGGCCGACCCAGGTTTGATTCCCAGCATCCCATATGGTCCTCTGAGCACCACCAGGGGTAATTCCTGAGTGCAGAGCCAGGAGTAACCCCTGTGTATCGCCATGTGTGACCTAAAAAGTCAAAAAAAAAAAAGAAGAATTTTGAGTTCCAGAGTATGAAATGAAAAGTGAAGGACCCCCATGCCCCCGTGCCCTGCTCTAAGGTAACCCCTGCTATCCCTTTTCTGCGTACCGGGATGAGTCTCTGCAGACTGTTCCCACACACTGTGTATGTTTCTGGAACCTCCTCTACGCCCCTTACGGTACCAGCCACCGAGTTGATTTCAGAGCTTCAGGCTCTCTCACCTTTCAGCGGCCACATAATGTCCACAGAGGCAGCTAAACCACCACCTCTTCCTGCCTCTAACCTGTCCCCATGGTTTTGTGATGACGTCATTAAGTTCTTAATTTTCGCTGGCGGTGCCCAAGGGGAGAAGCACGCCCACCACCCCACCCCACCCTCCCCATGAAGGTGGGAGCCAGGACGCTTTTCAGTGAGGGACTCAGAGCAGAGACGGAGCAGCCCCTGAGAGGAGCCAGTAACCGGTTTTCAATTTCCGAAGATCCCAGATCTAAAAACATCTGAGCTTGGGAAAGCCAGGAAGGAGCTGGGGCTGCAGGCTGCAGGTGGTCACGTGTCACCAGTCACCACAAGCCAGGGCTTCTCTTCTAGAGCGTGCTCTCCTTCGAGTTCCAGCCTCTGAAGGTCGGCGAGTCCTTCGGGAAGCTGACACTCCACAGTAGCGAACTGGGCTACTACTTGTATGAGCTCAGCCTAAAGGCCCTGCCCGCCTTGCCCGAGAAGCCTGTCCACTTCCAGGCCGTCCTGGGCAGCAGCCAGAACATCTTCGCCAAGTTCATCAACTATACCCGGCAGAAGACGGAGTACTATTGCAGGGTGAGCACTGGGCACTACTGCAGGGTGAGCACAGGCACTGCAATCAGGGTGAGCACTGGGCACTGTTACAGGGTGAGCACTGGACACTACAGCAAGGTGAGCACTGGGTACTAGTGCAGGGTGAGCACGGGCACTACTGCAGGGTGAGCACTGGGCACTATTACAAGGTGAGCACCATGCACTACTGCAGGGTGAGGACCAGGCTTCAGGGCTGTGGGCCAGGACATGGGCCGGATGCGGGGCCGGAATGTCAGGGAGCCCAACGCTCCCTCTAACCCGAAAGCTGCCGCTGAGCACATTCAGAGCCGGGTTCCCCCACACATGCTCCAAGCAGGGCTGAGTGGAGGCTTCGCAGCCTGCACAGGCTCCAGACTATCAAGCAGGACAGGCGAGCTCAGGGCCCTGGTCTAGGCAGGTGCGCACCGCCCTCGCTGACAGTGTAGGTTGGACCAACACGGCACCTGCCAAAGCTCCGGTCCACACAGACAAGAATGACTGACTCCCTGGGGGGTGGGGAGGGCACTTGTCTTAAACTCGGGTTCCATCCCAGCATCCCATAATCCCACGTGGTCCCCTGAGCCCACCAGGAGTAATTCCTGAATGCGAAGAAAGGTACTGTGAGCAACAGTACCAACCCATGAGCGCTGCTGGGTATAACCAGAAAAAAGAAAAAAAATGGTTTCCTAAACCAGAGAGAGAGGACAGTGGGTAGGACACTACCCTGGCACACCACCGACCCAGGTTCAATCCCCAACACCCAATATGGTTCCCTAAGCACCACCAGTAGTGATCCCTGAGCACAGAGCCAGGAGTAAGCCCTGAGCACCACCTGGTATGGCCCAACCCCCCCCCCCAAGCAAGTGGCTCCCTGTGACGTCCATGGGATTTTGGTTCAGGGATTGCACATCTGCCCCATTGGGCAAATGGGAAGATGGGGAGCAGCATCCACTCTCCCCGGGTCTCCCAAGGGCATCTTGAACCCGGCTCCTCCTCGCTCCACCTGGCTGGTAACAGAGGGTCTGGGTGGCCAGCCAGCATGTCCTCAGGGGCAGGGGGCCTGGCAGAACCCATTCTCCCATCTCCTCGCAGACTGACTGTCCAGACTTCCACGTGGAGAAGGTCATCATCGCTCCCCCGGGGGCCCAGGGGGGCACGGAGGTCAGCGTGGAGGTCTACTTCGAGCCCAGTCGCCTGGGGGAGACCAAGGGCCTCCTGCAGCTGACCTCGCTCTTGGGCGGCGAGTACATCATCCCCCTCTTCGGCACTGCCCTGCCCCCCAAGCCCCAGGGCCCCTTCCTGATCCGTGCGGGCTACAACATCCTCATCCCCTTCAAGAACATCTTCTACCAACCTGTGACCTTCTCCTTCGCCGTGGAGCACCCCGCCTTCTCCATCCGCGCCGTCGAGTTCATGCGCCCAAAGAAGATCAACAACATCGCCATCTCGTTCGAGGGCAACCCCTCGGGCAACAAGATCCCCATCACCACCAAGCTCATCGTGTCGTGCCCCCCAAGCGAGAGCAACGAGACGGGTGTGCAGTGGGTGTACTACCTGAAGGGCATCACGCCGTAGGGCACCTCATCCCAAGGCCCTGCCTGCTGGGGACCTCTCGTCTCTGCCGTGTGTCCTCCCAGTAAACTTGTTAACCACCAAACACGTCAGCGCTCTGCATTGAGCTTCCCGGCCCAGCACCAAGGCTCCTGTCCTCGGTCTGTCTGTGACACGGGATCCCCCTCACATATCACATAGTCCCGGTGGGATGTTGGGGGGACGGGCTGGAAGGGCCCAAGACACGGCCCTGTTCTGACTCCAGGTTGGATTTCTGCTCACATACACAAGAAGCCGATTAAGTCCCCCTTTTCCCAGAGACCACCAGACGGCGGTAAGGAAGCTGGGCACCCACCCAGCACTCTCCCTCCTCTGAACCCCAGACAGTCTGACGCTCACAGGCAACCCTGCTCCCCAGCCCCTCGCTGAGAACCACCTCGTTCTATCTAATCATCTCCAGAGACCCTTCCCCTCCGCCAGATGGGCCGAGAGGCTGGCGGGACTGTTTTAAGAAAACCCAAACAGCAGGGGTCAGAGCCAAAGTCCAGCAGGAGGGCATCTGCCTGGCACATGGCCAAGCCAGGTTCCATCCCCAGCACCACATCGAGGCTCCCCAGCACCCCTCTTCATCCCCTCCTGCTTAAGGGCGGCACCACGCAAACTCCACAAGAGGAGGGGGTGTACAGCCCAGCCCATACCCTCACCCTCACCCTGGCCCACGGACTGACTTAGCATCTGCACACATGCCCACACACCCCTATGACCGAGACTCTCCCTGCCTCCACGTCCCCCACCCCTACCCTCCCTGGCAGAGAGGGAAGAGACCTGGGACAATGTAGCTCCAAGAAGTGAGCTCCCAGGGGTCCGGGGCCAACAGCAGACCCTGGACACACCAGGTCAGCAACTCGGGGGGGTGCCACAATTGCCTGACCACCCCCAGAGCGGGGAGAGGCACTTTCCTAACGGGCCCTTCCCGTTTTCTGCGTCTCCGGCACCAAATGAACCTTCTCTGGATATGGGTCACAGGTGGGAGAGCTGGGGGTGGGGCCAGCACGCAGCCCCCCACACACACCCCTGCCCTGTTGCTAGGCTTGTACTCTCTCCTAACCTTTGAGCTATCGCCCCAACCCCAAAGTAAGCGTTTCCCGTTTGCAAGATTGTCCACTGGGGTCACCGCAGAGGAAGCTGCTCAGGACCAAAGCGATGGCAGCTTAAACCCCAGCGGGGCTGAGAGGCCTTGGATAGCTCAGCAGCACCCGGGAGGTGGCACTGGCCCACCCACAGTCCACGCCCATCCCAGAGGGTCTGTTTTCGTCGGTTTGATTTTTTTTGTGGGGTATTTGAGGGGTTGATCACACTCAGCAGTACTGTGGGACACTCCTGGTGCTGTGCTCTGGAATTACTCCCAGCACAGTGCTCAGGGGACCATAGGCAGTAACGGGAACAGAACTGGGATTGGCTGCCTGCAAGGCAAACACTTTAATTGAACCCTGCCCTCTCTCTAACCCCGGCCTTAAAAATTTGGGCAGACTCGAGAAATCACATCTGCCAGGGGCCTCCTGGGATCAGCCCTGATAGGCATGCAGGCCTCTTGCCTCCAGGGAGTGATCAGGACAGCAGGCCCCCGAGTGTGCGGCTTCCTAAGCCTTTCCCAGGGCTGGTTCACCTGCCTGGTGGCTGCATTAATGTCCCCAGGGGACATGTGCCTTGGCCCTACCCACAGCGTCAACCTGCTAAACTCCCATCTCTACCTTTTGCTGCTGGCCCGGTCACTGAGCTGGGCCTTTCTGAGGGGTCTCTCCCACCTCCCACTTGCCATCAGGGGAGGCGAGTGAATCACCGGGTCATCATCTTCCAAAGGGCCCCTTGGAGGAGGGTCAGAAGGCTGGACATCAGGACCCAAGTTGCACCCACCCTCCATAGACACCTGACTCAGCCTGACCCCAATAGCCTGGTGTCACGGGCTCTGAATCCCTCAGACCTGCACCCAGGCTGAGCCTCTCCCTCTGGAACTGGCCTCAGGCCTTTGAGCACTGCTGGAGAGGGATTTAAAAAGGGGAGAATGGGATGGGGGAGCACCCCTTCGCGTAAACCCAGCATCGTAAGTGGCCCTTACAGCTGAGAAGAGCAGGGAGATGCTCAAAGGTCAAGGGCACATGCTTTGTAGGGGAGCTGGATTGGGTTCCTGGTATCACATGTACCCCAGCAACATCAGAGGTGACAACCCCCCAGAATAAAATACTGGAGATGAGAGTTGGCTCAACACCAGCAGGCAGCACACGGGACATGCAAAGGACCCCCTCCTTCCTCGGGGAGCCACACAGACACCCCCCCCACACACTCTTGGGTGTCAATGCTCTGCCACATACTTCCAGAGAATCCCGCCCCCACTGACTGCTGCGTCTCCCCCCTGTTGTAGCCTGCAAAGTGCGGATGGGGGCAGCTCCCCCAAGCCACTGAGTCCAGAGCCCAAATGCTCAAATGCTCGTAGGCCCAGAGGGAGCCGCAGAGAGAAGCACAGTGTCCCCTCCCCGGGATGAGTGGCAGCCCAGTCCCTACACTCAGGTTGACGTCCCTCCAAAATGACTTGTAATGGGGTACGTCTCTTCACTTCACATCTCTTCTCTTCACTTGGTTCTCAGCTCTCTCTGGCCTCACAGAGGCCACAAAATTGTTTCCTAGAATGATAGCAAAGTGGGTAAGGCCTCTGCCTTGCATGCAGCCGACCCGGGTTCGATTCCTCCCTCCCTCTTGGAGAGCCCAGCAAGCTACCGAGAGTATCCCACCCACACGACAAAGCCTGGCAAGCTACCCATAACAGATTTGAGATGCCAAAAACAGTAACAAGTCTCACAATGGAGATGTTACTGGTGCCCACTCGAGCAAATCGGTGAACAACGGGAGGACAGTACTACAATTTATAAACTCAGCCCTGCAATGCTCCACGGGCTGGGGGTGGTGAGTGAGGCTTGCTGAGATGCGTTTCTGGAAGGAAAAGCAGAGCAGAGCCGCTGTCTGTGGCACCGGGGCAGGAGGAGAAATGGTCATGCGATGTATCTTTGGAGATGAGCCGAAGTCGCCCCCAGTTTTCAGCTTGTCGGCGCATCCACCTTCATTCATCAGATTGTGTTGGCAGAGGTTTCACTGGGATTATCTGGGTGGGTAGGGGCACACCTAGAAGTGCTTAGAAGCTACTCCCAACTCTGTGCCTATGGGTCATTTCTGGCGGTGCTCAGGGAACCATGGATTGCAGAGGACCGAACCGTGGCCTCTACACACAAAACTGTTTTGCATGTGCTCCAGTGATTGTGTGGCCCAGCTAGGGTCGGCCAGCAATGAAAGCCCCACCAGATGGGTCCAGAGAGAGTACAGCAAGTAGGGCACTTGCCTTGCACGCAACCAATCTGGGTTTGATCCTCAGCATCCCATATGGTCCCCTGAGCCACCCCAGGAGTAATTTCTGAATGCAGAGCCAGGAGTAACCCCTGAGCACCTGAGCATGCTGGGTGTGCCCATCTCCCCGCAATAAAAGAAAACCCTATCAAGAAAGGAAAGCACATTCTCATGGATTTTTCTAGACAGTTCTTCTATGACTAATTAAATTGGGGGTTAGCCCTTGTAGGCACACAAATCATCACCAACTTAGAAGCTTAGAATGATACCTGGTCTGGTATATAAAACGGTTGGAACTGAGTTGTTGGTTTAGGGTCTCAAGAGGCTAACATCAAGGCACCAGTCAGCTGCATCCTCATCCTTGCAAGAAAGAAAAATTCTACTCTGGGCTCCCATAGCTCATTGGCAAAGTTGCAGCCAAATGACTCAAGTCCCCAGAATTTTAGCAACTAATGCCCTCAACTGCTGACCCACTGAAGACCACTCTCAGTTTCTTGCCCTTAATTAGATAATTCACCAAGATGACTCTTTGGGCCTATGACTCCCCCATGGCCAGTGGGGCCAGCTCTCTGCCTCAAAACTCTTCTGCCCTCTCAAGGCCTCCCTCTCCAACCCCCTGGGGAAATCTTCCCTTTATTTGTCTCAAGGTCGACTGATTCAGGATCTTCATTCCTATATAACATCTACTGTAAGAGCAGCAACCCTGTGAGCTGACGAGTTTCCCTCACACAGAGGGAGGGGATCCCACAGGAAGTGCACCAAGAGGCATGGCTGACGTAGATAACACCAGCACAGTCCCTCACAGACATCATAGATCCCGGTCTGTGGGTGATGCCCCATTCCCAAGGTGGTTATTGTTCGAAGCTCTGTGTGTACCCTTTGCACTCACAGGAGGAGTAGCCCCTTCCCTGGCTTACTATCTCTCCTGCCCAACCAGCGCTGATTTCAACTGAGGATCCATTTGCACATCTTAAGACAAATGTGTAATTCTTCAAACCCATGGTTTAGGCAATAGCAAGGCAAACGGAAGAATGTAAGTGTTTTTTTAAGAGCTGATTAGAGAAAAACAATATTAAAGGATAGTACTAGAGGCTAGGCTGTGGCAAAGATCTAATTATGTGATGTTAATCCAATTTGGGGAACAGAAGAGGCCAAATCCATGACTAAGTAATGTGAACAGTGGGATCGGTAAGTGGGGAATAAATTATACTAAGTGAATCCCAACATCACTGAATTCTCACGGACATCCTCCCGAAGCCTACCAGGGGCCAAGGCGACCACCTGCAGGGATACACACCCCAAAGGGCACGTGTCTAAGCCGCCTCAGGGTCTAGGCAAGGATGGATCGGCGGGAGGAGCGAGGGGGCGGGGCCTCTAGGGGGCGGGGTCGAGGCGTGGCCAACCCGCCTGCGGTCCGCGTGTGGGCGTGGCTAGAGGGGGCGTGGCTGGAGGGGCCGGCCCCCGCAGCGGAAGGCGGAAGCCGCGGCGGCGTCACATGATCGGAGTAACATGGCCGCTGCCCCTTGAGCACCGCAGGCGCCGGGCGGGAGTGTGTGCGCGAGCCGTTAGGCGGCGGGGACAGGTGCGCGGGGGCGGGGGGCCGGGCCCGGGTTCGGAGGCGGCGCGCGGGGGCGGAGGGAGCAGGCAGGCGGGGAACGTGGTGGTCCATGAGCCGGCGCCGCTGGCAGCGCCGAGCCGCCGACCTCCCTGGCCCCGGCGCTCCCGGCTTCGCCGCGGGCTGAGGAGTCGCGGGGCTCCGGGGAGCGCCCCGCGCGCTGCCACCATGAACCCCGAGAAGGACTTCGCGCCGCTCACGCCCAACATCGTGCGCGCCCTCAATGACAAGCTCTACGAGAAGCGGAAGGTGGCCGCGCTGGAGATCGAAAAGTAAGCCCCTGGAGTGGGCGGGGGGTGCCGCGCGCCGGGGGCCGCGTGGGAACGGGACCCCCCCTCGCCTGCCCGGCCTTCCCAGGCTCGGCCCCGTAGCGCAGTGCTCGGGAGCAGGAGGACCCTTGGAGATGACGTCTGGGGAACCAGTTTTGCCCCCTGACCCGCTGTGTGACTTGGGCTAAGTTCTTCCAACTGATGCCCCAAAGGGCTGCAGGGAGAATGAACATACGGTGTTGGGCTTTAGTAAAGTGGTGCGAGCTCGCAATGGTCTCCGTCGAACCCGGTAAATCTGAGCCTTTCCTCCGATGAGAAATAGAGAGGGAGAGGATTGCTAATGGGAACGAGCCACATCATCCCATATCCAGCTTCCCTAATGTGAAAGGGATTGTTGGGTGACCCAGTGGAAAAACAAGATCTGAAACCTCAAGATCTCTTGGCACAGAGCCTTGCCCTTTTGCCCTTTCTCCATCCTGTCCCCCTTGGGGCAAGTGAAAGTGGGATTAATTGGACCTTTCTAGCTTCTACAGCCTAATAGTGTGTGTAACTAGGATCTGATACTTTGTTTCTCTGTGTAAAAAAAAAAAACCCAAGGTGTTTGCCTGGGTTTTGTTATTTGCTATGATTCGCCTTTTTTTTTTTTCCTTTTCCCCAACCAGTTCTCATAGATTAAGCCAAATGGTTGGGGGATTTCAGAAGACTGGAAAGAAGTGGGGAGTGGAACTGGGTGGACAGCCAGTCTTGAAGTCAGTAAATGTGTGGCATAGCTCTGCATTGTCCAGTGTGATGACTATTTACCTGTAAATTAGTAAATAAGCAACCATTGATTCCGTTTCCATCATGCCATGTCTATTCTTGTGTTCGATCGTTCCTTATGACTCTCAGCTGCCCTGTGTGGCTCACGGACCTCAGGGCATTTCCATCACCAGTGGCAGGTGCTATATTAGTTGGCTCTGACCTAGTCTGTGAAGCAACACGATTCTCTGGCCTTGGGCAGATTCCCTGACCCAGCATTTCTTAACCTGAGCTCTGTTGGCATTAGGGGACTGGCCGTTCTCATTTGGGGGGACTGTCCCCAACAGCATAGTATTCCCAGGATCCCCTGGTCTCTACTCAACAGGCGTTTGCAGCACCCCATTAGTTCTCTTCATCAATAATGTCTCAAGGCATTGCCAGATGGTCCTGGAAGGTACCAGATAGCTCTAGTTGAGAACCCACATCTTAGATGGCGTAGGTTTTTCTTCCATTTTCAAAAGGAAGTTTGCATTTGAGTGAGGTGACCCTCACCTTTGGCTTTGACATCAGATCGCGTTGGCAAAGGTTTCATTGGAATTATCTGGGTAGGTAGGGGCACACCTAGAAGCACTCAGAGGCTACTCCTGAGTCTGTGCTCATGGGTCGGTCATTCCTGGTAGTGCTCAGGAAACCATGCAGTGCGAGGACTGAACCACGACCTCTACATACAAAACAGTTTTGCGTGTGCTCCAACGATGTGTGGCACAGCCTGTCAGAAAGGAACTATCTCCACCGTCTGCCTGCCAGCTCTCGACCCAGCTTCACCTGGCTCCGCCGCTGCTCCCTTGTGTTTGCAAGTCTCATGACAGGTGGCCCCACATCCCTGGGCATTACCAACCTGAAGCCATTGGCCATCACCAACGCTGTTTCCTCAGTCTGAGATTCGTGTGTCCAGCACCCCCATGCGGGCTCCTCCTGAGGGTGAGATCACCAAAGGGATTCCGTCAGCACTGTCCTTGGTCTGTGTGATCCACAGAATTCCCTTGACCTTAGCAGAACTGTGGGCCCCCTGAGAGCAGGGGCCTTTGTGTTTATCCTCAGCACAACGCCTGGCAGCATCTGACAGAGTCAAGGATCAGTCACTTTGGCTGGGAAGGAACATTGTGCCCAAGGCCTTTGCTCCTCCAGTTGTGACCAGGCCAGCCGTCAGGGTCATGGGAGCCTGTTAGGACAAAAACGTCACTTCCCACACATGTGAATGGGCACTTTGACCTGCCCCCTGGGTGATCCGTGGCATTTGAAAGTTTGCAGGGCCCTTCAGCTGGTTTCTACCCCTCTTGGGGAGGTATTTTGAAGGGGCAGTGCCTGGGGTGAGCTGCTCCGCAAGGGGGTTTGTAGCCGCTCAGAGCACTCACCCCTGCACTGAGCTAGAGAAACTTGCCACAGCTCTGCTGACCCCTTGGCTCAGGGCTGCGCCCCTCTGAACTCCTTTAACCATAATGATCTTCCTTACAGGCCTAATCTCCAAGTCCATTCACAGTTGGGTCTAGGTTTCAACAGTCATGAATTAGGGGGATAGGCGACACACATAAGAGGGATGACTAGGCAGGAGATGCTTCCTGGTTGGCCATTGTATGCGCCCCTTCCTCTGTACTCATCATCTGTGTGGCTCCCCAAGAACCAGGTGGTGTGACCCCACTGCAGACATCCTGGAGGTCAATCTTCCCACATTCTGCAGCTGAAACCCGAACTGTGAGAGCTGAGAGGGTTCATCTGTCTCGGAAGATTCCTTAGAAATCACAGCAAAGGGGTTTCCCCACCAAAAGGGGATGTATATTTCAGAAAGGAAGTGTATCTTGACCTTCTCTGGGGCTCAGCATGGCCGTGCTGAATACCACGTGCTGACTGACTCTGGGTTTTCCAGAAACCCTCACTCAGCCCAGAGCCCCGGTGGCATGATGTTGCTGTGAGGGACCAAAACTCCCAATGAGAAAGAGGGGCCAGAGCGAAAGCACAGCCGACTCGGGTTCAATCCCCTACATCCCCTATGGTCCAGTCCCACCAAGAGAACCCCTGAGCACAGAGCCAGGAGTAAGCCCTGAGCACTGCTGGATGTGGCCCCCACCGTGAAAGAAAGGGGCTAGGACAGAGGGACCAGAGAGATGGTCCAGAGGGCAGGCGCGTGCCTTGCAAACCCAGCTCAGACCCTGGCGCCACATACAGTCCTGGTTATGGCCGTGACTCACTCCTGAGCTCAAGGCCAGGACAGCCCCTGAGCAGGACTGGGTGTGAACCAGCCTCCCCAGTCTCGAGTGGGACCTGAAGGTGAATATGTGTGCGGGTCGGACCCTGCAGCCCCACGTGCTGTTCTGATGCCTCCAGGGGCGCCCTTGGGCCTTGGTCTTTGGTCTCTAGCATGTCGGCGAAGTGGTCAGAATGGACGTTTCCGGTTCGGTGGGCCGCCCTCTGCAGGGGCACTTGTCCCCAGTCTGGGGGGTGCTCTGACAGATGTGCTAGAACCCTGCAACCCTCCATGGTGAGCAGGAACAGGTGTGATGCCCCATCTCAATCACTCCTGAGCTTTGAGTGCGAGATCCAGAAAATGGGGGTCCCCCGGCACATGCCCCAAGGACTCCAGAGCATAGGAGTGGGTGTGTGGTCTGAGCTCCCTGGGTTCAGCCCCTCCGATCAGATAAGACACAGCTGTTGCATTTGATCTGGTTCTTTGTGGGGGGGGGGATACTTTGGTTGTTTTTTTTGTTTGTTTGTTTGTTTGTTTGTTTGGATTTGGTTTTTTTTTTTTTTTGGCCCTCCACACCCAGTGGTGCTGGGTCATTCCCTGGCTTTGTACTCGGGTCACTCCCGGCAGGACTGGGGGAATGTGCGTGGGTGGGAACAAGCCCGGCAGCTGTGTGTGTGGTGAGCATCTTGCCTGTACCATCTCTTGCCATGGCTCTTCGGGAGTAGCTGCCCTGAAGGAAATACTCGTCTCTGAGAGGCTGTGGGTGGACATGGACGCCCGAGACTGCAGCCTGCTCGGCTCTGTAAGCGCAGCGGGACCCTCAGCAGATGGCTCCGTGCGGGTGGTCTTCGCCAGCCGCCCCGAACCAGGGGCTGGGCCTGATCTGGCCTGGCTGGGACCTCGGGGTCTTCTAAGTTGAGAAGTTTCATGGAGGAAGCTCAGACTTCCAGGGAATTGGAGGTTGTGGGGCCGATCTGGAGGGGCCCAGGCACCGTCTGCCCTGTCCCCGGCCGGGACATGGCTCGTTGGTTCCTCACATCTTGGTGCTCACACATCTCCTGCAGCCTCTGTTACTCTCTCTGTGGCTGGAGCGCCACAGCCTTGGTGCAAGTGGGAATGGGCTCTCTCGGGGCCTCATTTCCTCACTGTGCCAAAAGGACCATGCCCCAGGCCACGTGCGGTGTGATGTCATCCCCGAGACAGGCCCGGGCCTCAGCTCTCACACAGAAAGTGAGTCACCAGGGGCTAGAGTGGGGCTTGGGGGAAGGGGCTCCTGTAGAAAGGGGGGGTCCCTGGGGGTTCCTGGAGGGGCCTCCTTTAGGGAGAACGCCTGTAGGCACTCCTGGGTGTTCAGGACTCGCTCTGGTGTGTCGCGTGGCCTTCAGCACTTCCCAGAAGCCCCGCAGTTGTACCAGGTTAACATGACTCTGGATCATGTGTCAATTTCCTTGGTAACGTGGGTGTTTAGTGTTTGCACCACATGGGGTCACAATGACGCCTGCTGATCAGACTGGCTCTCCCCAAAGTGTGTCCAGGGTCTGTTTAGGGTTCGTGGCCGCGGGCTTGCCTCAGGGCTCTGGCCTCAGGCTGAGGTGGCGCTTTCCCCATTGGTGGCAGGAGGGGAGGGGCGGAAGAGGCAGGGGTAGAGGGGGGAGAGCAGGGAAGGACCAGGAATCAGGGGCGCTCCCAGCTCCGCAGCCATCACGGGTGACCCCGGGTGTTTGTCCCTCCAGGATATGCAGGCCACAGCCCAAGTCCATGGGAGTTCCCAGGCAGAACAGGATACGGGCTTTGTCCTCCCCTCTTCCCCCCACCCCCCCACCCCCCTCACCCCCCCACCCCCGCCTGGAACCAGCCCCAGGCTCTATGACAGGCAGGCATGTACAAGCCCCGTGGGCGTGTGCGGGGCTGAATGAGCATGTGTTGGGTTGGGGGGGTGGTCTGTGTGGGGCCCAGTGTGTGGGGGGCAGCATGTGCAGGGTCATGTGAGCCCACATGGGGCCCAGTGAGGGTGGGGGGGTTGAATGTATCCTCACGTCTTCTCATCTTCTAAAGACAGTGAAGGTTGTTGTCTGTCACCATAAGCCCCTGTAGCCATCTCCTCCAGAGTCACTGAAATCTCCGCCACTTGGTGGCTGGGCCCTTGGGTGGCCCTTGCTATGTGGCACAAGGGTGCGGGACCAAAGGCCACGGTGACTTTTTTTTTCTTTTCTTCCATTCTATCTACTTTTTTTTTTTAATTTATTTATTTATTGAATTACTGTGGGAAAAGTTACAAAGCTTTCAGGTTTAGGTCTCAGTCATGCAAATATCAAACACATTTCCCTTTACCAATACTTATTTTTTACCATGAAGAACCCCAATAAAACCCCACCCCCCACCCCTCCCAGTCCCTGTGAGGTAGATGAATTCTAGTTAGCACTCTATCTGCTTTGATTAGATTCATTGTTTCAATAAAAGATTCACCACTATTATTTAGAGTTTACCCCCCCCCAAAATCAGACATGCTGAAAAAGCATTGTGAAATGATTTGCTTTCTACAGCTAGGTTCAAGAATTAAATGTTGGTTTTGGATTTCTGCTATTTTACTTATTAACCCTGGAAGTATTTCTACTGAAAATCAGATAATTAAGAAATTGGTTTCTGTGCTCTGGAGTCGTGGCCGTGCTGGAGAGCCGCTCGTGGGGGGCAACTGGTGACCTCGGTAGGGCGTGAAGGGCAGACCGAAACGCCCCCCTTCCCATGAGGTTTTAGTCGCCCCCACACCCCCGGCTCATACCTGCTGTCCACAAGGCTCCCATGCGGCCACCATCTTTCTTTTCAGAGAGGAGAGGGCGAATGGGGCAACACCCTTTCCCCTCCGGGCAGACATGATGGTCTGGATTAACGCATAGTCCGTTCACTTTTCTGCTCCAAGCTACTGGGTTCTGCATTAAGTCCTTGTGCTTCTGGGGCCGTGGCTGTGCTGGAGAGCCGCTCGCGGGGGGGGGGGGGGGGGGGGGGGGGGGGGCCAACTGGTGACCTCAGTAGGGCGTGAAGGATGAACCGGAATGCCCCCCTTCCCATGAGGTTTTAGTCGCCCCCACACCCCTGGCTCATACCTGCTGTCCACAAGGCTCCTATGCGACCGCCATCTTTCTTTCCAGAGGGAGGAGGGCAGAAGGGAGCAACACCCTTTCCCCTCCGGGCAGACATGATGGCCTGGATTAACGCATAGTCCGTTCACTTTTCTGCTCTAAGCTGCTGGGTTCTGCATTAAGTCCTTGTGCTTCTGGGACTGAGGCCACGGTGACTTTGGGGTCGCAGCACCAAACTCCTCTTACAGTTGCCACAGGATCATGACACAGAGCACTGGCCCACCTCAGAGACACTTGGGCCTGGGGGTTGTTTCCTGCCTTCACGGAGTGGGGGAGGGGCGGGGCTGCCTCTGACAGGACCGGTGGTTCCCGGCCTCCCGTGGTGATGGGACTGGGGGTTCCCGCTCCTCTGATAGGACAGGAGGTCCCCACTCCTCTCACAGGAGTGGGGCTTCCCAGTCCTCTGACAGGACTGGGGGTTTCTGTTCCCCTCAGGTGGGGCCTGAGGTTCCTGAGCTGACCCTGTTCTGGTGGGAGCAGTGGGAAGGTCGGAGCTTCAGACGCCCGTGACCGTGGCACGGGGCTTGATTCCCTGGGGTGGTTCCAGTTATGGGTGAGGACCTGGTCAGCTCCATAGGAGGCACATGTGTTGGGAACCCCCCCACCCCCAGATTTTCATGCTAAGAAGGTGGCGATGACCGGGTTCTGTGATGGTTTTGGAGCCTCTGGTCCTGCTTCTCCCTTGGTCTGGCTGCTTTTACCCTGGCTTCTGAACGAACTCCTACATACCCCTCAGCACCCCTCTGGCATGCCCCCTTCATGAGCACCCTGGCCACTGTCCCTGTTGCCCTGCTGTCACTGCATTTCATGGTGCTGGGCCTGCCTCCTCCTTCGCTCCCACTGAGACCCTCACAGGGACAAGGACTGGGCCCCCAAACCTACTCTTGGGACTGTCGGATCTGAGATGTGGCATGTGGGGATGGCCGTGCTGCGGCTGCCTCTGAGGTGCCTTCAGTGCTGATCAGGCTTGTCCCAGGTGGGAACTTGGTCCCACAGCACTAGGGTTCCCAGAAGGAGGGACGCCGTGTGAGTGGTGTGTCCTCACCTCCCGGTCTCCGGAATGAGGAGACTCCATGTCTAGATCTGTGGGACTTGGGGGACTGAACTTTTCTCAACAAAGGTCTGTAAAACTCAAGCTTTTAAAACACAATATTTCCCTTTCAAAGCTTTTGGGCAGCCTGAAATGTCAGGATCAGTCTCGCTTTGAAAAAAAAGTTCTGCTGTTGCATTGGCCGGGAATCGAACCCGGGCCTCCCGCGTGGCAGGCGAGAATTCTACCACTGAACCACCAATGCGGCTGCTGGGGGAGGGTGTGAGCGGCTCCCTTTCATTCCCGTCCCGCCCAGGCCTGTGCTGATTCACAGAAGAGGGACTGGCCAGGCTGCCACCTCAGCGGGCAGGGGAGGGACGCGAGAGAAGGGAGCAGGGACGCCAGGCTGATTTGCCCTGGGACCTCAGGACTGGGAGGGATGAAGGCCAAGCCCGCCCTTGGCAGGAGCAGCGGCAGGAAGCATGTTGGGACTCGGGGCAGCTTCCTCCCCGCACACCACATGTGTGAGCTGAGCTGTGTCCGTCCACGGCTGTCATCTCAGCTTACTTCTCGGGACTGCCCAGAGCAGAGAGGCACCTCACACGTCCCCCACCTTCCCAGTGAAAGGTGTAGGGGGCTTGGCCCACAGCAGCTGCATTGGTGGTTCAGTGGTAGAATTCTCGCCTGCCACGCGGGAGGCCCGGGTTCGATTCCCGGCCAATGCAACAGCAGAACTTTTTTTTCAAAGCGAGACTGATCCTGACATTTCAGGCTGCCCAAAAGCTTCTCCAGGTGTCTGGTGGTCCTGGGGGATGGCAGAGGATCAGGCTCCCTCCCAGCAGTCTGGGGGGTCTCTGAGGGGAACTGAGCCAGGGGGAGGCAAAAGAGCAGTTGCATTGGCCGGGAATCGAACCCGGGCCTCCCGCGTGGCAGGCGAGAATTCTACCACTGAACCACCAATGCACAGTCAACGCTGGCCCATTTGCCACTTCTTGTCCGGGAACTGCCCCTGTCATCATCAGGGAGTTGTAGAAGATCCCGGGCCTCACCTGGCTGGTTTGTGCAGTTCAGGGATGTCGAGCCACCCTGCTGCGCCTCAGGCTCTGGAGCCCAATCCCGAGGCAGGGATGGGGGGACACCTGCCCGGAACCCACTCTCCCCCCACATCTGTGCTTAGGGGCTGAGCCTGTGGGAGGCGCCCCTCTGGCATGCGGGCACAGCCCCTCAACCTCTTGGACCATCACCACAGGAAAGTTCCTTGCTGCCCTGGACTGTCTTAGGACATGGTCCCCCACTGCTGACACGCTCCTGAGGCGCCTGTCTCCCCATTGAGCCCTGGCTCACTCTCCTCACCCATGACTGTCAGTCTCCTCACCCGTGACCCTCACTTTTCTCACCCGCGACCCTCACGTCACCCATGACCCTCACTCTCTTCCCCTGCGACCCTCACTCTCCTCACCCACGACCCTCACTCTTCTCACCTGGGACCCTCACTCACCTGGCCCAAAGTCCAGCTCTGAGTGTGGGGTCCTCCCTGTGATAGCGCTGCACACGGCAAAGAGGGGATGACTGGACTCCGAGCCAAGGGGCTCCCTTGCTCTCCTCCCTCAGGGTCCCCCTGCTGCCCCCATTCCTCCCTTCTCCTTCACAGCTTTCCGGTCCTCTGAGACAGTCCCCGGCCACCTCCCTCCGCAGCCAGTTTCTGCCCCACCCAGCCCGTGGTTCCCCGGGGGTCCTCACAGGAGCACCTCAGAGGCCACCTTTCCCGTGGACGCCCAGTCTTTGGGGGTGGCCCGCCTTTCTCATCTGGGGGCCTTACGCCACACAGCACCGGGCGTGTTCTCGGGGGTCCCCGCTGTTGACACCGTCGCTGGCAGTCACAGACCCAGGTCCTGCAGGGGCTGCAGGCAGGCGGGGCGCATGAACCTGGTGCTCAGGCGTCCGGAACCCCTGCTGGAACTCCCCAGGTGTGAGAGCAGCCCCCACCCTGAGCCCCCTGACGCCCCGCTCCCCCCTCTCCAGGCTGGTCCGGGAGTTCGTGGCCCAGAACAACGCAGTGCAGATCCAGCACGTGATCCAGACGCTGTCGCAGGAGTTCGCGCTGTCCCAGCACCCGCACAGCCGCAAGGGCGGCCTCATCGGCCTGGCCGCCTGCTCCATCGCGCTGGGCAAGGTGCGCCCGGTGTCCGCCCGCTCGACCCCCGCCCCGTGCCGCGTCCACGGGGACTGAGACGCTTCCCTGGCCCGCAGGACTCGGAGCTGTACCTGAGGGAGCTGGTGGAGCCAGTGCTGACATGCCTGGGCGACTCAGACAGCCGCCTGCGCTACTACGCCTGCGAGGCACTCTACAACATTGTCAAGGTGGCGCGTGGCGCCGTGCTACCGCACTTCAACGTGCTCTTCGACGGGCTCAGCAAGGTGCGCCCCAACCCGAGCTCCCTGCTCCCCATACCCGGCGCCCAGACACACCTGCCCTGCCCTGCCCTCAGCTTCTTGCTCGGGGTTTCGTCTGTTCTCCATCCCCTCCTGTCCGTTTCTTTTCTTTTGCTTTTTGGGTCACACCCAGCGATGCTCAGGGGTTACTCCTGGCTCATGCACTCAGGAATTGCTCCTGGCGGTGCTCAGGGGACCATATGGGATGCTGGGAATTGGACCTGTGTTGGCCGCTTGCAAGGCAAACGCCCTCCCCGCTGTGCTATCGCTCCAGCTCCCTTGTCCGTTTCTCTGGGTGACGGGGTCAGTCCTCCACAGGAGGGTTGTGGGGTACTTGAGAGCGCTTGCCCCCTCCTTCAGAGCCGTCCTGAGGAACAGCAGACCTCCTACCCTGCACTTCACGTGGCCCCCAGCTGGCCTCACTGCCCCGAGCCCCGAGAGTAGAAAGGACACCCCAATCCCCAGGTTGAGAGCCCCCAGGGCAGGCCAATGGCAGCAGCCCCTGACCCAGTCTCCCGGGGCTGGGTCCTGGGGCCCCTGAGCAGGTGGGGGACAGAGGCTGCTCTTGCTCCGCCCAGGTTCCCTCAGGCCTCCCCACAGCCCCACCCCGCACCAGAGCCTCTGCTCAGCTTCCCAAGACCCCCCCACCCAGGCTGGGGGTTCACGCGGGGCGCCTTCCTCATGTGCTGACTGTGACGGTCACACCACGTTCTCGGCTCTGTGCCTCCGTAGCTGGCCGCTGACCCAGACCCCAATGTGAAGAGCGGATCGGAGCTTCTGGACCGGCTGCTGAAGGTACTGGCCGCTCTCCCCGCCCACGGCCCAGGCAGAGTGTGGACATGAAGGGGCGGGGGGCTCCACGCACCCCTGACCCCACTGCCCTGGCCAGCAAGAGGGGGCTGTCCCTCCCCCCAGTTCTGCCCCGTCCACGGTGGCCCGGGGGCAGCTGTGTCTGTGCGTGCTCTGCAGGACATCGTGACAGAGAGCAGCAAGTTTGACCTGGTGGGCTTCATCCCCCTGCTGCGGGAGAGGGTCTACTCCAACAACCAGTACGCGCGGCAGTTCATCATCTCCTGGGTGAGCCGCTGCTTCGTGCCTGGCTCCCTGCGGCAGCCACTACCCCTCCCGCATGTCCCCAAAGCCGTCCGCGCCCCCTGCAGAGGCCCTGGTGCCTCAGCCTCTCATCACCCTGGTGGGATGCCCCTCCAGCGCCCCCCTCTAGCCTACCCGCCCCCCCCCCGTCATCCTTCCCGGCCTCCCCTTCCCCTACGCCTGCGAACCCTCAGCCCCTGTGTACGGCCTGACGGTTCCTCCTGCTGGCCTCCCGGCAGATCCAGGTGCTGGAGTCCGTGCCGGACATCAACCTACTGGACTACCTGCCCGAGATCCTGGATGGACTCTTCCAGATCCTGGGCGACAACGGCAAAGAGATCCGAAAAATGTGAGGGGGCGGGGGCAGCGCACATAGACCCGCCCCCTAGACAGAAACCCACGCTTCTCCTGGCCCCGCTGCCCCCACTCGACCCCGCACCCTGACTCGGCGCCTCTCTGGGAGCACCCCCCACCCCGACTCAGCACCTCTCTGGGAGTACCCCTTACCCCGACTCAGCACCTCTCTGGGAGCACCCCCCCCACCCCAGCCTGTGTCTTCGTAGGTGTGAAGTGGTGCTGGGGGAGCTTCTGAAGGAGATCAAGAAGAACCCCTCCAGCGTCAAGTTCGCTGAGATGGCCAACATCCTGGTCATCCACTGCCAGACCACGGGTGAGCGTCCCCTCCCCACCGCCTCTGTGAGAGCCAGTTCACTGGACGTGTCGCTCAGGCTGGGTGGGGTCACGAGCCAGTTGTCGCCGTCCTACGCTGCCAGTTTAGTGCATCCCACGGTCACCCTCATGGGTCAGTCACGTGGGTCAGGGTCAGGGCTCACCCTCGTGGGTCAGGGCTGCCCAAGCTGATCTGGGGGCACCTGCAGAAAAAAATGATCCTGACCCTCCCCGCAATCTACCACCTTTAGAAGAACAGCACACCCTTCCCGCCACACCCAAGGCAACCCCACTGGTTCAGCATCCCCTGACAGGGGCGCTGTCACCACTTTGGGGGACCCTGGACTCCAGGTCAGCTGGTGCTGACCACGGCCAGGCTGGATCCTGCTTCCTCAGTCAGCTCGGGAGCCAGCAACAGATGGGGGGACTCGGGGGCCTCTGTCAGGCCCGGCCGTGGGACCCCGTCACCAGTCTCAGGCACGCAGCCCTCAGGGGGTCCCGACAGACACAGCTGTGGGGAGCGAGTCCTAGCCAGGGACCCCAAGGCTGGCGCCGTACCTGCCGCATGGGGAGTGAGAGCCCCTTCGGGCTGTACCCCGTCCTCCAGCCTGCTCGGACCCCGCTTCCTCCCGCAGATGACCTGATCCAGCTGACGGCCATGTGTTGGATGCGCGAGTTCATCCAGCTGGCCGGCCGCGCCATGCTCCCCTACTCCTCGGGGGTCCTCACTGCCGTGCTGCCCTGCCTGGCCTACGACGACCGCAAGAAAAGTATCCTTGCCTTGGCTGGGGCGTGGAGCCCATCGTGCCCCCAGGGACTAACATGGACTCCCCGGGTGCCCACCCCTCCCTGGATGCCGCCATCTGGGGGTTCTAGGCCTTCCCAATGGGCCCTTCCTGCCTCCCACTTCCGGGGCACAGGAAGTCTCGGGGTAAGAGAGAGCCAGGAAGGGCCCTCTGGGAAGGAGTCAGTACCTCTCGGGGAGTGGGGGACACCCCAGCTCGGAACCCCCCCCCCAGGGCTGTGGCAGGGCTGCTCCTTACCTCAATGCTCACAGGTATCAAAGAAGCAGCCAACGTGTGCAACCAGAGCCTCATGAAGCTGGTCACCCCCGAGGACGATGAGCCCGATGAGCCCAGGCTGGGGGCGCTGAAGCAGGCGGAAGCCAACCCCGACGACACCCCTGCCAAGCCCGGGGGCCCAGCCAGTGGTGAGTCGCTGCAACTCAGGGGCCTCGGAGTCCAGCTCAGGGAGGAGCGGAGGGGAGGGGGGTCAAGACCCGCATCTGGCGGCACCCGCATCTGGCGGCCCTAGCCGGACCCACCATCCTGACCCGCTGCCTCCCCGAGGCCTCTCTGAATCATTGTCGGGCTCAGCTAGCAGTGCAGTTGTTCTTAAGATCTGGGGCCTAATAGGAGCACAGGCAGGGGCGGTCCCTGAAACGTCGCCCAAAAGCTGCTCTCCTCCTTCTAGGGTTGAGTCCAAGTCCTGGACACACAGCGTACACACGGGTCCACACACATGTAGAGATATACGCATGGGCCCACACACAGACTCCTACACGCAAACACACAGGGCCACAGATTCATGCATATACATGGACCCACATACATGCACAGACACGCTCATGTACACAGAGATACACACAGGCACATGGTTTCATACACGCAAATACATGGGCCCCCACACACATATACAGAGACACACAGACTCACACTTGCAGACACATGGATCACACGCACAGATGCAGCACAGGGACACAGGCACACGCACAGAAACACCCCCAGAGTGACCTCTCAACACAGATGAGCTCAGAGCAGCACCCTCTCATTGGTCTCTAGTGTGAAGGAAAGCAGTCGCTCTGACTAGGGTCTGGAATTTGACCCGGAGTACCGTCTAGAACTCTCTTTTTCCCTGGCACCTCCCTCCAGACCAAGGCAGTGATCAGCCGGGGGGCGGGCCACACTCTCCTCTGCCACATCAGCCTGGACCTGCCCACAGAGACGAGGAATTTCCAGAGCCTTTGCTCCCCGGGGGGTGGGGGTGGGGGGGTGGGACAGGGACGACCTCTCAGGCTTCAGCTCTGAACAGCTGAGCCGAGAGCCCCTGGGGTGCTGGGCCTTGGGCCTGGGCTGGGGGTCCGGATCTAGAAGTTTCCCTGTCGCCTGGTGGGTGTCAGGTTACAGCCCAGCCTTCCTGACTAGGAGCCTCAGCAGCAAAACTGTTGGAGGCTGAGCCGCACACAGCTGGAGCATTGGTGGTTCAGTGGTAGAATTCTCGCCTGCCACGCGGGAGGCCCGGGTTCGATTCCCGGCCAATGCAGCAGCCAGACTTTTTGGCAGCTCCTGAATCGCAGCTGTATTTTATGAGCCTTCCCTGAGTGTCCTTTTACCTTACTAGCTTCTGTCTTTCCATTTGTTTGTTCTCCTTTTAGAGAACTTGGAAAGTCAAAAATACTAGAAGGGGCTTGTCTCCGACCCCCAAGCCCCACTTCTCCCCCAGCCAGGCAGCCTGGGAGATCATCCCGGGCTGCAGTTCCACACACCACATTCGGCTGCTTTTGCTTCTTGAAGGGTGCTTGAGGGTGTGGTTTTTGCTTTGTCTGAGGCTTGATAAGTCACAGCATGCAGAGTTTTGAATATTTTATGCTGACCTAAAAATGTGCTTCTTAGCTCAGAGTCGGAAAGCAGAGGCTGAGCAGGAGAGAAGGGGGTTGGGCCGACTGCAGGTTCCTCTGAGGGATTCATGGGTGCTGAGGGTCACCCAGGTTTTTGGAGGGGCTAACACTCCCTGGCTGTGCCCTTTGAAACGGTCCCTATGTGTGTGGAAACTTGCTGCCTTGTGAGTTCTGTCTTTAAACAGTAAGAGCCCTAGGCGGTCCCAGCGCCCAGCCCCGCCCACTCCCAGGGCCCTGTGGTCAAGGCCACAGGTTTTTGGAGGGGCTAACACTCCCTGGCTGTGCCCTTTGAAACGGTCCCTATGTGTGTGGAAACTTGCTGCCTTGTGAGTTCTGTCTTTAAACAGTAAGAGCCCTAGGCGGTCCCAGCGCCCAGCCCCGCCCACTCCCAGGACCCTGTGGTCAAGGCCACAGCACAGGCGCTCAGGGCAGCAGCGGCATTGGTGGTTCAGTGGTAGAATTCTCGCCTGCCACGCGGGAGGCCCGGGTTCGATTCCCGGCCAATGCAGCCAACTTCCCTTTTTAGCTCGTCTTGCCCAAAGCTGGGTGCTGCTCTGACAGCTTGGCTCCCGCTTTGCTGCCTCGTAAACAGTCTGTCACTTCCTGCTGGTTCCCAGGGCCGCCAGCGGCTCCTCAGGCTCCAGCGCTGCCCACTCTCAGGCACTGCCGGGCTGCCGGGGGCCAGGAGAAACAGCCGGCTAGCCAGGCCAGCCGAGCTCACCGGTCAGGCACAGCTCCCCCAGACACCCTCTTCCTCTTCCCACTCTGCCCCTGGTGCCCACCCAACTCCCCGGACGGAAAACGGGGCACCCACCCTGGTTCCCCTCCTCAGGGGTCCCAGCTCCATGGTGCTGCAGCCACGCACGGGGCTGCTGGCCCCTCCCCGCTTGCTCTGTCTGCTTCCCCTTGGCAAAGTGGCTTTAGCCACTTGGTGTGCGTAAGTCTGTGTGCACGTGTGTGCGCGTGGCTGTGTCCCTCCTCAGTCAGGGTTCCTGCTCCCTCCCTGGTCCCCTCAGGGGTCGTGGCCTGGATCCCGAGGTCAGAGTATGGGCTGCTAACTTCCTGTGTTACCCCGGGACAGCCCCCCCACCCCCGCCTCGCTCAGCCTCTGCGCCCCATGTGTCGGGCCACTCATGCCTGAACCCGCCACAGTGCAGGGGTGAGTTTCAGGCCCTTCAGCCACTGCGGGTGCCGAGCCTGAGCGTGTTTAAGTGCTCTCGCCCACCTGGCCAGGTTCTAAGGCACTGACAGGACCGGTGCGGCAGCTCCGCCCACCTGTGGGCACCGCAGGGGTGCTGTGGCCCTCCTTCAGGCCTCAGAGGTGGTCTTAAGCGGCCGGTGCTTTACCCTTAGCGGTCATGCCCCCCATACCTCAATCCGCCCCCACTTTGGTTCTGGGGTTTTTACTGGAGGGCGAGGCAGTATCCCTGTTTGTCCTCGAGGGATACTCCTGGCTCAGTGCTTGGGCCAGTGTACCTGGCTCAGTACACTGAACCACCAGTGCCGCTGCTGCCCTGAATGCTTGTGCCGTGGCCTTGACCACATGCCCAGGGGACATGCGGTGTGGAGGTGGACCTGGAAGCTCAGCCCTTCCTTTGTGCTCTCTCTCGAGCCCCCTCCCACCACACCCCACTTTTTCTTTTTTCTTTTAGATTTTTATTAGTGAAACACCATGAGGTACAGTTGTAGATTTACAAATTTTTGTGCTTGGGTTTCAGTTATACAATGATTGAATACCCATCCCTCCACCACCATTGATCCCAGTATCCCTCCCACACCCCACTTTTAAGACCTGATTTCTCAGAAGAACATCCCTGTTTTCTCTCAGACTGGGGCGGGGCAGGGGTGTCCCCAGGATGGAGAGCTAACAAGGGACCAGCCAGTCAGGATGCTGGGCAGCTTGTTCTTACTGGAGGCACGGCGGGGCTGCTGCCCACGGGAAGGGTCATTTGGACATGAGTGTTGTGGGGAATGCCATGACATGCCAAGGAAGGCGGGCAGGGAGGCCGGACAAGGGTGCCCGCATACGGGGTGTGGCTGGGGCCCTGGATGCCTGCACCCACCGCCCCTTATCCCTGCCCTCCTTTGTCACCGGGGGTGGGTGGCTTGCATCACCGTGCAGGTTGCTTGGCAGCTCTCCAACGGCTCCTGATGTGGGGGGCTCACGGCAGGCCCAGCTTTGGCACACATGCCGGCATGGGCGCCCCGGGAGCCCCCAGCCCTGAGGATGACTCCCCCCAACACCCCTCGTTCCCCAGGAGCCCCCGACGGAGCCTGCGAGCCCAGCTTCAATAGCGACTTCAGTGTCTTCACCCCGACAAGGTGAGTGCGGGGCGCCTGCCACTCGGGATGGTGCACCAGCGCTGGAAGGGCAGCTGAGGCACCCATGGATATCGCTCGGGGCCCTTGGCTTATTGGGCACTCACTAGGTGCCCCTCAGGAAGGTTCTGGAGACTAGGGCACAGGCCTTTCCCAGGGCTGTGTCATGGCACCAGCGCCCACCAGAGGGCAGTGCAGGCCCAGCAGCCAGACCCGGCAACCTTCAGTGCCTGCGACGGGAGAGCGTCCTCCCTGGACAGAATGGCCGCCGAGACCCCACGAGCCCCGATGTGCCCCAGCCCATGGCTCCAGTCCCCATGGGCTGCTCCCCTGACCCAGAGGAAGGGAAGGGTCCTGCGCCGTAGGGTCCCTCTCTCAAGCTGCCTCCTCTCCCTGCCACACTGAGGTCACCCTTTAGGTCATCTCATTTCTCCTTAGCCCTGAGGACCCCTGTTGAAGTGTGGGCACAGGCAGGTTCAGAAGGGTCCCGAGCCCCACCCCGCCCAGCACTGCTGGTTCTGGGATCCACCAAGGACGTGGCCCCTGCCCTCGAGGGGCGGTGGACAAGGCCCAGGTGCCTGATGAGAAACTTCTGGAAGAATTGCCCTCAGCCCTGAGCTCCTGTGCCCAATGTGGCACCTGGGCTGTCCCTCCTCTTCCCTCCTCTCAGTTGAGGCATCCAGGCCCCTGGGGGCCACTGGTGGTGTCACCCCTGATAGGGCCTGGAGCATCGGGACCAGGTAAGAGATTCAGGAGGAACTGGACGGGGCACGCTCCAGCGAGGGGACAGAGGGAGACCCTGGGGGGATGGGGTGCAGTGGAAGGGCCAAGCCTTCCAGCGCCCAAGTCAGATGCGCACTGACCTGGGTGGGGGGCAGACAGCTGGTGTTGTCCCAGAGGCCCGTGACAGCTGGGAGCCACAGGCCAGGTGTGAATTCTGGACCTTGGGCGAGGACCGCAGGAGACTTGGCAGTGGACACAAGACGGGTAGCGCAGGAGTGGCCGTGGGGGAGGCGTCCCGGCAGCTTCGATGACCGCCCAGGCCGTGGGTCCAGGTGGTCATGGGGCACGGCCCAGAGCAGGGCTGACTGCAAGTGCCCAGGTGCCTGACCCAACATGGGAACCCAGCTGCCATCTTGTCTCTCAGCGTGGTCTTCTATGCCCTGTGCATGCACGGTGAAAAGATCTAGAAACCAGTGCTTCCAGCTTCTGCTCCTGCTGAGTGGGAAGAGTCATGGGGGTCCATTACACACACAGGTCTGACCCAGGCCACCTTGTTCCGAGTCCCTCTGTACTGAGTTAGAGGGCGCGGGTGAGCCCTCAGGGAGACTCAGTGGCTCCACTCTGGCCCAAGCCCATCGGCTGCCCTTGGTCCTAGCAGCCTGCGTGGCCCGTGTGTGGGTCTGAGTGTGAATCGTGTGTGGGTCCGTGTGTGGGTCTTTGTGGTCCAAGTTTGGGTCTGAGTGTGAGTCCGAGTGTGGGTCTGAGTGTGGGTCTGTGTGTGGGTCTGTGTGGTCCTGCGTGGTCTGATTATGGGTCTGTGTGTGAGTCCATGTGTGGATCTGCATGTGGGTCTGTATGTGGATCTGTGTGTGGGTCTGAGTGTGGGTCTGTGTGTACGTCCGCGTGTGGGTCCAAGTTTAGGTTCGTGTGTGCATCTATGTGTGGGTCTGAGTTTGTATCTGTGTGTGGGTCTGAGTGTGGGTCCGAGTTTGGGTCCGTGTGTGCGTCCATGTGTGGGTTCACGCATGGCATCTGTTGTGGCACATGGTATTTGAGTTGCTAGCAGAAGGGGTTTCACAGACACCCTGAAATAACTCGGATGCCCCCAGAGTGACTCGTCTAGACGTTTTGGAACCGAGACAGTCTCTAGAGTCGGGAGTGGTTCGTTCTCGGGGCAGGCGGCCAGGGCGGAGAGGCCTCACCCACCTCTGCCGGGGCACCCTGCAGTAGCCACCAGTCCGGATGGCTGCTCTGAGCGGGGGTCACCCAGCCTGCCTGCCTCCCCCTCCTCCTCAGTGGTACTTGACCAGTCCTGCGGCTTGGGGCAGGGCGACCCTGGACAGCCCATGCTGAGAGGGACCTGAGACACCCTCACCCTTTGGCCTTTGGCCTAACAGTGACCTGACCAGGGCCACTGGCTGGGGGCACTGGCCGGGGCCGGCTCACTCTGTTCCCAGGAGCCCCTGAGCCACCAGCATGATCTGGGCTGGGCCGAGGGAACTGTGGACAGGGGACAGAGGTTCTGGGGGATAAGGTGAGCATGGTGGGGGGCTGCCGCCTCCTCTCACAGCCTGGGACAGCTGGCCATGAGTTCCCGTCACCCGTGATCCCTGCCACTGCACGTTGAAATGACAAACACACTTCAGGTACTAAAAGGAGTAAAAGATGTCGTTAAAATTAACTGCACCCCACCCCTTCTCAGTTAGAACTGGAAAATGTCAAATGCTGTGGGTGGATCATGTTGGGTTTCTCTTGGTTCGGGACTGGGGTTCTGCCAGAACCCCCAGATGCTGCAGGCACATGTCTGTCCAGCTTGGGCCTCAGAGCACCTAGAATTTCTGTGAAGGCCACAGGGCCGCAGCCTTGGCTCCTGGGTACATCAATGACCAGCACAGCATGACAGGCTGCCACGACATGCTCCGTTGGCACTGCCTCACACCTTCTAAAATGTCAGGGGGGTGTCCGGGGGATTGGGAGCTCACGAATTAGGGAGCAGCTGGAAAGGGCATGAGGGCCTGGGCCCCTGGGCATGAGAGTCCTGCATGGGACGGTGCTGAGACGGGGAACAGACAGGGAAGCCGCCCAGGGCAGAGCGTGTCCCTTGGCTGACTCAAACTGGATCACTGGATCATCAATGCTGACGACCCCACGGTCCCAGGCCAGGCGCTCTGGGTGCAGGTCTCTGCCTGGGTGCAAGATAAGCAGCTTCAGCCCTGGGGAGGTGGCAGGGAACAAATGCAGGGACCTCTCAGGCCCAGAGGGTCTGGCCTGAGGCTGGGGTGAGCCTAGCCAAGCTGGAGGGGGCAGAGGAGGTGCGATCTGACGGTGCAGGGTGGGGAAGAGGACCCGGGTTCAGCCACCCCGCAGCTCTGAATGGGCCCCGCGTGCGCCTCATTTGCCCTCTCTGCCCTGGACAGGCCCCGGGTGTGCCCCACCTACCCCCCCTCAGCTCTGGACAGGCCCCGGGCACACCTCACCTGCACCCCTCCCCCCACAGCTCTGACCGGGCCCCTGGCGCGCTCCACCTGGATGGGATCGTGCAGGTGCTCAACTGCCACCTGAGTGACACGGCCATTGGCATGATGACCCGGATCGCCGTGCTCAAGTGGCTGTACCACCTCTACATCAGGACACCCCGGAAGGTGAGGTTTGGGGTGCAGCACAGCTCCAGGGGTCTCCATTCCGGTGGCTCCGGAGCAACCCCGGCCAGTAGAGGCACCCCCAGTGTCGGGTATGGGGATACGGAGACCCTGTTCCCGGCACAGTCGGCTCACAGCGCCACTTCTCTGCCCCAGATGTTCCGGCACACAGACAGCCTCTTCCCCACCCTGCTGCACACGCTGTCAGACGAGTCAGACGAGGTGGGTCACGGCCGCCCCTGCCCCCCTCCCCCTTGCCAACGTGGCTCCCACATACCTCCTAGCTCCCCTTCCTGCCTCTGCTGGCTGCCCTGCAGAACGCGCCCCCTGCCCACCGCCTGGATGGGGAACCGGAGGAACCCAGCTGGGAGTGGTGCCTGGGGGAGTTGTGGTCGGCTTGTCTCTCCCCTCCCTGGGCCCTGGGGGACACACAGGCACGTGGGATACCACTGTGACTTCCAGCCTCACTTGGGCTTTGCTTGGTTGGGGTCAGAGATGAAGGCCGGCTGGAGAGCCCGGGGCTGTCCCCGCTCCCCTGTCCCCAGCGCAGTGCCCCTGGAGTCCCTCCGAGGCTCCATGCAGAACTGGGTCCCACAGGCAGCAGCACCTGTGCCCGCAGCCCCTGCACCGCGGGGGGGGGGGGGGGCGGGAGGATGTGGTGGGGCGGGGAGGCCATTGCTCAGTGCTCCCTGCACAGACCCAAAGCTTCACACAGGCGGGTGACCGCTCTGCAACCTCATAGTTCTCTGCACTTCTAGAATAATCCAAAATGGGCTGGAGCAATAGCATAGCAGGTAAGATGCTTACCTTGCATGCGGCTGACCCAGATTCAATCCCCAACACCCCATATGGTCCCAGATTCAATCCCCAACACCCCATATGGTCCCCGAGCACTGCCAGGAGTGATTCCTGAGTGCAGAGCCGAGAGCATCATCAGGTGTGGTCCAGAAACAGTAAAATTGAAAACATGCTCTGGAGTCTGCCCTTGAGCCCTCCTGCTTCCTGCGCACACAAGCTCGCTCTCCCGGCCCGACAGCCCTTAACTGGCAGCGTGGTGCTGGGGCCACCCCAGGGGGTGCTCAAGCACCAGAGGTATCATGCATGTGAGGTCCGTGTCCCAGCCCTGTGAGCATCTCCGGGGCCCTTCGAGCCCATGCAGTTGTCACCAGGGTATCCTGGAGAGGGTGATGGTTCTCAGGCAGTCGGGAGAGATGCAGCAGGAGTTTGCGTCATGGTGCTGGGAGCTCTCAGGACCCCTGGCATTCTTGGAGGTGACAGTGTGTGTGAGTGAGCATCTGTCGGTGTCTCCGAGCCTACACGAGCACCTGTGAGTGTGGTCGTGCCTGAGCTTCTGTGAGCATCTGTGTCTGAGCATGCGTGAGTTTCTGAGCATGCGTGTCTGTCAGCATCTGTGAGTGTGCACGAATGTCTGAATGTGCGTGAGCGCCTGTGAGCGTGTGTGAGCATTTGAGTGTGCATGAGCATCTGTGAGTGTGCGTGAGCGTGCGTGAGCATCTGTGAGCCTCTAAGCATGTGTGAGCACCTGTGAGTGTACATGAGCCTCTGAGTGTGCGTGAGCATCTGTGAGCAGGCGTACGTGTCTGAGTGTGTGAACCACTGAGAGTGCAGGAGCACCTGTGAGTGTGCGCGAATGTCTGTGACATGCTTGAGTACTGGCGTGGGCAGAAGAACTGGCTGAGGGCAACTGCCTGGGACGACAGGGCAAGTGGCTAATTGTAAGACCCTGTAGGAAGCAGGTAGAGACCTCTCAGTTACGTTTTACAGGTCTGGGGTTCTCAGGTAAGGCGGGATTAGGACTCAACTGTCTACACTCAGACCCCAACATCTGGGTCAGGTGTGCCGGGAATGGGCCTCGGGCCCCCCCAGCACTGGGGGGAGGCTCCCCCGACCAGCCCAGGGTCAGGCTTTGCCCGGTGCCTGCAACTCACCTCTCTGAGCCTGGGTGTCCTTGTCAGAAAACTAACTATGGAGTCTTCTGGCTGTCCCTGCCGATTGGCGCGTGGTGGCTGAAAGGGCCCTGGGACCTGGTGCAGCTAGTGGGGACAATGGTGGTTTCCCAGGGGGACCAAAGCCAGAAAGGATCCCACTCACCACAAACCTCTCCCTCTGCTCCGGCAGCAGGGACTGGGGCCTGGCTCCCTCAGGGCTAGACCTGAGACCTGGATGCAGAGAGAGAGGAAGAGGAGAGGCCCAGGCCCCCCGGGGCACCCTCACATTTCTACTCAAACCAGCTGGCCCGTGGCTCTGGGCCCAGCATCTGAGGACGAGCAAGGGAGGCGGGTGGGGGCCTCAGGAGCTCCCCGACCACCACCGTGGCAGAACCTCCCCGGCACCAAACCTCCTGGCGCAGCGTGTGGTCAGCCTTTGCCCGAGGGCCCTGCCCATCCCCTCCCCAGCCTAGCGACACCCTGGCACAGCTGCAGGGCGAAGAGTGCCCGGATGGACCCCCACAAGAAGGGAGGGGCCCTCCAGCCTGCAGGAACGTGGTGGTGACAACGGCAGCCCCGTGTACCCTCCCCCCCTCCCAACACACTTCCTCTGCTATGGAGGCCGCAGCCCACAGCCTGGCCTGCACTCAGAGCTGGTCTGTGCATGATGGCCTGCACGCCCCGCACCAGGTGGGGGATGGCCCCCAGGACCCAGGCAGGGACCCAGGCAGGACGGGCTGATGCTCCTTCCCCACCCCCAGCCGTTGCCGTGGTGACACAGGCCTGCAGAATATTGCTTTCTTAGATCCCCCCCTTCTCTCACCCAGAGAGAAAGCACAGTGTTTTATATTCATTTTGCAAAAAGCTGTGGCGCGCATACTAATTGCCTGGGCTTCCTCTGAGGCCTGTGTCCTGTTGGAGGGGGCTGTCCGGGAGCCTCGCAGACAGCTTCGGTCCTGGGGCGGGTGCCCCCAGAGCAAGGCCCAGAGCTTGCTGACTGGCTATGGGGTCTCCAGGCCAAGCGGGTGGGACAGGGAACGCGAAGCCACGTGCAGCCCGGGCCCTCACCCCGCAGGAATCGTGCCCACGACCCACATCTAGCCCGGCGCTGAGTGGGGTTTGCTGGGCAGCTGGGAGAGGGCAGTGGCTGCCCAGGAGGGCCCCCTCCCATCATGCGCCTCCCCTCTTAAATCCAGAGTATTCTCTGCTACAGCAGTCCCTTCCCCTGCCTCATAGGAAGTGTGTGTGTGTGTGTGTGTGTGTGTGCGCGCGCGCGCGCGCGCGCGTGCGCGCACATACATGCATAAGTGTGATGCGCCTGCCCTCTGCAGGAGGAGTGTGTGTCCACAGAACACTCACCATGTCCCCTGGGAAGTCCGGCTGGGGCTCCTTGCCAGCCCTGGGGACCATAGACAAACCATGTAATGCGTCCAGCACCGAGGGTGACCATGCTCATCACTGCACACCACGTCACCACCTGTAACTAGCCACATTTTGCTTTTTAAAATGAGAGAATTCCACTGTGAAGGACGAGGCCCCGCTGCTCCCGTGGGGCGGGAGAAGTGCATGTGACTGGCCTGCAGGGTGCCAGCCCACCGGCCGCGGCTCCCCACAAGCCCACCTAGAGCATTGATGGTCTGCATGCCACCTGCAGGACAAGTCCCCTCCTTGGGCACAGATGAGGAAACCGAGGCTCCCTTCTCAGGCAAGACCCTCTAGAGTCATCCTCTGGCCCAGCCCCACCCCTACTCCCACTGGGCCCAGCTAGCTTCTTCCCTGCAGGGTGTGTCTCCCTGCAGATGGGTGGCTGAGCCTGTGGGCCACGCCCCATGGGTGCAGGGATGGAGGGGGAGAGTGCCACAGAAGGTCACCTGTGGGCAGGGGTTGAGGGCAAGGGCAGGGTCCAGCCAAGGGTGAGGGGATGAGACACTGTGTGGGCCCCTGAGCATAGAGCCCAGAGCAGCCCCTGACACCTAACAGACGTGGGGGCAGGAGGGAGACGGACAGAACCATTGGCTGTCACAGCACAGCCTAGTGGCTCAGAGCCTCCTGGGATGCAAGCTCCCTGCACGTAGAACCGACAGGTGAGGCCTAAAGCCGGGCACATCATCCTGCAACCGGGCCAGCGTCCACTGCAGAGGCGGGAAGGACACAAGCACGGGCCCACCCTGGCGCAGGTGAGGTGGGCCTCGTGGGTCAGGAGGAAGCCAGGTGCCTACCCGGAAGAGGTGTACTGCACTGGCAGATGCCAGGCACGGTCTGCTACCAAGACCATCAGCTCACCTGGGAGCGTGAACCAGGCATGAGGGTGGGAAACAGAACCCCATGACCTCTCCGCAGAGCAGAGTGGTCCCTGAGGATCACCGAGAGTGGGAGTGGGGGGTGCCAGTTTGGGGTTTTGACTGGATTCCCTTTTTTTTTTAAAAATTTTTTTAATTTAATTTTATTTTTTTATTAGTGAAATACCATGAGGTACAGTTGTAGACTTACAAATTTTTGTGCTTGGGTTTCAGTTATACTGGATTCCCTTTGTGGATTTTTTTTTTTAAACCCTTTCTTGATTTTGTACTTGGGAGCCAAACCCAGCAGTGCTCAGGAGTGACCCCTGGTAATGATCAGGACTCGATACCGGGGATAAAATGCAATCGGCCACATGCACGGCAAGAACTTTAACCCCTGCATCATACCTCTGGCCCTGATGTCCTGTTTTAAACATATTCATTTTTATATTTATGTTTGGCATCTTGCAGCACTGGTAATGTCAGGGTTTCATACATGCAGAGTGTGTGTGTGTGTGTGTGTGTGTGTGTGTGTGTGTGTTCTGTGTTTGTGTCCGCGTCTGTCCAGCTGCACGATTCTGCCTCTCCTTGGGTCGCGTTTCACGGTGCGCATGCAGCGCACCAGCAGCAGAAACAGTGCCCAGAACCAAAAGTCACCCAGAGACCGGGAGAAAACCCCCCTCGTCTGCCGATATTCAGGTTGTATAGTGCACTTGTGCAACGGACTTGTGAAACGAACAGCCTCCTCCAAAAATGGGGAGAAGAAATGAGCAGGAACCTCCTCAGGGACACCCTGGTGCTGGGCAGTTTCTCGAGACAAGCCCCGCGGCCTGCGTCCTTCACTCCTGGACACTTTACCAGCTACAAAGTCCATCTTGTGGCTGGGGGCGGAGCGGGACACCCCCAGAGCTGCCTGTGGGGACACGTCCATCGGGGCATCGCTGCCTGCCGTGTGTGTGGCCTCGCCTCTGCGGCTTTCACTCAGCGGGGGTCTTGGGGTTCAGAGTGCAATGGCACATGTGGGGAACTCGTTCCCTTCTAATCGCCTGGCGGGGTGTGGACCCCCCACATCTCTCCACCCCACCACTTTCGGAACAAGGCCCTGGGCTGCCACGAGCTCAGGCTTGTTCACCAGCACATGAGGCCCCTCAGGAGTGGGGGTGCCGTGGGAGCAAACCCCAGCTTCGACACTGGGAGCGCAGCTGCCAAGCTTTTGGCCTCACTGTTGGGTTGTAGGCAAGCCCCCCAAAATCCATTTGCCCCAGCACTCTTGGCTCGCTAACTGAGACAGGCCATTTGCCCCAAGTCAGGCCACTGCTGACTCGGGGGTCCTGTTGGTGCCTCCCGCACCCACCGTCCAGTGGGCAGTGTGGGGGTGCCCATGAAAACCTCCTGCCAGGCTGGGGAGAGGAAGCACCGCTGGCGCCCCGCAACCCAGAGGGACAGGAGGGGTCCTGAGCCAGGTGGCACTGCTCTCCCCTCTGAGGGGAAAGGCCTGGCCACTCCCAGACCCGCACCCGTGGGGTTCGGTCAGTTCAGAGCCAGTCCGTGCCCTCAGCTGGGCCAGCCCCGCGGGTGCTCCCGCGTGTCCCTGCGTCCTCGAGGGCCTGTCCCCACACCCCCGGGGGAGGGTCGGTGATCTCATGCTTGGCTCGTGCCCCAGGTGATCCTGAAGGATCTGGAGGTGCTGGCAGAAATCGCGTCCTCCCCTGCTGGCCAGACGGATGACCCAGGTCCCCTGGACGGCCCTGACCTGCGAGTCGGCCACTCGGAGCTCCAGGTGCCCACAGCCAGCAGGGCCAGCCTGTTGCCACCCGGTGAGTCTCCCTGCGCCTCCGCCACCGCCCCGGGGAGGGGCCCCTGGCAGGCCTTTTGTCCCGCTCCAAACCTGGCCCCATATTCTCTCCCTGTTCCGCCCCAGCCAGGAAGCAGCCACGGGCACCTCAGGTCCCCCCAGGTGGGGGACGCGGCTGCCGTATCCTTCCTGCTGAGATGCTAAAAATAGCGGCCCGGCGGCCAGCCGCACGGATGTGCCTCCCACAGCTTGTTTCTGGGCAGCACCTGGTGTGCAGGTGGGCCTGGCCGTCGGGCGCACCGAGCCCCAGTGCCCAGACCCTGCAGAGGTGCAGACAGATGAAATGTGCCCACCGCGTCCTGGGGGCGTCCCTGGGGCCCCTCGCCCCTTGGGCGTCTCTAGCTTCTGCTGGTCCTGGGATGCAGAAGATTTGGGTCAGCTGGATTGGAGGCCCCGATGCGGCCCAGGCCCGGCCGTGCCCCCACTTTGGCCCACAGGGAGACACTGAGGCTGGTGCCACACTCGCTCTCCCACCCTGGGGCCTGGCAGGAAGAAGGGGCTCCCCAGGAGGCAGGGGCTGCCGCCTCTTGGGGCCTCTCTCCCAGACTCCATCCTGTGTCCTTCGTTCTGAAGTAGCCAGTGGGCGCAGAAGCTGAGTGTGGGGGCAGCCCCGCTACAGGGCCGGCGGGGTCTGCAAGACTGGGGGAGTCCCTCCCCAGAGACCCCACACAGAGGAGAGTGGAAGTGCCGGCCCCCAGTGCGGCCCAGACCCCCCACAGAGACTCGCCCCAGACCCACGGGGAGCCGGCAGGCAGGGCAGAAAGGCCGTGGGGAGAGCACCCAGCCCACCCCGCCGTGTCCCGACTGTTCGCTCCAGCACAGACTCATGCCATAGCAGGACAGTCTCAGAGCAGCCAGGCCGCCCCGGAACTGGAGTCCTGCAAGAAGCCGGGCCCTCAGATCAGGGGGTGCTGCACACGCGGAAGGGGCTCAGCTCTCAGCAGACGCAGCCACACCCCAGCCCTGCTCTGTGCCAGACCGGGCCCCCTTGCCCCGCATCCCACCCGCTTGGCCCCCAGGCCCCCGGAGGGGCACTTCCTGGGCCAGGCCTGGCTCCCCACCACTCCCGGGCACCCCCGAACCTCCCGAACCTGCCCTGCAGAATATGTGTAGGGCCACCAGCCCCAGAGGCCCTGGAGTGTGTAGGGGGTCGAACAACCCCGGGCAGGGAGCAGGAACCCCTTGGAAGGGGGGAGCAGGACCCCGCGGAGGGACCGGGCTGGGCTGCCGGCCTGCAAGCATCTGGTTTTGCTGAACTGTGACTTGGTCGTGAGCAAGGCCGGAGCTATTTTTAGCCCGACGTGTGAGGCTGCGCCGTGTCAGACTCCCAGCTCCTCCAGACGGCTGCTCGCCCAGCTTCTCCCGTCGCCACGTCAGGGTTCACTTGGGCACACGTGGGGGCCCAGCCCTGTGCGCCCCCCAGCAGCTGGCCGCTCCAGGAAAGCCAGCATGGGCCCCTGAGGCAGCAGTACCCCAGGCTGGGGGACCCCAGCCCCTCTCTTCTTCACCCCTCCCTGGGGCCTGGGGCGGAGTCAGCAAAGCAAAGCAGGGGCCGAGGAAGGTTCCGATCAGACAGGGCAGGGGCGGCCGGGGAGGAGGGGCTGCCAGGGGTCTCACGGGCCAGCCCCACGGCAGGCACACGGGCACAAGGGAGCCCACGCCCACCCCCCTTCCCCCCTTCCTGCCTCTCTCATGGGTCCTGCCCATGCCCCCTCCCCACCCCACCCCACCCCCGCCGTCCTCTCTGCACCCCGGGAAGAGGCATGTAAGGCCCCACAGACCCTACAAATCCTGAGGCTGTGCCCAGCGGTGCCCTCACGCCCACGGGAGCCCAGGGGCTGTCAGGAAAGCAGGGGGGGGGGGGGCAGCCAGGCCGGCCTGGAAGCTCGTTTCACAGGGGGCGCAGTTTAAAGGCTTTGCGGAGCCCTGCCTGGTGGTGGGGGAGGGGTGGGCCTTGCCCTGCGCCTGGTCTGGGGTGAGTGGAGGCTTCCCCCTTCTCACGATGACAGGCCCTGGCCCTGGGGTTGGCTGGAAATGGCCGTTTTATCTTTAGGTAGGTCCTTTCTGTCCCTGATTTGTTAAGGGATTTTATCCTAAACGGATGTCGAGTCCTGTCAGAAGCATTTTTCTGCTTCTTTTGATAGGCTCGTCGGATCTTTGGGGAAGGGGGGCCGCCCCCAGCGGTGCTCAGGCCTTCCTCCTGGCAGGCGTGGGGAACCAGCTGTGGTGCCCAGGGTCGGGCCCGGCTGTGGGTGAGGCGGGCCCCTCCCTGCTGCTCTCTCTGGCCCCGATCAGGCAGCGTTTCTTGCTTTTGCCAGTGTGATACGTTCCACACCGTATATTGACTTGTGTATATTGAAGTGTCCTTCTGCTCTGGGATGGGACCCCATGCTGACCATGGTGTGTGACCCTTCATGATGATTCATTGGATCTGGTCCCTAAGACTTTGCTGAGGATCTTTGCATTGGTCTTCAAGGTTACTTGTCTGTTTCTTGTCTGGGTTTGGTTTGGCTTTAGGGCCATACCCCCACAGTGCTCAGTGCTTACTCCTGACGCTGTGCTCAGGGATCACTCTTGCCAGTGCTCAGGGGATTGGATGTGGTGCCAGTGATCAACCCTGAGCAAGAAGTGCCCTCCCACTGTGTCACTGCGCAGGCCCCAGGGGTAAACGTCTGCTCTCAGCACCGGAGCCTCCGTCTCCTCCGGCAGCACCACTGTGTCTGTCTGTCTGTCCCTCCCCTCGTGGGTCCTGTACTGACCAGGAGGAGACTGCCTCATTGACGAAGATGAAAGCGCCTTGCTCAGGGCCCTGTGTGCCGATGTTCTCTGGGGAGCACCCTCGTTTTCTGCATGGAGGCGAGGAGGGCGGGTTAGTCACAGTCTCACACACACACACACACACACACACACACAAACACACACACCCCCAGCACCATCGTTTTGGCATCTGCGTTTGTCTCTGAGGCGCCCCCTCCCGGGACACAGGATAAACCCCTGTTCCTTCATCCGCAGGTTCCAAAGGCCTAGAATCTTCTCCTTCCACGCCCACCATGAACTCCTACTTCTACAAGTTCATGATCAACCTTCTCAAGAGGTTCAGCAGCGAGCGGAAGCTCCTGGAGGCGAGAGGCGCTTTCATCATCAGGTCAGCCCCGCCCCACCCATCACACATCACGCCGGCCAGGACCGGCACAGCCGCGGCCACCGCTCCCGGCCTCCCTCTCTCCTCCTGACCTGGCTGCGGTCTCCGCAGGGGAGCAGGCGTTCCCTCCATACTGCATGGCGAACTCCGTTCCCTCCCTTCAGCGTGACTCAGAGTGTGGGGGCAGCAAAGGGGGTGCGAGGTGGCAGGTGCGGCGGGCTGTGCTCAGGGGCCTGACCTGGGCAGACCATAGAACTTTCCCCACGTGCCCAGGAGAGTGACCCACAGGCCTCCAGCATCTCAGTGAGGCACAGTCCCTCGGAGCCCCGCAGCCAGGCCAGGCAGGGAGACGCTGGGGCGATGGCTTCCCATGCTTCCAGGGTGCTGGGAAGCGGGCAGAACCATTCTGGTGCCAGGGACGGGGACGGGGCCTGGGTGGGGGCAGCTGAGCTGGCCAGGGGACATCGGGACATGGCAGGAGTGGTCCCAGCAGAGCATCCTGGGCAGGAAGGAGCAGAGTGCGGTGACCTCAGGCCTGCACGGCACCGGGCCTTCACCCTTAGTGCTCCCCCCCCCATGTACTTCTGGGCCAGGCTCCTCCCTTTGTTATACTTTTCTTTGTGTGTTTGTTCATTCTTGTTTGGGGGCCACACCTGGAGCTGCTCAGGGCTTACTCCTAGCTCTGTGCTCAGGGGTCACCCTTGGTGGGGGTGGAGGACCACATGGGGGCCCAGGACCAAACCCGACTCGACTGTGTGCAAGTGCAAGGCAAGCGCCCTCCCCGACCTGCTGCCGTCACCCCCCAAGCCTTCCCCTTCAAAGCCAGCTGTGTTTCGGGGGAGAATGGGGCCATGGTGGGTGCCGGGAGCGCGGGGGGGGGGGGGGGGAAGGGGGAGCAGTGGAAGTCAGGAATCAGGAGCTGAGCGGGTCGTGACCGCTTCTCAGGCCGTGTCACAGCCCAGGGGGGCACTGCAGGTCAGGGGCAGGGGAGCCGCATGGCCATCCTGGTGACAGCCCAGGAGAGACCGTGAACAAGCCTGTGGAGAAGGGCCTGCGCCCAAGGCGCCTGTCTGACATTGATGGCATTCATTCCTTCATTCGTTCATTCATGGGTGCACCGGCTCCGTATCGAGTGCTGATTGTGCAAGGACTGTTGGTTCTGGAAGGTTCTGGACAGTTCTGCTCTGGCGCCTTGTGGTACTTTTGTTCTCCCCAGGTTGGCGGTGAGAGGGCGGGAAGAGGCCCCAAGGCACCAGCTGGGCGATGTGATGGGGCGACCGTGGGGTGGGCCTGAGAGGGGAGGCAGTGGGGAAGAGAGAGGGGCAGGAGGGAAGCACCCCGAACTCACAGCCGTGTCCTCGCGGAAGGAGGGGCCCACGGGGGCCTGGGCTCAGAGAGGTGCAGTGGAGGGGGGTGAGGTGGGCTCCCACTGCCTGGCCCCTCCACGTTCCCACCTCAAGCCCCCAGGGCTTCCTCGTTTAGCCTCGAGGAGGACCCCGCCCTGCAGCCCTGGGGGTGCCCTGCTGACCCCACGACATCTGGCCAATACTCGCCCCCTCCACGCCCATGGGCTCCAGCCCCCGGCCACCCACGGGCCGCATCTGCATCTCCTTCCTGTCCTGGGCTTCTGCTTTGAGGGGTGCAAACGGGCGGGGAGAGAACCCCCCCTCTTCCCCAGCCATGTGGGCCCAAGCCTGGGGAGATAGGGGCTAGCCGGCTCCGGGCCCCGGGCTGGGGTTCGGGTTCAGGCTCGCAGGGAGCAGCTGTCTGAGGGGCCCGGGATTGGGGGGGGAGGCCCAGGAGCGCCAGACCCACCTCAGCCCAACTCCCGCCAGACCATGTGCGCCCACCTCCCTGACACCCCACAGCTCAGTGGTCGTCACTCCCTGGCCACAGCGGTGGCACCTTGTCACTCTGCAGAGGGTTACATAAGCACTGCCGCAGCCCTCCACAGCAGTTGGGGGTGGGGGGGGGGCTGTGCTGCCTCGTGATCTGGGCCCGGCCCCCCACAGGGGTCTGGGTGGCGGGGGAGAGAATCGAGCCTTCTGTCCCTGCGCCCGGCCCTCGTAGAACAGCTCAGCCCCGAGTGGGTGTCTGTGTACCCTCCCCTCCCCCGGCCTCTTCCCAGCCCTCCTGCCAGCGCGCGAACAGCGCGGGACTTGTTTGGCCCTGAACCGTTGCCCTTACCCTGGGGGGCGGGGCGGGGGCAGCCCAGTGAGGAGCGGGAGCCCCGCGGAAGCCAGCAGCTGCGGCGGTACAAGGCCGGCTTCTGTGCGGGCAGCGCGGCCGCCAGGAAGGCCCTCTGGCCCGCGGCCGGCCCGTCAGCTGCGTCCCCTCCCTCCCCTCCCGACTCGCCCGAGGCCGGCTGGGAACTCAGAGCCCCATCCCCCCCCCCCCCCCCCCCGCCCCAGCCCAGTCTCTCCCAGGAAACGGGGTGCCCCGGGGTGAGGGAGTCTGAAGCGCCCTTGGAGACCCGGGGGAGAGGGTCTGAGGATGCGTCCCCCTCCCGCCAGCCCCTTGGTAAATAAGGCTTCTGGCACCTTCTGCACCCCCCAGCGTCCTGGTCTCTGTAAGAACCGGAGTTGGGGGCCAGGGAAGATGTGACACTGAGTGTCCGCCTGTGTGGGTGGTGGGCCTGGGGAGCGGCTGGTCACGGGGCTGCCGGCCACTGCTGGCCAGGGAGGCCTCCACTCCAGGGCCCCAGCTAGGAAAATGTGCTTTGCTGTCCTTGGGCCTCGCACCCTCCTTTTGTGTCCTTATGTGCCACTTTGCTTGCTGTGGTGAGGAGAGCATTGGCCAAGCCCCCCAGAACCCCCGATGCTGGTGCAGGGATGCCGGCCTACAGGGTGGACCCATGCCCTGGGCCCGGTGACCTCAGAGCCGCGCTCGGCCCCCGCCCAGAGCAGGAGAGAGCTCCTAAGAGGCCCCCTCGCTCGCCTCGGCGCTGCCTGGCGCCCCGTTAATGGACCGCGTCCACGCGCTCCCAATGAAACTCAGCAGTCCTGGCAGGTTCCTGCCCGGAAGAAGGCCTGGGGCTGCCTCGCTGATGGCCCCCCATGGGGCGGGAGGCCGGAGATGGACGGGCAACCCCCTAAGCAAAGAGCTCTCCCCCTAAAGAAGCCGCTCTTGCTGCCGCGGGTCAGACAGCAGAGAGAAGCGGCCTTGGACTCCGCTGGGGGCTGGGGGCCGAGCCCCTGAGAACAGGGTGGACCCTGCCCTCGACGGTCGAAGAGTCGCGACCCGAGCACCCCATTCTGCCCTCCTGTGACCCCCGCAACATAGGCCTGCCCCGCAGGAGTCGTGCTCCTTCTGCAGAGTTCTCACAGGCTGGGGTTTCTGGGTGTAGGGGAGGGTCCCCCGCGGGAGCCGCGCCGCCCCCCGCTCGAGCAGCGCCCCCACACCCCTTCAGGCCTGCCCCCTCAGAGCAGGCTCTGTCGTCTGGAGCTTTACAGACGGCCGCAGGCCTTGAGCTGGTCGTCAAGTGGTTGCCCGGGGACGAGGACTCGGTTGCGAGTGTCAGGCTGGAGCCTGCCGCCCTGTCGGGGGCCTTCGTGCTTGACCTCAGGCTGCTGGGAAACGGGCCCTGTGAGACCTTGGCCCGCAAGCTCCCCACCTCTTCGCGTCCCCGCCTCCCTCTCTCCTCCAAAGGGGACAGAAAAGCAGGGGTCCCAAGTTTTGTTTTGTTTCGGGACTACATGGTGGTGTCGGTGGTGCTCAGGGCTTACTCCTAGCTCTGTGCTCAGGGAGCTCTCCTGGTGGTGTTCAGGGGACCGTAGTGGGTGCCAGGGATCGAACCCGGGTCATCCAATTGCAAGGCAAGCACCCAACTCACTGTACTATCGTTCTCGCACTGTTGAGTTTTAACTCCAAGGAGTTTTGTTTGTTTTCTCTCCGTGGGCTACACTCAGTGATGCTCAGGGCTTACTCCTGGCTCAGTGCTCAGAGATCACACCTGTCAATGTTGGGGAACTGTACAGTGCTGATGCCATTGGGTTCCCTGGGGTGAAGTGGGGAGGAGAGAGTGGGTATCTGCTGTTTTTCTCACGATGCACCTCTGCCTCCCTCAGAATGGTGCCACACCCCCTGGGCGCCCTCTCCCACCTTCAGACTGGATTTAACCGCCAAGAACAGCAGTGCAGAGTGTATCCGCATCACCCAGTGCACACCGCCTCAGCAAGCTTGGCCTTGCCCTGGTGTCATTTCCTCTTATGTTGGAGGCCCTTGTGACAGCCACATGGTGTACACGATCACACACAGGTTTCTGTCTCTCAACTGGGTTTCTGGCTGTCTGTCTGTCTGTCTGTCTGTCTCTCCATCTCCGTCTCTCTTTCTCTCTCTCTCTCTTTCTCTCACATACACACACACACACACACACACACACGGATTTCTGTCACATGCAGCTGATGCACGGCCGTCCGGAGCAGCTGCCCCATTCCCACAGAGGTGGTGTCTCCGAGTGTGGGGGGATGTTTGCTCCTTGGGAGGCCTGGGGGGAGGGGCGACTCAGCACACAGCAAGCACGCGGGAAGGGAGGCGCTGTCCCAGGCCAGTCACAAGGGCCCAAAGAGCCTCTTGGGTCGTGAAGTGGAGGTTGGCGCTTTCCCGGCGAGCCGCCGCCTCCGCTCCCACAAGCAGTGGGCTTGGGCCTGTGACTGTCGCTCTTCCTCTGAGGTGCCACTGCATCCCCAGCCCCCCAGCCCACCTGGGGAGATGAGCCCCAGTTGTGGGACCACCCAGAGACCTCTGTGGAGTGGGGCTCAGAGGTCGAGCGGAAAAGCCGCTCCCGGAATGTGCGTGTCCTTGGGCCTCCGGGAGGGTGCTCTGCCCTTGTTCCCAGGGTTCCTGGCCCACGGAGCCCCTCAGAGTCACCAAGCAGCAGTGACGTGAAATGCTTCCCAGGCCTGTGCCCTCCCTGCCCCACCCCTGCCCCCATGATTTTGTCATTTTGTTTTGTTTTGTTTTACTTTTTCAGTCACATCTGACAGTGCTCAGGGGTTACTCCT